CAGCCGATACCGGAGACCACAGCTGACCTACGCCGAGGACAACCGAGGGCAACCGAGTCTCCATAAAACGATCCATCCAACCAACTCAACATCTCCATTTCAATATCCTGCACACACGTCTGCACACACGTCTGCACGCAGTAAGATTGGATCCGGACCCATTGCGATACACGGTTCTCCAGACGCCTCATTTCTTTCCCTTCTTCTTGTCCTTCTTCGATGCCTTGCTGGGCTTGGGCGCCTCTCGCTCCGTCTTGCCCTTCTTCCATCCGGGGTTGCCCTCCATCCGCTGCCGCTGATCGTCCAGGCGCTTCTTGTCCTTGTTGCTGAGCTTCACCTTGGTGCTTGACGCCGACGGGCCGTTCAGCAGCTCCGCTCCCAGCTTGCGCGCCGCCTTCTTGTCCCGTTCCGTTTCAAACCAGGTGCGCTTGGGCCGCGACTTGATCTCCGCCTCGTGCTTGATCAGGTTCTCGCCTCTGGTCACCTGCATCTCGGCCTGCGACAGCTGCTTCTCCAGCTTCTCTTCCTCCAGAACCGCCTCGATCTCCTCCTCGAGGTCTTCCACCTTCTTCGACCACGAGTCCGCCACGCTCTGTTCCACCACCCGGCTGACGATCTTGGCTCCTTGCGACTTGCCTGCCCGCACGGCGGCCTTGACCACCTTGCGGTCGGGCTCTGCTGCGATGGTGCATGCACGACCGGAACGTCCGGCACGCGCTGTACGACCGACACGATGGAGGTAGATCTCATGGCTCTGCGGCGCTTCGTAGTTGATTACCGTCTCGACTCCCTTGATATCTAGACCACGGGAGGCCAGATCGGTCGCGAGTAGGAAGGACACCTTGCCGTCGCGGAAGTTCTCGACACTTTTGATACGCTGCGATGGGGTGGTCATGTTAGTTACCGCGTTCATCCCGGGGGGAGGGACAATGAACGTACCTGCTCCTGGCTCATGCTACCGTGGAGTTCTGCGGCCTTCAGTCCGAGCAGCCCGAAGACGATCCGCACTCGGTGCGCCTCGCGCTTCTGCCGGAAGAACACAATCACTCGTCCCGTGTAGAGCTCCTTGCACAAGTAGAGAAGGGAGCCGAGGCGCTTCCCCTCGCGTCCCGGGCGTAGTCGCACGAATTCCTGGACCAGCGTCACAGCCGTATTCTTCTTCGCGTCGACCATCAGTCGCACGGGGCGGTTGAGCCCCACGCGGATGAGCTTATCGACCGTGTCCGTCATCGTAGCCGAGAAAAGCATCGTCTGCCGCGACTTGGGGATCGTGGTCAAGATCTCATTCAGCTCGTCAGCGAAACCGTCCTCCAGCATGCGATCTGCCTCATCCAGAACCAGGATCTCGAGCGTGTCCACCGTGAAGCTGGCCGAGTTCCGCATGTGGTCGATGAAACGACCCGGGGTGGCGATAATCACGTCGGGTCGTCGCTTCAAAATGTTCTCCTGCTCGCGTAGACTGTAACCACCGACCAGCTGACAGAAGGTGATATCGGTATATGTCGCCAGCTTGGTCGCCACGTTGTAACACTGCACCGCCAATTCACGCGTGGGCATCAGGATCGCCACGCGACTGGTGGGCACCTTGCGAGGACGGAAGAGCAGACGCTCCAGGATAGGGACCACAAAGGCTGCCGTCTTACCGGAACCCGTCACGGCACTACCGACGATATCCTTGCCCAGAAGAGCCACGGGGATCGCCTTGCGCTGGATGGGCGTCGGGTTCGAGAAACTGACGGCGGCAAGACCGCGAAGAATGGGTCGAGACAGGTTGAACTCCTGGAAGGAACGCTTCGACAGGTCGGATCCGGCGGGTTCGCTGGGCTTGTCGTCCTCCGGCGCGAAGAACGCCTTGCGCTTCTCGGCCTCGGCTTCATCGACTTCGCTCTCGGCGTCGGAATCCTGGTCCGATGCACCACCTATGTCGTCAGGGTGGCCGACGGGCGTAGCAACGGAGTCATTGTCGGAAGCGGCGTCGTCGTCATCGTCGTCGTCGCTCTTGTCATCCTCCTCGTCGGAGTCCTTTTCTGCCGCAGAGTCCTCGCTCTCATCCTGACCATCAGCGCCCATGCCGAACCCATCTTCAGCGAGCAGCTCATCATCCTTGAAGTCAACAGACATGTCATCGTTCGCGTCGGAGGCTTCCTCCTCATCATCATCCGCAATCCCCTCAAACTCACTCCCCTCTTCCTCCAGCTTCTCCTTCCTCTTCAGCTCCTTCTTCCGCTTGCGCTCCGCATCAACTTCCTTCTTTGCCTGCCTCCTCTCAATAATCTCATCAATATCAACAGCCTTCTTATCCCCGTTTTTCTTGTCCCCAGGATTATTACCATCCGCACCCCACCCATCGAAATCTTCCGTTACATCCTTCGTCGCACCAGCGACATCAAACTCAAAGTCCGAGTCCAGCGCGCCGTCGTCCTCTCCAGCGTGTCCCTGCTCTTCCTCCTCCTCCCCACCCTCTTCTTCCTCGGGCTCCTCCTTGGTATCCTTCGCCTTCTTGGACTCCTTCAATTGCTGCTTCTGCTGCTTCTTCTGCTTCTTATTCTTCCCTTCCGGCTGCGCAGCAGCAGCAGAAGTAGACGCCGTGTCGCGCTTGCGCTTTTTCGTCGCGGCCTTGTCCGCGCTGTCGATCTCTTCTTCGGCCTCGTCCACTAACGTATCATTTTCAACCTCGTCGTCCGAAAGCGTCAGGACGAAATCGTCGTCTTTTCTCTTGGGAGCCATGGTTGGCTCGTGTTTTGGGGGTTGGTCCGTAGGTCGAGGGAGACGGAAAGAGTGAAAATTTCTGATCAATAGAATAGAGTAAAGTTCAATCAAAAAGGGCGAATCAAACGATAGAAAAGTTTCAATGGCTTTTCTTTCGTCCCCTGTCTGTCTGTTCGATTGTTTCCAACTCCAGATTCCGATCTCTATCGCTCGGCGGAGACAAAAAAAAAAAAAAAAGTTCCAATTCCGAAGGCGGTGGGTCAATATTCTGGCAGAATTTAGGCGGTCTCTCCTCCTCCTACTCCGTGATTACTGTCGTATTATTCTCCTGGATAGCGTACATTTGGGGGGGGGGGAATGAGAACAGCCTCCTGCATTACGTTGGCTTGAGATTTGCATCTCTGCTTCTAAACATTCAGTATGAACCATAGAGTCTAAACACATTCTATATATTATATTCTACTGCCCCATATCATAATGGTTTCCCGTATATACTTCCTCTTACTGATAGAACCAACATGTACATAACTCGTTTAACCCACTATCACAGCATCTCCATCTCATCAACCCATCGTCATCTCCGGCCCCTCAGGAGTTGGCGAAGGAACTCTAATCCAGAAAAAAATTACTCAACAATCACCCCAACACATTCGCACTAACCGTACTCCACACCACACGGGAACCACGACCCGGTGAAGCCGAGGGCGTGGCCTATCACTTTGTCTCTCACGATATATTCCAGTCCCTTATCTCCCAAGATGCCTTTGTGGAACACGCCTTCTTCAGTGGAAACCACTATGGCACTAGGAAGCAGACTATTGTGGATTAGGCGGCGAGGGGTTGATCGTTGTTTTGAATATTGAGATGCATGGTGTTAGGCAGATGAGGGAGAATAGCGGCAATAGTAGCAGTAGTATAGGTGCACGGTATGCTTTTATTTAGGCCGCCGAGTCTTGAGTCGCTGGAGGCGCAACTGAGGGGACGTGGTACGGAGAGGGAGGAAGATATTCGGAAGAGGCTTGCTCAGGCTAGGCGAGAGTTTGAATTTGCTGAGCGAGGTGTTCATGATAGGGTTATTGTCAATTATGATCTTGATAGAGCGTATAAGGAGCTGGAGGGGTTTGTGTTTGGGTCGACTGGAAGACCGGCAGGATGACCTACTTCTTCATTATCTAGTATCTATATGATAGTAGAAGTTTGCCTTTTCATGCTCATCTTCTTGGAGTTTATTTTCGAGGCTGCGTGGGTTGGCATATTGACTATTCCCATCACAATAATTATCAAACAAAGGCGGCGGGTCCTGACCATGACCATTATGCATGACCCTCAGAACCTCAGCAATATGTCCATCCAGCTCCCGTTTCCTGAAAATCGATGGTTTCCTTTTTGGCAAACGAAGGACATAGACAGCTATCAATGTCTTGCATTCATGAGCAGTTTGATAGTCATAGCCAGTGTTGTTCACGTCGACCACAAAATAGGAGTGTTTTCTGCGGTAGATATTGACCCCGACGAAACAGGTCTTGTTATTTGCATCGTAGTCGTGGAGGCAATCTTGGACCGTTGAGGCAAATGGACGTATAGATTCTAGGTAATCTTTGAAATCGAGAACGCTGTTTAGAGTATCATCGAGTATTCGCATCGTGCTTGAGTCAGCGTTTTGAAGGAACTCGAATAGGACACCTTGGATTTGGCGCATTATATAGTTGCGAGTGTGTTCCGTTGTTCTGTTCAGGATAGGGATAATAGTATGTGTGTTAAGAGATGGGACCGATATGTAGATGGTGGATATTGCTGACCTTCCTGATGCCTATTCAAGGAAGATGAAGCTCTAGATTCAATCAAGGGATGTCATTACTGAGGAAAGGATAGAGCGGGTTTTAGATGCTCGGATATTTTTCTTTTGATTCTTCTATGCTATTTATCATTCAGAGCTGAGTTGGTTCTTGTGAATTCAAAACTCCATAGTCGCCTTCCAGCCTCTTCCTTTTTTTTTTGCCTTGTCTTTTTTCTACCTTTTTTTCTCTCTTTTTTGCTTTGACTTTGTGTTCATAAAAGCTATGCCCAAGAAGAAAACAGTGATAATAACAACAATCATGGTAAGGTGATTGAAAAGTTATGAAAAGATCATTATTCCGCCTCACCAACACTTGACCCGATGATATCGCACAAGAATGTCACTTAGTGACCCATGCATCGTGTCGATGGTTCTATCTCCCATCATCAACGCAAGAACACTTGGCGAACATCTTACTGGACACTCACCCCGAGTACAATACATTGAACTCTGCTTATCGATCGAATTCCACGCCCTCACTGTATCCAACGCTGCGCACGAGGTAGCTCACGTGTTGACTGTCCATTTTAGCAGGTTATTCAAGAGAAAAGGGGACGGTTGGGTAAGAAGCTCGAACTTACTATTTGCCAAACTTGACTCTATTCCCCTGGAGGAGACCCTGCTCTTCGAACTCAAACACCCGATGGAGCCATCCCTTGACCCAGGTATATGTCGAGTTATCGTCGGCCGGGAAGCTGAGCGCAAATGTCAGCCGGGCGAGCTGACGTTCTCCGTTGTTGGTGTATTCCGCGGGGACCTCAAAGCTGTAGCCGCCCTTAGGGTTGTAAGTGGGATCACACATGCCGAGCAACTTGTCCATCAAACAGCGGCCGATTCCCTTGCGCTTGGCTTCGGGCCTGACGAAGAGCTCTAGCTCGGCGGAGTAGCGGCCGGCGGAGCGGCGGCCGGCGAAATCGCACGCCAGCGCGTATCCCATGACCTTCTCGGGGTTGTCGTCGCGGATGGCCCCCGTGCGCCGCTCCACCGCTACAAGGAACGGCAGGCTCTGCTGGTGGCAGTCGTTGATGCGTTGGCGGACGTCGCCGGTCTCGATGGGATCGACGCCGATGCTCTCGGGGCACTCGCTGATGTAGTGATTGAATATCTCGACGAGTTCGGCAGCGTCGCTTGGCAGCGCGTGTCGGAGGTAGATGTTCGCGCGCGGCGACAGTGGGTGCGGCTCGAGCGCTGCCTGTCTGGTCTGGATGTAGATGTCTCGGGCTCTCTCTCTGCGAATTGCCTCTTTGAACAGGCGCTCTTCTTCTTCTTTTCGTTGGTGCAACTCCAGGGTGTAGCAATAGCCCTCGGCGCTCTCGTGACGGTGCAGGCGGGTCTCTTCCACCGATGTGTCGATGCGGGTTTCGACGTCGTCCAGGCTGGGGATGAGGAAGCCCCGTACGCCGTCCGGATGGGCGGTGCCGTCAAAGAAAGTCTCGTGGTAGATGTCCGTGTAGCAGACTAGGGCCATGGTCCCGTCCATCCAACGGCGGAACCAGTCGATGAACTCAGCTAGGTCGGAGTAAAGGCGAGGTCGGGTCTCCCACTCGGGGGTCCACGCGTCTTCCCATCTGTGCTTGCAGTCCTGTTGTCCGGACCGGAGCTTCTCGCCGGCGGTTCTCGCTTTCTTCTGCATCTCCAGATGCCCCTGGCTTGGCTCGGATGACAACACCACCTTACCGTCCACGACGTCGGAGTACACAGCACGGCTGTTACTGTACGCCTGCCACTGGGCAACTTTCTCCTCGAACGTGGGAAGATCGGGCGCGCCGGCGTAATCTGCAACCTCAAACGAGGGCTGCTCCCCGCCATCGGGGCCTGTAACCGATAGCGCAGATCGAGTTTGTCCATCGTAGCGATGCACCCCGATCCTCTCGAACACCTCAGAGCTAGGGTCGTTTCCCGGGCCCCCTCTGCAGATCTCCATAAACTTGGCATCTGCCACCGGGAAATCGGCATCTTTGAAACGGTTCTGGTGGGCCTTCTGTAGGATATCTTGCTGCAGCTTTTCCAGTTCTGCCTTCAACTCCGGATTCAGGGGCTTGTAGTACTTCGCCAGTTCCGCCTGCTGAGCGGATTCTTCCTCGGGGCTGAGAACCTTCTTTGCCGGCGTAATCGGCGGCCCTTTATTGTTTCTGGGGTCATTGGCGAGGCGGGGGGCTCGCTGCCCGGGCTGCCTCGAGCTGGACGGTGTCGCGACGCCGATGTGCGCAGCCTGAGCTCCATCCTGACGATTTCTGGCCCCGTTCTGCTGTGCCCTTCTGCCCTCGTGGATCACAGTTTCTTCCTCCGAAGTAGTGGACATTCTGACAATAACCTGCTTGTTGTTCTCTTTTTGATGGTTAGCCACCGCGTTTGACCCCTGTTGCTTTGTGTGAATAGGTGGAAACATACTAGTAGGAAGGCCTTTGGCGGGGTGGGTTCGAACTTGAGGCATGTTAGAACGAGGAGTAACTTCATTCGGCAGAGTAGACGGCCTCTTCTGAGAGTGACCTCTTGTTTGGGTCTGTGAAGGAGGCGGGGCTCTTCTCCCAGCAGGCTGGTGCCGCGAACGAAATTCACTCATTGAAGGATCTGTGGAGTCAAGCGTACTGTCTTGCTGTTGTCGCAGTAATTTTTTTCTCAAAGGAGGTGACACATACAACGCGGCAGATGGTCGACGTTGAGATGATGCTAAGGGAGTCTGGGTAGAAGTGACTGGGAACGTTGATGGGCCAGTCTGGTTGATCTTTTTCACCTCATCCGCCAAACCTTGCTGCTCTCCTTTGACTTGCTCCTCTTTTGGCTCTGCTATTGGTTCCGACCGTGCTGTCATCATCTGTAACCAGGAGTCTGGGCTGTCGCTCATGCTGTAGATTAGGGTCTATCACCTGTTTGGTGCCTGTCTGTTGGGATGTGGGCTATGATTCCAATCCAAAGATAGATTTGATTTGTACTCTATCTGGTTTCTTTCTAATGAGGGTATTCAAAATAGATGATGATAGACTGTTTTCCAAAGTAGTAGAGGGGAAGAAATGAAGCTCGAGGTTATATGATTCTAGGAGCTTTCTCTAGATGTAGGGATATTTATACCCCAGAACAAGAGAGGCAAATATGAAGTGAACAATTAACATGAATCTTATTATAGAAATAGATCACTGTATACTTATCATTATATGGCTAATTATAGAGATTAGTGAAAAAGATCCATATTACTCTGTGCTTGAGTGATATTCCTAACAGTATGTTCTGTTATTATTGAATTAGACTTCTATCTGTAGGACCCAGGCTTTTTTAGACAATCAAATATACGTAGAGTACATAGAACAAAGAAAAAGCATCTAGCACTAGTATCTACATAATAATCAGCTATTAGAGGCTGATATACGTGAAATATCAGGTATATCCTACACATGGCCTTGAGTAAATATAATATAAATCTTTATAGACATCTAAGACAATATTCTCTATTATGTAGCATGTGCTAGTATGTATTATCCTGACTGATATAGTACATAGAATTATCTAGCATAGATCATCATAGTATATCTAAACCATGAATTATAAAGCTCATTCCTTCACTATTAAAAGTATGCCAGATTCAACTAGCAGTAATTATAAGATAATCACTTAGAAAATCTACAAATATCACTGAAAGGATATGAAGTGAAAGTCTCACTTCAACTTTATTGAAGAACTCAAGTAAGTAACATATACGTCATACTACCAGACTAACAACTAGCTATACAAAGACTGCTCAGCATCTTTAGGCACCACTGATAAATGGTCTACAAGCTAGGCAGAAGGCAGAGGTAAAGATACAGGCCTGAGGCTCAGCTTGACTAATCTGAAGAAGAGCCATCAAGGATCACTTGGTCGTAACAACTGTGTTACCATAGATTTATCTGATGTTGCTCTTTCTGTTTACTCTGTGCCAGTATCAGTGGCAGGCATTTATTTGCCTCACTCACTGTTATTACCATGAAACCTAATAGTATCCTTCTTTTCCCTGACTGGTTAGCAAGAACAACACGGGCCATACTTCACAGATGGTCTCTATTAATAGAAGATATATACGCCTACAGTGTCTTTCAAGAGTGTAGGATGCTGCGAAGAATTTACACTGTGCTCTTTTGGTTTCTTCCAGATACTGCAAGGATGATACCGACATACTAAACATGCTTTGCTATTACAGGTGTCATCTTCGACTTGTACACAGGGAGGGATGTCACCTACTCGAGAGGGGAGTATCTTGATGCCTGTATCTGCTAATTGAGCCGTCGGAAAGAAACATTGTCTTTTCTTCGACTGAAATTAAGAGGAAAGCCATTGGGCTCGTATCATCTACCATGTTATATTCTGTTTTTGATGTTTGCAATTGAATATCGATGTAAATAGCTAAAAAACTGGAAGGGTTGTGACGAGACGAAGGGCCCCGATGGTAGATTTATATATTTTGATGCTCGAGCCGCCACACAAAACCCCCCACAAGAAAAAGTACCAGCCAACCCATCCAGTTCAGCATATTATTTTTTCACCGGAAACTCCATATAATTCGATTCTATTTCATCTGTGTTTACAAAGGTACGAAAAGTAGGTCGATCTACCAATTTCTGACCAGTATCCCAATGCGGATAGGCGATCAGAACAAATCTGGCAAGAGTTTCGAACGAACTTGGAACGGGCTCCGAAAGGCGCCACTGAAGCCTTTGGGGGAGGAATTTGCCTCGGTCTAGGGCCATCCATGATTCACACTCTAACAGAGCCCTATCTCTTGGAAATTCAACCCAGCCGGTCTGGTCGACGTCACGCCCAGTGGCTGTGCTCTGCAGGCAGTGCAGGGAATCCGTGGATCTCCGCCAGGTTTTCTACCAGGTACCAGATAAGCATAATTCTTTTGCTTTTTCTGATTCCTGTCCCTTATTTTATTTTACCTTATTTTTCCCTTCGCAATTGATTAGTATTGCATGTATAACCATGGTAGTGATTCCCGTCCCTGAATCTTAATTCCCCTGATCCGCGGGGCGGGAGAGGACGAGATTTCAGGTCGAGGGCCCACCGACTTCCCACCGTCCCAGTAAACAACCTTCCATGTTGAGCAACATCAAAATAAAGGCCCCGACGATGCCCGACCGGCCCTGAAGAGGATTCTATCGACCTGCAATCCCAAAAACCCGATCGCAGCAAACAATATCATTGTCATTCGGGGAATAACACCGCTCATCCGGTCCAACTACTTTCAGGAGAGGATGCAAGACCCGCCGCATGGATCATTCAGTTGGACCAGTTGGGCCATGATGCAGAGGGCCATCGTCGAGTTATTGTTTGGGTGGGGCAGGAAGCGACACGGATATGGATTTTGATTAGTAGGGAATAGTTTGAATATGAGCTGGAGGCTCCACCGCGTACGAAAAGGAAGGAAAATCTGGGTTTCGCCGGATTGACGACATTGGTTGAGTACCATGTTGGTCGGAGAAGAGTCGCGTAGAACGTATCAACATAAGGAGTAGAATCATATTCAGCCGGTGCGAGTATTCTCATCAGTATCATCAGTAACAGTAACAGCGTCGATATCAGTATCAAAGCTGAAGACCGCCCATTCAGATGTGCCTGAGCCACCGAGACTAAGTCGGGAATAGAAACTCACCCCTCTTCTCTCTCCCTGTCCTCAGCTCTCTCTCTCTCTACCCCCTTCCTTACTGTCGCCCAATCCCACCCCACAATCCCTGGCTGACGAGTGACGACTGCATACGCGACTCAGACTCTATTCTTGTTGTCGTCGTCGGCCTGTGTTTGTTGGGTTTGACTCATGACCTTTTTTCCCTCTCTCTCCCCTCCATTCACTTGATCTCTTTTTCTTCCATCTATCCTTGTTCTTTTTTTTGTCTTCAATTTTCTTTTTTCTTTTTTCTTTTCTTTTTGTTCCGGCCTTTAGTTTCTTTGTCTCATTGTGTAGTCCCTTTTCAGATCTCACAACCGCGCCCCCCCCCGGTTCGACGATCTGACTGATCAACTGCCAAGGTGGCCATGTCTTCCACCACAGATCCCGAGGGCAAGGGGGATGTCAATGATTTCCTCCTGCGCATTCGGGAACTCGGCCAGAAGCGCGACAAGGAGGACGAACAACGCACCAAGAAATTGGAGGAGGAGATCTTGCAGGGTCGCAGAGAGAGACAGGCCCGAAGAGCTGGTAATTTGTTTCCCCCGTTCTCCGTTCCCGCCGCGGTTCGAGTGGAAACTCTCCCATCATACCGCAGTGGACAGATTGCCACCTGATCCGGATGAGAGACTGATGATATCCCTGTGAGGACGGAATATAGAACGTGCCCGTTCGCTCTCTCCCACCAAAGACTCCCCGCCGTTGTTCGACCCGGCTCGGATGAGCATGTCCGCACTGGGCCAGCGAGCCATCGATCCCCCGCAACAACTCGAGCCGACACCGCGCACCCCGGAGCACATCACCCCTTCCAGACCTGCCTCGCTACGAGGCGACGAGTTTCCGAGCCCCAGTGCGAGCCGCAGAGGCTCCACGGTGGAAGCGACGAGTAGTCTGGAAACATCCCCCAAGCCTGCATCGCCCAGTCTGCGGAGTAGGACCGGGACCCTGTCCTGGCAGCAACGACCGGCCTCGCGCGACCTGCATACCAACAGATCGCTCTTTTCGACCTCCCCGACGCGCACAAACCGCCTGCGAACCATGTCGACCGCGTCCAACAACGACACGGGGATCCCACCGAATATCCCCGCTTCCCCCCCTTCATCCAAAGACACGCGATCGTCGCCGCAGCCGGACACAATAGGACTAACATCCCCACCCCGGGAAGGGTCGAAGGAAGATCAACATCACGGCTCACCCTCCGGCGCAAGTACCAAGGCGACCGCCATGGACCGTGAGAAGACTCCCGAACCGACCAAGGAAAGCGCCCAGCAGGAGAACCTCGATGAGCGATCGCGCTCGCCGTCAAGAGCGAGCTCGATATTTGCGGAAAGCAGCCTGGGACAGCGGTACTCGAGTGTATCGTCTGTCTCGACGGCCACGGGTCTAGGCTCCCCGGTACCTCTGTCCAACGCCCAGAAGTTCGAACCCCCACAAACGGAACCGGCATCTGAAGAGCAAACGATGGGTCCTCCGTCCCCACGACGAATGTCCCCCGAACGGTCCACATCGCCTACCAAAGGACTAGGAGGCTTCGTCCAGAGCGCCATGATGAAGCGGTCCGACAGCGTGTCTAAGCGGTGGAGTGCTCAGTTACCATCCGGGCTCTCTAGGGCAGACCCCTTTGCGAGCAATCGCAATAGCTTTGCCGCACCTACCGGCACTGATGTGCTCTCCCTTTCGCCCACCTCCAAGGCGGCTCGGGACGGTCCGCTGTTACCCTCTCACCGGCCCGGCTCAAGCCATAGCGAGGCAACGGTGGTCCGTCCGATGAACGACAGCGAGCGCCCCGTCACCCCGCCGGTCCCCGGCGGCGTTAGCGGCACACGAGCCGATGAGAGCCCGAGACGCGCTCCCCTTTCCCTCCATACAAGACCGGGCAGTTCGTTGGGCAGCGAAGCGAACTCGGATTCCAATCCCTCATCATCGTCAAACCCCGCGGTCTCGCGGACGATGGATCCGAAACGGTGGAGTCCCACCAAATCGACCTGGTTGGAAAGCGCCTTGAACCGCCCCGATGCCCCCCGTCACAAGAAGAGCCCTTCCCAGCAAGCCACCTGGTCTCCTTCCCGGCAGTCGAGGGGTAGTACTGATCTGGGTCGCGTCAACAGCTTCAAGGAGGTCACTCCTGTCGGGCTGATGCGCACGGCTGCTCCTGGTCGCCACTCCAAGACACCCAGTGTGTCTGGTATTCCCGACGTCTTTGGTATCGCGAATGACGCTGCCAAACCCAAGGCCGACCCAGTCTTGAAATCGACGTTGGAACCAGCCTTGGAATCGACGTCGGACCCAGCCTCGAAATCGTCGTTAGACCCAGCTTCGAAATCGTCGTCGGACCCAGCCTCGAAATCGTCGTCGGACCCAGCCTCGAAATTGACAACGGACGAGAAAGCCGACGTTCCGACCCCTACTGAACAACCGTCCGAGTTGCCTGGGGAGAACAAAGACTCGGTGCCGCGCGCAGAGGAGAGTACAAAGTCCCTTGCTGAGCCACAAACGCAACCTGATGCCACTGAAGTTTCGGGAGCTGCTCTGTTAAGACCGGAAGTGGATACTACAGGCCGAAAAGAGATCACTCGCAAACGTGCCCCATCTGTCTTGGCTCCGGTGCCTAGGACGGATAGCGAACTGCCCCTATCTACCTCTCGAGATCCTCTGCTCAACCGACCGAAACCGCAGTCCCCCGTCATCGATTTCCGAGCGAACCTGAAACGGCGGGAAGTTGTCAAAGACGACTCCCCTCGGACAGAACCCGAGTTCAAGAATGTCTTCGGAAGGCTGAGAAAAGCGGAGTCCTCGACCTATGCCGCCCCCGACGAGCTCAAGGATAATATCCTCAAAGGGAAAGCAGGTCTCAACAATGCAGGGGGCCCGCGAAAGACACAAAGAGTCGATGAACTCAAGGAGAGCTTGAACAAGCAAAAGGAAGCCATGAAATCCGGTGGAGGATCTACGAGAAGGAGTACAATCGGGCAAGACGATGCCCCTGCAAAGATTGCCGTCCCCGAGGCGATTGCAAAGCGTCAAAATTTGGCCAAGTCTGATAGTGACAAGACCAACCAGCATGGCGGCGCGTTGTCCCCACTGTCTCCGCGAGAACCTGGAATATCTTCAGGGTCCCCGGGCCTGCCATTTTCGCCGCTGTCGCCGCTGTCGCCTCAGCCTGACGAGCTCGGGGGGAGTCTTCGCAGCCCTGAAATTCCGACCTCGGGTACAGACAAGGATCGCAGCCAGGGAGAATCTTTGGCTAAGGAGAAAGAGGGGACTAAGCGTGACCTTGCAGATGCTACGCCAAAGCCTGAGCCTGCGGGCGATTCTCAAGTTAATCAAGGCATATCAAGCGAGGAAACCATGAAACCGGTGCGTGACTTGCCGTTGGGGAGTGCTGCTCAGGCTGCAGACACGCCTGCAGTGGCTGCAGCTCCTACTAAAGGGAAACTTGCAGGCCGACTAAATCCTGCTTTGGCGGGTCTCTTGTCGCGTGGTCCTCCCCCGGTGGGCGCCACGGGTAAATCTTCCTCGCTGAACGCAACAAGCAGCGAGACTGGATCGTCGAAAAGCGAGCCTGCGACACTGACACACATGACAAAGAGTCGTGCAAGAGGCCCTAAGAGGCGTCTGCCTAAGACCGTCGTCACAGAGACGGCTGCGCCAGAAGCCCCAACCTCGCCTTCAAAAGATGCGCCTTCAAAAGATGCGCCTTCAAAAGATGCGCCTTCAAAAGATGCGCCTCTAAAGGATGCGCCTCCAAAGGATGAGGTCGCTCCGACATCGTCGTTCGATATTCAACGATCAGAGACAAGCCCCTCGCCGGTGGAGGAACCCATGCCCAACTCTAGCAACTGGCCCCTCCCTGATAAGGTCCTCGACACGCCTGCTGCCACACCGGACAGCCATGCGTCCCAACCTACTCAACACAGGATTAGCAAGCCGACAGAATTCAAAAGAAGCTTGCCTCGCCTGTCAGAAAAGGAAATCAAGCTACCCTTGGAAAGCGTCAGCTCAGATCCTCCCACGGAGGTGACCAAAGCCCCCAACGATCCCGGGACAACCCCAATCCGTGGCGACTCAGGGAGCACGAGAGACTCCCCCTCGAACCGGTCGTCTCTCATGTCTAGAATGGCCGCCTCCCCAGCCACACCCTCGGTAGGCCAGGCGCGCAGCTCGCAAATTCACTACTCCTCTCCTTCCCCGTCCCCTCTCCGAACGAGCCTCAACGGAAACCAGGCCCCGCCACCCCCGACGCCCCCGAAAATCTGGTCTGGCATACCCTTCATGTCTTCACGAGAGACTTCCCCCAAGCACAAGTCCTTACCCTCGCCTCCTGTGCCCCGGAAGAGCTCCAGCCCCTCCGCCGATCACTCTGCCTCACCTAGATCCTCAGTGTCGCTGGTACCCCAGGCCGACGAATCCTTGGCAGCCATCTCGAGTTTCTTCAATACGTTCCCCAACTCGAGCGACCGCGTGAACATTGATCCCCAGTTGATGCTGGCCAGTCGGGGCGAGACCGACCGAATTCGGACATTGAAGATGCAGATATGGGAGATCACAGGCGATGGCCGGAAACAAGACCTCCCGGTCAACCAAGAATACATCCTTTACGAAGGCAGCATGTACCTGTGCGTGCATGTGTTTGAAGACGAGACGAGTCAACGGTCAGAGGCCCAGCTTTGGTGTGGGGACGGGGTTCCCGATTCCGCCATCGACGATGCGCAGTCCTTCTCCCGTAAGGTTGCCAAAGAAAAATGGTGCAAGCTCGAGGTCATCAAGCAAGGCAAAGAGCCCGCTCGTTTCATCCAGGCTCTAGGAGGGATCCTGATCACGCGCCGGGGCTCCAGCTCGCGGTCCAGCTCGTCTGCGATTTTCATGCTCTGCGGTCGCAAGCACCTGGGCCAGATGGTGTTCGATGAGGTTGATTTCTCTCGCCGCAACTTGTGCTCTGGCTATCCCTTTGTGATCTCTTCCATGTTCGGAAAACTGTTCCTGTGGAAGGGACTCGGCAGCTCCGCCGAAGAAGTCGGCGCTGCGCGGCTAATTGGGATGGATCTGGGGCTGACGGGTGAATTTGAAGAGGTGACCGAGGGAGAAGAGCCCGAGAGTTTCTCGGAAGCTTTTCCCCTGAGCGATGACCAAGGGGACTACATGAAATCCGACCACTGGAAGCTCAAGCCTCATCACAGCCATTTCCAAGCCCGGCTATTCCGCGTCGACCACGAGCTGGGCCAGCGGTCCGGGTTCTGGATTCGACGATCGGGCTCCAATTCGCCCATCATCCGGCCGAACGACACTGTCCAGGAAGTCGAAGTGTTCCGCCAGAAAGACATCTCCGCCAAGGGTATCTACGTGCTCGACACGTTTTTCGAGATCTACGTGTAAGTTTATTCATCCTCCGCTCGTTCCCTATTTCTGAGCCAACCCTAATGCCTGTGTAGGATCGTTGGCGAACAAGCGTCCAAACGGCCCGCGGAATTCGCATCCGCCGTGGTATTTGCGCACGAATACGGCATCCTGGCGGCGTCTCTCCAAGACCGACCTTTCATTCCCAAGAGCTATGTCTCCCTTGGCGGGGTTCCGGAATCCTGCCGCAGTGCGCTCCGGAAGTGGGACGGGGATGCTTCACGGACGGCCCCGCAGGTGTTTCCGCTGAACGCGGCCATTGAGGCCATCCGGTCCTCATAGAGCGCCTTCCAAATCCTCAGCCTTCTACTTCCTTCCTCATTCTCTTCTTTTCTTTTTCTTTTTGTAATTGAACATCCTTGTCTATTTGGACAATTTCCTTATCTGTGAATAGAGTTGCATCTGGCCCGGTCCGTATGGCGAAAGAGAGGCTTACACGATGACGACCCGGGAAGCATCTTCCAAAGGAGCCTGGGCAAAGGGCGGGGCGAATTCGGGTTTATCTACTTATGTATCTCTCTATCTGTTTGATGGGAGTTTATCTATCTTTGTTTCTGGCGTGATAGGCGCGTGGGGTGGGTGGGGATTCATACACTGCTTGCTATGTTGTTGTATCATTCTTAGACGATCTAGATGATCTGTGGGAGTGATATAACTCTCCTACCATGATTTGACTTGATCGGGTGGGACTAGATATACCTACCTGACTGCTTATGAGTATTGATAATAGCTATAGCTGGCTAGAGCATGGCATATATTGGCTTTCTTAATGGTATTACATTTCAGTATTGGGTTTCTTTGCCACGCGGAGGGAAGAGAAAGATACGCGACACGTCCAGTCATTTAGACAGTCTTTGTTTGTTCTCCCTGTCAGGTTGGTATTTGTTTGAATTGTCCATCTCTTCAAATCTCCCATTCCACTATTTCATTCCTAAGTTCACTTACTTGTGATCCTTACAATGGTCCATGCTTGCATTTGAACTACAGAATAAAAAGAACCCTTCATCCGACTCAGCCGCTTCCTTCGACGGCAGCCATTATCATCACCACGCAGCATACCCACATCCAGCTTCCCCAATCTAGATCCCACCACAAAATATGTAGAACGAATGCCTGCATTTAAACGAGGCGTATGTTACCCCGTCAACATAGGTGATATCTTCTATTCCAGATACAAGGTCCTCAGCAAGTTGGGGTATGGGGCGATTTCAACCGCGTGGTTTTGTCGGGATCTTCAATATGCGTGTCTTACTTTATACTCTCTATAAAATAGGGATGGCTAATGGCGACTATGTAGACAGCATCGGTATATTGCATTGAAGATCTATACCAGCACCAGCACCAGCAACAATTCAAGGACGAATCAAGAAGTGCGCGTGCTGGAGCATCTCGCTAAAATGGAGACAGACCATCCGGGCAGCAGTTGCGTCCGCAACATGACGAGAAAATTTGAACTGGTGGGACCGAGTGGTTTCCATCATCAGTGTCTTGTCTTTGAACCGCTCGTGGCGAGTCTTTTACATTTCCAGGCGGCGCTGGATCCGAAGAGCTTGACGGAGGATTTGTTGAAGGGGGCGCTGGTGCAGTTGTTGATGGCGCTGGATTATTTGCATGTTGAGGCTGGGGTTGTACACACTGGTTGGTACTATTTAGTAGCCTGTGGTGTATCATTGGCTAACGTCTGATCCAGACATACAAGCGAAGAATATCATCATCAGCGCAAAGGATGATTCAATTTTCCACGAGTGGGAACAAGAGGAAGCGAATGACCCCAGTCCACGGAAGATTAGTGACGGGGCCAACAAATACACCGTCTATCAACCGCGTCTATTCCATCCAACGAAAGGATGGAATCGCAGTTTCGGGATGTTACTGCTCTCGGATTTCGGGGAAGCCCGCCTGGAAAAGGGAGTCCACGACGGACTGGTCCAGCCGGATATTTATCGGGCGCCGGAGGTTATCCTCGGATTACGATGGACGTCGAAGGTCGATATATGGAATGTTGGGGTGCTGGTAGGGAGATCACATGGGTTTTATATTTATTAATCGACATTCAGGCTAATAAGGTGCGGGAATGCCGTATATATGGGACCTCTTTGAGGATCACCATTTGTTTGATGGTCGGGGTCCCGACGGTAGCCATTCGGATGTGCATCTGCTCGCGGAGATGGTCGCGATGCTGGGTCCTCCACCGGTTGGTTTTTTGCGCCGGTCTTCTCTTAGTTGGAGGTATTGGGACGCTTCCGGTAGGGCTTCAATCGTTAGGATATTTGGGGTTTCAGCTAAATCGGTCAATATGACGGTGGATAGGGTCTGCGGGAGTCCCCGACATGTCCCTGGAGGACTCGGAAGAGTACCTGGAGGGCGAGAACAAGGAGATGTTCCTGCGCTTCGTGCGAAAGATGTTGCGGTGGGATCCGGAAGAGAGACAGAGCGCCCGTGAACTTCTGACGGATCTTTGGTTGACGAGCTTGTAGTTGCTGTCCTATCTTATAGTATCTGAAACGGACAGTATATAGAAAGGATCATATGCAATGATGTGCTGCAGATGATCCGACATAAACCCGCTTGATAATCTCATACTTGATCTGAATGGCGAAAATCGTCCGGACCGCCAACTGACCCACAACTTTCCTCCAATCTGCTGCATTCGTCAGTCCAGTCGGCCCACTCGGATCGAATTTGCATTTCTTTAATTGACGGTTCGTTTCTTATCAATGGAGTGACGATGATATTATTGTTATTGTAACCCTTCCATCTCCTCGTCAACGGACTGGGTGAGGTATGTTTGGTTGAGCGGTTCCTTTCCTCTCTACATTCTTCGCATCAAATCAATACAAACACTGACTCGACTATGACAGTTAGAGAATAACCTGTCAGAAATAAAGAAGAAAAGAAAAAGAAAAGAAAGATGGACCCCACCATACTGCGCGAACTCTCCCGACTCGACCCCGCGGTCCCATTCCGCGCGTCCACCCATCACATCCATCACACCTGGGCCAAAACGTTATACTCCCGCCCCGAGCTCTACATCCAACCGCAGTCGATCGCGGAGATCCAAAAAGTGGTGACCTTGGCGCGACGATGCCGTCGACGACTCGTAACCGTCGGCAGCGGCCACTCGCCGTCCGACCTGACCTGCACGTCCGCGTGGATGGTGAACCTGGACGGATTTAACCGCGTGCTGGAGGTGGATCGCGACACAAACATGGTGACGGTCGAGGCGGGTATCCGGCTGCGCGACCTCGGAGAGGAGCTGGAGCGACGCGGGCTGACGCTATCGAATCTGGGCAGTATTGATCACCAGTCGATCGCGGGGGTGATCGCGACGGGAACACATGGGAGTTCGCTGCGCCATGGACTGCTGTCGGAGTGTGTTGTCGCCTTGACGCTGATGTTGGCGGATGGGCGGCTGGTGCGGTGCAGTGAGACGGAGAATCAGGCGCTCTTCCGCGCGGCGCTCATTTCGCTCGGTGCGCTCGGCATCGTCGTCGAGGTGACATTCCAGGCGGAGCCGATGTTTAAGGTCGCGTGGCGACAGGCGCGGGTGGACCTGTCCGAGGTATTGGCCAAGTGGTCGGGCCCGCTGTGGACGTCGCATGAGTTTGTCCGTGTCTGGTGGATGCCGTATCAGCGGAGTGCGATTGTCTGGCACGCTGACAAGACCGATCGTGAAGTGCGTGCGCCGCCGACGAATTTCTATGGGGGCTCTCTGGGGTATCATATCTACCACAATCTGCTGGCGCTCTCGAACTACTTCCCGCGGATTCTGCCGTGGGTGGAGTGCTTCGTGTTTGGTTTGCAGTACGGGTTCAAAGCAGGCGCGACGGTCACGGAGGCCGTCCAGCCCGCCCGCGACGGACTGCTGATGAACTGTCTCTATTCGCAGTTTGTCAATGAGTGGGCGCTGCCCCTGGAGAAGGGCCCCGAGGCTCTCATCCGTCTGTCGGCCTGGTTGAACGGGGATGTCGAGACGGCGCGCATTCCGTTCCCCGTCGACGGTCTGTGGGTGCATTGTCCGGTCGAGGTCCGCGTCGCCGACTCCACGCACAACACCAGGCCCCGCCCCTTTTTGGACCCTACCTGCCATGATGGACCGACCCTGTACCTCAACGCCACTCTGTACAGGCCATACCTCCGGGACCCGCCTTGCACGGAACGGTACTACGAGGCGTTCGAGTGGCTCATGCGGGAGATGGGCGCGAAGCCACACTGGGCCAAGAACTTTACGACCGGCCGCCAGGAGCTGCGAAAGATGTACGGCAAAGACATGAACGAGTGGTTGAAGGTGCGACAGGAGGTCGACGCGGAGGGGATGTTCCTCGGCGAATGGCACCACCGTACTTTGCCCCTGCCCGGTGTGAGTAATGACGATGATGCATCGGAGGCTGCGAGGTCGACCGCTTTGCCGCTCTTGGAGCGCGAAAAGGCTCGTCGGCCGGCTAACTTCCGCGGTGCCGGCGATGGCCAGGAGTGGATTGGCGATAGGGCAGGCCAGGGGAGCACAGCGCTCCAGGATGTGTTGCTGAACCGAAGCGAGAAACCCTGTCCCAGTCCTCCCACGAGCGAGGAGAGTTTCGACCTCCTCGCTGCCAGCGAGGCCAGTGGGATTCTTCCTAACGAGCGCAGGTGAGACGATAGAGACGATCTGACTGGGGAAGAGAAGCCTCAACGCAGAAGCAACCAGCCAGATGTTTTTCTTTGGCTGGATGTGAGTTAACTTGATGGATGAATTTTTCTTCTTTTCTTTACGTATTTTTCCTTCAATTTTCTTCAATTTTCTTCCATTCTTCTTCCTACCCTTTTGTTGTCTCACAACACTCCCAGTCATCTGACTTGGTACTTATTGCTCGTGGATTGGGCCTCTGTTTGCTAGATTCGGGATTTGGGCCGGCTCGCAGTCGCAGCGAGTCAGATGGATAGAGCCCTCCCTCAGTCCAGTGGAAGGCATGACGTCGGAGTATCCGCACTCCGTATGGGAGAGCGACTTGAGATTCGAGCCACATCCCTACTGGTCACGGTCCTTTTCAGCCTGTTTCTCTGGTTGGAAGGGTTGTGATGTGAACAATCCATCATTTGACCCTGTTTAAAACAACTACGGGTCAACAAGGCTTGTCTCACGCCCCCGATATCACGGACACAGACACGATTGTCCCACCTACAAGGCCATGTACATACACTCCATAGCACATACATTCAGACAGTCTACTGTCCCACTCTGATCCTCGAGGGGCTCCGTGGTAGGCCGAGAAATTATCTGGACTGATCATCGGCATCTAAGCACTAAGCACTAAGCACAAGCACAAGCAGCGCTAGCTAGCACTAACCATGAACAATCAACCGCATGCATCAGGACATGCCTATATACCTGCCTATCAGGTTGTGGTAAGGACTGAGTTGGGCCGCACACGGTATTGGCTCTTCTGTCGTTCATTTCATGATGACCTTTGTCTCTTCTCCCCGGGCTGGTTGGGCCACCCTTGCGCAGTCAATTTCTACCGGACTCATCCTTCATCTATTTCCTATCCTTTTCTCCCCTAAACTGAAAACAATACTGGCTCTGATGTCGTTTATTCCATGCAGCTTCGGCTGGGATACCATGTCTGTCTCATGATATTCATATAGAGTCGCTGATCATGAGACTATTGTCTGCTGTGTGGAGAGTTAGGGTTGACTGGATGTAACTTTGAAAGGCTGCAGCGGCTAGAAACAATAAGTATGTTCCAGTCTCGTAGTAGTATTCTCAAGTGCGTGAACGGCGGATGTTGAAATGTCAGGATGTGACAATAGAAAAGAAAAAAGTAACTAAGCGGGAAATCGAAGTTGGCGGGAAATTGTATGGGAAGTAAGTTCCTCAGGCATTCCCCATTGGTGCTGCTTTGTTTCTTCTGCACACCCGCTTCATCTTCTTCTCTTCTCCATACTTCCTACTATCCTCCTTCCAACATCCACTCATCCATCCTGCTTTTATCCTCTCAACTCAGTCTAGCTTGGCTCCGCCTCATTCTCTTCGTTTTTATTTGCCTTCTCTCACCCCGTATTCTATCCCCGACTACCTACAGTCCTCTCACGGACCAAGGAGGGGTCAGTGTGCCCGACGGTGACTGGGCAACTACACTTTGCAAGATGGTTTCAGAAGACAGAATGGCTCAAACCTTTATACAAGCATATCAGATAACAACAACATAATAAGAAATCCAAAAAAAGTCAGCGAAAGCAAGTCAGAAAGAGACATCATCCCCGGAGTCATCATCCAACTTCCCCGTCCCCCCTCCCCAAAAGAACGAAGGCAAAGTTCACTTCATCCCAGCCACACCTCGGACGGGTTCCTGAGTCTGACCCAAAGTAATAATGGTCCATCTTTTCCTCCTTCTCACCCTCCCGTCCGCTCTGTCGCGCTGAAGATCCTCTTGCTTCGAGCGTATGATGATCCATGGTGGGGAATCCCAGCAGCACCGACCCCTCCAATTCCCTGCAAGTGGACGGACCTTTTTCCCTGCACGGACGAGTGTCCATGCACCTCTTTTGCATAACTATCCAGGGAGAAGTCTTTCTGAGCTGCATGTCCTCAATGAGGGGTAGAGCCCGTCATCATCCCTGTCTTCGCAAGGCTGCTGCTAACGACTGGTAATGCCCCCATCCGGTTATCCCTGCTGAGTTGGAATATTCGAAATCTATCACCATTTAGATAATCGTCAGCATTCAAGAAATTGAAACGGAAGCAGACAGAAAAAAAAAAAAAAGAAAAGAAGGATGGGGGGGAAGAGAATAAAATGATTCGTCTTGGACAATGAGCACACTCGTGCTAGGAGACACTTTACTTTTCTTCGGTTTTTTCTTTTTTTCCTTTGGCAACCGGCGTCGCGACGATGGCAATTCTATTACGCAGTAATATTATACACCACTATATGCGCTACGTACCAGGCCATGCTGTACAACCCCTGTGCCCTCTGATCGCAGGCGAATGGGTGGCCCGTGGTCTTAACGCCTGTTGGATGTGTATTGAATCTACCCTTTCGAAGACAGCCACTCCTGTTGCTGTCTGGCAGAATACCTTCAATTAGGTAATTTCCAACGACCAGACGGCTTGTCCTGGTTGGCCCTTTTGCCATCCCATACATGGCATTTGATTCATTGCAGCCTGGGCAGAACCGTGCTTTGATCCTTTCCCTACTGTCTCTCCGCGTCTGGCGTTTTCATCCTGACGTTCGACAGTCCAAAGAGCGGGGGGAAATAGAAAAAGGAAAAAAAAAAAAAAAAAAAGGAGCATGATGAAGAAACTCTTCAGAATCTCGCAGTCGATCCGATCTTGCCGCGGTGATTATCAAAGCTCTCTTCGAGGAGAATTTCTTTTGTCCAGCTCTCCGAAACCCTCCAATCAACAAAACTGCGCATCGCTATTAAGTAAGGCGGACATAGGAAAAAAGCGCAAATGAGAAGATGACATTGGACCTGCCTCGGTTTTCTGCCTTGGCGCACGGTGGATCCAAGAAGGGACTCACGCTCCTCTACTGCAGATGGTGGTCCAAGTTGTACCGATGTTGGTCACTCGTGCGCCAATGATAATTGTGGGATCAACCGATAGGCGCCCAAGGGGCAGCCTGTTGAACAACCTTGGATTTTGCAGCACATGCTCTCGAACCTGGATGATCCTTTCTCTCTGACGATGGTAGGTCAATAACAATGACAATAATAAGAATGAGAGAAAATGGAAAAAGAAAATTTCGACTCCACAGGTGCAATCTCGCTTTGAGGCAGGCATGCAGCCCTGGCACCAGGCGACATCTGCTTTCCCTGACCATGGCACCCCCGGGAGTAACCCTCATATGCTTACCTATTTTGCACTTTGCGGCCCAAATGACCAGGGCCGGGTTATGCTAGTGCCGATGGATCATGCTATGACGCTTTTTTTTGCTCTGACGGCTCGGACCGTCTACGGGCAGAACTAACTACTGGCGAGTCGTGGCCAACAGGTCATCTGTGTTGACAGCCTCGAGCCAAGCTATCTGGTTCGACTGCGGGGCCCCTGGTGTATCGTCTAGGCTGCCACAGCCACCGAGGTCTGAGGGATATCGAGCGACCGTACCGATTGATATCGTGACGGATCACAATACACGTCACTGTCGAATCGGCCTCTATAAAGTGTCCGTCGAGGTGGGGGCAGAGTAGTGTCGCGCGTACATGCGGGGCCCTTGGGGGTGACAGAGACAGCCCGTTCTCTGATAAACCTGATATCAAGATGCATGGAGCGAGGGAACCCTCACTCAGCCTCTTCTTTTCTTGACAACACCCGTGCCCCGCTAGCAGTTCTCCAACCATTATTTACTGGCGTCTGCCCCTCCCCCTCCTTTGTTCTTGTTCCCCTGTGACCCCACGCTCGGTCTATCAGGATCTACCCAAACACTCTCTGGTCTTAGGGATCAAGACGACTGCTTCAACCTTATTTTTTCATCCCCTACAAGTTACTGCTTCTGGTCGTGATGGATAGAATGTCCCGACAACCCAAGCTTCGCCCCAAGTCGTACATCCCGGGCTTCCCAGATGCTATCTATGATCTGTCCGCGGTTCAATCCCTGTCGCAACTTGAATCCCGCGCGGGGTTGATCGATGACAAGCATGATCAGCGCGTCTTTCGGGTCAAGCGCAAGCATGTCCTCAAGGCTTGTGACCGATGTCGAGTGAAAAAGACCAAGGTTGGTTGAGTCGACGCTGTTTTTTTCTTCATGTTTATGCAATGGTGTATCGTCTCGCACGACTCGTGCCGGCTGATACTTGGTTAGTGTGATGGGAAACAACCATGCAATCGCTGTTCGGCATACAACCACCCTTGTTTATTCCGGGAGAGGAAGGCCACGCAGACCAAAGTGTACTCTCGAGGGTGAGTCGATTCCGTTTCTCTGGTAAATAAGGTTAGGGCTGGGCTAATAGGTCATATTTCATTCAGATTCGTCGAGATGCTGGAGTCGCACCATTCGCTCGTCGTGAAGGCCTTGCAGAAGCTTTATAAACTGTGCCTCAACCAAGAAGGATTCCCGGGGGAGCCTCTCGTTGAATCACCCGATGGCTATCCTCTAACCCATGCGATCCTCGACCGTCTCGGTCTGATTAAACAAGCCGAGGAGAGCCACGAGGACGCAGAAGAAGATACGGAAGACCTTCAATTCTTGCGCTTGCTGTCCACCTCGACAGACTCTAGTGCCGCATCGGATCCGTCCCCAGAGCCTGCCACGCCCCCAGACCCTTCCCCTTGCACCAGCAGCCCGGTGACCCTTTCCCCTCGGACCGGAGGTCCCTGGAAATGGGAGTTCCCGCCAGTCCCCACCGGACACGCAGGGCATTATCAAAGCCTTGCGCAGCCCGGCTTCCAAGGCATCTCTCTGTCGCGGCCCTCTCTTGAGCCAGCACACCCTACAAGCGAAGCTAAAATGCCACAATCCGTGGGCCCAATCTCTAACCCGAACCATCACTACTCTTATTATGAAAATGACCACTGTAACGGATTACCATCCAAGACGTGTTTTGCGCTGCCCGGTGCCCCCACAGCACCGGGGTTCCATCCCGCAACAACCGCGCCTGGTATGCCGGTCGACATGCTATCAGACTACGCACTCCCAATGACAGACCACCAAGCCATGTACCCGACGGTTGCACCCGGCTGGAACTACCCTTGTGGATGACGACGACTCTTCCAGATTAACATTCGCTCGATTCATATTCGTTTCCAGTCCATTCTTCCAGTGTTCGGTTGCATACCCAAGCCTTGACAGCTTTTCCATTCGTTGTATTTTTGTCCCTCCGCATGCGCTGTATGTCGCTTGCATTGTCGAAGTCGCCTTTTCCCCTCCCCTCCCCATCAACCGAAGGATGATGATAAGCATATATATGATGCTCTCATCATCCTCTATAACAATCCAGGACAATCATACTTTCTTTGACCAGGTATCTGCTATCTATATTATATATACGCCGGTTCTATACCATACCATTGTCAATGAATTACCATCCATTCCAGCGGCGCTTCTGGCCCTGAATTTACCACCCCATACGAGATAAAACCATACGATTGTTTCAAGAATATTCAGTAGTATTGATCATGCTGTCATACTCGCAGATGCGTCACATATATACATATATTCCTATCCATAGCTGCAAATCTACATACAATCCAAGTAAATCAATCAAAGATCCTCCCAACAGATATACAAGCCGTACCCCCCAATCAGCAGTCCCCGGGTGCCGTTTTAGTAGTCGTCGTCGAAGACGCCGCCTCACGCAAACTCCTCAACCGCAGATAACACTGCCTCGGCTGATGCGTCAACTTGTCAACAGCCGCATAAGAATTCACCTTCTCCGGCAGAACCCGCAACTCAAAGTCCCAAAGCAACAGCACAAACACAATCTTCAGCTCCATGTACGCCATCCGTCGCCCAAAACACCCCCGCGGGCCCAGCCCGAACGTCAAAAACGGCCCCGCGGTCGAATCGAACACTTCTTTCCCGGTGTCGGGGTCAGTAGTCAGCCACCGCTCGGGCTTGAACAAGTGCGAGTCAGACGGATCCCACACGCCGACCCTCCCCTTCGCCTTCTGGCAGCTCTCGCTGCGCTCATGCTCGGCGATGGATCCTACGGGTGGAGCGTGGAAATCGGGCCCGTTGCCCATTAGGAAGACGGTTGTGCCCTTGGGGATGTGGTGGCCGAGGAGGACGACGTCTGTCGTGGTTGTGCGGGAGATGGCGGAGCCGGTGTTTGATTTGCGGATGATTTCTTCCTGCGTGGCGTCGAGGTAGGGGATGTGGGTTTTGGCGATTTCGTCTGCTGTGGGGCGGCGGTTTTCGCGCAGCGCGGTGGAGAAGTTGGCGTGCAGGGCGCTGCGCAGCTTGGTTTGCACTTCTTGGTGGTCGGAGAGGAATTTTAGACCCCAGGTTGCTGTTGTGGAGGTTGTGTCGTGGCCGGCTACGAGGAGGCCGAAGAGCTGTTTCTTGCGTTAGTTTGATGGGATGTGGTTTTGGGTTTGGGGGGTAAAGGACTAGTGTAGGGGGGGGAGTGTCTCACCTCGTCATACATGGTTCGGGTGTCGTAATCAGGTTCGCGGTTCTGCTTCTGCGCGGCGGCGATCTCGCGGCGCAGGATGTCGTCCATGGCGCATCTGGTGGCTGGTTGCTCGCCGTTGGCTTGCTCCACGAGTCGGGCTTTCCCGCGGGCGAGTTCCGACGCGATCATCTCCTCTTTGACGGCTCTAGCGTCGCGCATAGCCTTCGTCATACTGAGGAGTTTGAACGACAGCGCCGGGATGGGCGCGATCAGCGTTTTCTCCAGGCTGTCCGTGAGCGTGAGGATGGCGTCCTGCGCAGCCGGCATCGGCGGCTCCGGGAACGGCACAGCATCGTCGTCATTGTCGGTGAATGAGCCTGTTGGGAGACGTTCCAGAGAACGGAGGAGCTGGAGCCGGGCGTGGATAATCCCGTCTTTCAGATCTTGCGGGAAAGTGACGCCCCAGATTGCGTCTAGCGCTGCGGCGAAGAAGTCATCGCCTGCGACAAAGGGGCGGCCTTGAGCCAGGCGCGCCTTTTCAGTCCACAGGTCGAAGAGAGCCGAGAACGATGCGTATAGCCGTGGGGCGGAGACCTACCGGTGGGTTAGTTTGGGGGCGGTGTTTCTAACGCGGTAGCGTAATTCTCCCAACTCACCTCGTTCAAAAACTGCGGCGTCATCAGATCCTGGATCAGCCGTCGATGGCCCTTGAACTCGGGGTTCGTCGACTTCATGGAGATATGATGATCAGGGACCAAGCCGCGGAAAATATTTCCGAACGTGTCGCTGCGATCGAACTCTTTCGTGCGTCTCAGCAGGATGTCGTAGCTCTCGCGGGAATCCGTGACTACGACCCATGGCTTTGACAGCGGCTTGATGAACACCTGGAAGATCGGGGTGCCCATCTTTTGGGCCTCCAGCGCGAACCAGCTTAGCTTTTCGCCGGTTTCTCGCGCGTATTGCTTCACCCTGGGCAGGTCGCCCAGGAGCCGGTTGGCCGAGTCCTCGTTGTATGGGATTCCCGGGATTGGGTGAGGTCGACATTTTCTGTAGGCGATGTAGATGATTAGGGACAACAGGGCGCCTAGGACGGCGCTGGTTGGTAATGATGCCATGGTGCAAAGCTATACGACAGCCCTGGGACCCGGTTAGAGGACATTAGAGAGAAGACAGGGGCGGCGCATGTCGAGTCGTGTCCTCGGGGTTGATATATGGTTCTTTTTTTCCTTTCTATTTTAGTTTTAATTTTAATATTGATTACTATTTTTTTTTTCTCTCTCTCTCTTCCCTCAGATAAGCCAAGAACCGGTTTGTCGGATGTCAAAAGGGCATGTTAACTAATTGGATAGTTTCACTTCCAATTGGCTTGGATGTGGTTAGTAGGGGAGACTTCATCCGCTGACCCACCGATACAATAGACCAGTTCCTAACTATCCTTTTCCCCGCATGCGCAGTTTGTCCGACAGCTATCCTCCCGAAAGTCAAGGGGGCTTTGGTGTGTTCCCTGAAACAGTTAGAGTCGCGACGATGCTTGTCGATCGGGGGACTAGCTAACACAAGTACGTTCATCCGCCAGGGGGTGGATTAAAGGAACTTGAGCAGCGTACACTACGGCAGACTCTACTAGATCCATAGTGGAAAGGGAACTTGTGTCTGAAATTCGCATCCTGAGAATCATCCAAGTTGACTGATCCCTTGAAACCGTTCTTCTTGAGAGAAATATGAGAGATATTAAGTGTTGCCCGGTCGGAGCAATCTCAACCCGCTCCGGACGTTTTGTGGCTCCGATCGGCATCAAGGATAGACCCAGACCACACAACATGACAGGTGGGCTTAGGCCGCTCTGACTGCGACTGACTGAGACAGTCCTAGACCATCGCGGAGGACATCCCGGCTCGAGACTAACTGGCCAAGGGTATGACTATGAACGTGAAGATGAACGTGAAGATGGATATGCACTCATGGTGGGGAGCCACCGCGCAATACTCGCGATAGGCCGGCCATTATGAGTACCAAGCAAGCCAACAGAGCTAATGCAGGACGTTAATAAGTTAATATACCACCATTCGTGGATCTGCAACTAACCTAGCTGCTCATGCTCATGTGAGTGTCGAACGAGGGCGTAAGGAACGGGATCCTTAGCGGGAGGGAAAGGAAAATAACACGTCTGCTTATCCCAAACAGTGGGCCCATTCCAAGCTTCCGGCCCTCCCACCATTCCGGTCTGTGCGTGGAATAGTACCCATTACTTGGATGACAGGGAGGATGCCACCGCATTAGAGCGCGAGAGATGTATCCAGTACCGGAAAACCCCCATGGATGCGGGTGACCGTCGGCCGTCGGCAGCTGGCAGTTGGCAGTGACTGTACAACAGAAAACAGAGTAACGAGCCTGGGAAAACCGGGACTGCCAATACATGCTACACTCCTGAAATTAGTCCAATATTAGTAGGAAAAATTCAAAAGGAAAGAGATATCCCAGCGAGTAAGAAGGAAACGGAAGGTGTCTCACACAATCATACAATCATACCCTGCCCCATGCCGTCCGAGACCACCTCTGTAAATCAGCCGTTGACCACATCCGTCGTGGGATCAGCAAGTGGACACACGCCAACGCCAACCTCGCCCGCATCCGCGTGCCCCGTTCGACCTAGCGACCCAGCCCCGCTGTACCGTCGCAGTCAGTGGACCCAAAGCTCCGGGCCAGCTGCGTATCTCGAGCTCGACTGGACGGGAGTCGAGCCGCAGCGATAGAGGGTGGGGGGATGGGGGGGTGAGGGAAGCCATTGTCCACTAGGGCCTCGGGCTGAAATCGCTGTCAGACTGCGGTGTATTAACTATCCGCGGGTTTCGACTTCCCTGTCAGACGGGCTGTTAGGCGAGCAGCTAGGACCTCGTGGTGTTCACTGCTTGGTATTGTTTCCCGGTGATTCCCGTCCGGGTTCCCCATCCGGGTGAGATGCGTTGACGTCTATCCGAACTGGATTGCCCCTGTGCATGGATGTACATCTAGTGGTGGGACCTGGTGTGTCACTTAATCCTGCGCACTTAGGGTATGGTACTAATAGATGTCTCTTGAATGGTGAGTCGGGGGGGTATGACATGGGAACTAATTTGTTGGCCATTATAGGGACGAATTCTTGACACTGCTGGGTTGGGAGAGGATTCCACCTCCATCGTGTGGAGGGCACTCAACGAAATTGATGAAGCCCATGATATCAGTGACAGGTTTCATGAAAGATAGGATTTGGAGATGTGGAGAAGAGGGAAGAGTCAGACGTGCAGATTCCGAAACGAAAATCGTCAGGCACAGTCAGGTGACACACTCGACGCCTTGAAAACACGGCCACTTCTCACGCATGCCTTAGGCGTTGTATTTTGATTTTGTCTATAGAGGTGCAACACCTAGTCAAGTCGAAGACCATACCAGGTCTACTTAGGATTGAACAAGTAATACGAATGCTTCAACATGTCAACTTCAACGCCTGGTCTCAATGCATGATAATCTAACACAAATCAAATCCAAGTTCAAGTTCAAACAAATAAACCCAGAGAAACCAATCAAGGCGGTACCTATGAAAGCAAAGGGTTGTCGACCATGGGTAAGGTAGGTGACCCAGTGCTCCTAGCACCACTCGGGCTTTCCACTCTGCGTCCTTGTCCAGGGAGCCGGTTCCAAGAAGATAATGCTGAAAACCCAGGGAGAGAAGGAAGAGAGGAAGAAAAGCGGAAGGGAAATTGGGGGGGGGGGGGAGAAAGAACAGGCAATCAAATCGGTCATTTTCCATCAAAAAAAGTAAAAATAAAAAGCTAGCTAGCTGACTCGCTCATCCATTCCTAGATTATAGGTTGGCTTGGGGTAATTTATAAATGTACAGGACGGTGCTTCCCCTCTTTTCCTGTTCTTCGGTTGTACCTTTCAAATAAATGATTTTCTAAGATTGCTTTAGTCCTCGACGTCAGTCTCGGTGTTGGTATCACTGGTGTCTCCCGCGTCGCCGTCCGTATCGCTTTCGTCTTCGCTGGAGTCGTCCGACGGCTTGCGCGGCTTCTTCTTGGGGGCTTGACCCGTCTTGAGCGCGTGCATTTGGCCGGCGATGGAGTCTGGAGTCATCAACGTTAGCGTTTGCTAGGTTAAGTCAGCTGGAAAGGAAACACATACCTTCATCAGGCTCGCTAATATCGTCCTCGTCGTCCAAGGCGGCGGCCTTGGCCGGGTCGTCGATGTGCAGGGTGATGTCCAGCTTCGTGTCGAGTCCGAGGTAGCTGTCACAGAGCATATGCAGGACGAAGTGGAAGTCCCCGACCTGCGGAGGCGCCTGGAACTGCATCTTGAGGGTCTGGACGTTGAAGGTGGGCTTGCCAGCCTCGTCAAACAGGGGCTTGTCGAACGTAGTGAAGGTAAACGGAGGCACGGCCATCTTGCCTTGCCGGGCGTCAGCCAGGAAGATGTGCCAGCGCGGGGCGTGGTCGCGGGCCAGATAGGGGGCGTGAGCAAGCGGGGGCTGGATGGCATCCGCCTTCTTATCAGTCTTCTTGCCGTCGGCGGTCTTGGTGGCCTTGTTCTTGGCAGGCTTGCGGCCCATCAGCGCATCAATGTCGTCCTCATCCGGGTCGATGTCTTCCAGATCCAGGGGGTTGACGGCGGGGGCGTTGCTGTAACCGGGCGGGACGAACCGCGCCTTGACAACCAGTTGGACTAGACTGCTGGGGGTGATGACCTTTTCGCCCATGACCTTGAAGAAGGCCTTGGACACGTCGAGAACCGGGAGTTGCTTGGCCACCTGGATGGCGCTCGTGTATTCCTTGTCGGACAGGAGACCGGCCCCGACCGTGAGGTTGCGCCGCTTGTCCTCGGGCATGTCCATATATCTTTGCACGGTGGTATGGCTCTTAGCGTCGGCGCCCTCGATGGACTTGACAACAGCGTCGGTGAAGTGGGGCAGTTGCAGGAGCGGCGACGAACCGGGGGCCACGGCTTGGATCAACTCCTGCGACGTGTGGAAAGCGCTCAGGATGGGGCGCAGGTTGCCAAACCCGAGCGAGATGGCCGTGAAGGAATCGTTGAGAGACAGGGCAATGGGGGCAGCTTCGAACTTCTCCCCGTTCAAGACAGTATCTTCGAGATCAATGCGGCCCAGATAAGCCCACAGCAACGCCAGGGCCTTGCGCCGACTGGAGTCATCCAATTCTTTGAGGGCTTTGCGGTCCTGAGCCGAGAGAAACTTGTTATCCTCAGCGAGCACCTTCTGTTCCAGCTTGGCTAACCCAGCGTCACTTTGCGGGCCCTTAAGCATCTCCTTGAACTCATCGCCCGACGACAGGGCCTTGACGATGCCCGGCTCGAGGATGTCCTCCTTGTACTCGCGGAAAATGTTTCCAGCACTGGCGACGAGAACACGCTCCTTCGTGTACCGCTGCGAGCCGTACCACCAGCGTCCGACGATATAAGGCAAAAGCACACCCAGCAGAGCTCCGTAAACCAGCAAGACATACTTTCCGTTCCCCTCGGTGACGATAAGCTTGGGCAGGGCGATTCCGATGCTGAAACTCTGCTTGCCATCGGGATGGCCAAATTGGATGTAATTATTGCGCACCTCCTCATCCGTCAGCGCTTTGTAGGCCTTGGTGAGTTCCACGAATCGATCATTCAGCGTCTCAAGCGTCTCATTCTTGGCAGGGTCCGGTCTAATCTTGTCAGGATGGAAGATGAGCGAGAGACGCTTGTAATGCCTGGAGATGGCTTTTTCATCGGCGCTCTGTGGGAGGGCACGTCAGTGTATGTTCATCGAGAAGGATGTGATGCCGAACAGGAAAGTACGTACCCGCGAAATACCCAAGATGTCATATGGATCCCAGACTTTGTCCACCGTCCGGGCAGTGACAACAATGAGATAGATCATCCACGCAATGGTGGCATAGCCCAGAATCACGGTAACAATGCGCTTTATGCGGCGCTCCTTGCGCAGGCGTTTCCGCTTCTGCGTGTCGATAAGATCGCCATGCTCGGGCGTGAAATCTGACTTTATTCGGGGCGCGGTGTTTTCGAGCTCTGCGCGAGATCAACGTTAGCGGAAGGTGATAGAGTGAAGACAAAACTGGTACGAACCCTTGCTCGGCTTCAGAAGATTGTATGTTAAAGGGAACGTGACCAGACCGGCGATGGTCAGGACGAAGAACGGGAAGAATTGCCCCTAGAGAACCGTCAGTATGTGCTCGTAGACGACATGACGAGGGATCTGGGTAGGCACCTTCTCATCATAGTTGTAGTCCGTCGACATGATGCAATGTGTTCAAGCAAAAAGACACGGTCGCCCGTGATGGGCAGAAGTGATGGCGAACAAGGAACCAGGACCTGTTCGGCACAACAATGTGTAACAAGACGAGTTTAGTTCCTGACCGGACAGGGAGGATCACGGTACAAAGGAAGTAGGAACAGGAACAGATTAGGTCAGGGTCCCCAGAAGCATGTCCTCTTGGAGTCAGTCAAGTTCCTTGAGGGGAAAGTCGGTTTCTAATATCAAAGGCGGGAGGAAGAGAGAGTGACAAGTGAACAAACATCACGTCCGAGAGTTATCGCCGCATCGGCCTTGGGAACTCTTGTGATCGACCGTGTCCTTTACGGGTCCTCTTGGACTTCACCGCCTTCCCGTTTGGGATGCTGAGGTCAGACGCCCGCCCTTTCAGGCCACCTACGCAACCGCAAGGCTCTTTTCTTCCTTTTTAAAACTTCTGGCTCCACTACTGGCTACAGGCAGTGTATTTATCCCTTCAGAGATGATGGAGTGGGTGTGGCTTTACTGCCTTGAATATGTTAACTGACTATGCCTAATCTAGTCTAGGGTTCTTTGGGTGGGTTATAGTTATTAGGCACTTTTATATACTTGGTATGTATACGAGATTAATAGAGGTTATATATCAAGCTAAAGATATATCTAAAGATCTTCGATTTAATATCTCTTTATTTGTTCAAAGATTATATACCTACCGACCTAGGTAGTGAAGGCAGCATCCATGTACAATCCTTCAATCCAAGCAGACTAGGTACCCGTTAAGCAGAGTAAGGGGTCAGGGTAGCAGGGTACATAATGCTCCTACTAGATAAATAGCGGTATGAATCCCCAGCATCACTGTCCCAGGTGCTACTCATGTTATGCAGCACTTCGTTAGATAGCTACTGTCGATCAACATAAGGCGGATTGTATCCCAGCTGGCTCATATCGCAAGCGAGAAAAGCAAGATGTCACGCGCGCCCCTGGGTATATTCCAGCCATGTCTCCCCGCTTCCCCAGCTTCATTTTTATATGGACGCTAACATACCTAGTGGAATATGCTCCCTTGCCTTGTGCTTTGGGTTTGGGTGCCCTTGGGTTCTGGTTGTAACTAGAAGAGAAAAGAATGTATGAGACTGTGGCTAATTCACGTAGTAATATAAAATCATCTAGACTCTAATTTATAGTAAAGAATGTGGGAAAGTATACAAAGTATACAAAATATAAGTATATTAGTCCAATAGTAACAATCTCTCAAGTCGATTCGACTCAGTAAGGTATTAAAGAGTGGGAAAGTAATAATAAAAACTATCCATCTCAAGGCCAATAAGAACACTACCCAACAATTAGACAACAGACCATGATGCTAAGCTCAATGACATGCTTTCCCTGTTTAAGCACGCTATACCGGATTTACTGTCACCACCGACTACAAACAATTATGGAAATGATAAATAAATAGATAAAAAATTGAAACTTTTGTCATTATTCATACAAGATTTCGCTCACCCGTTCTGGGTGTACAGGCATATATCTAGTTATCATGACCGGCTAATAAACAAATCTAATTGCTTTTGATACCCTATGATCTTTTCCCCCCAAGGCAGCACGGAGGAAAAGACATATCAACTGCGCGCCCTGTCTTCCATCCCTGCGCGTTTTCAAAGATGGCACGATAACCCATCGAAAGAGTGCAAAGACAGAGACGCCTCATGCACCGCTCATAATGGAGACGCAGGGCCAATACCCGGCCAGCCCGTTGTGGCAGGGATTTCAAGCGCCAGCAGGCGAGGCGCGAACTCAACCCACACACAAAGCAGACATGGTCAGGTCATGACGGTGATCTCGACACCATTCGCGTGCAGAGTCGTCTCCGTACCAGAACTTCCGCGGCCAAGTCTATAGGACCAATCCGATGTCACGGAGACATCTTCATTGCTTCAAGTCGACGGCTCGGGGATCCGCTGAAATTTGATGCTCCCGCCTCTTCGAGCGTGGGGTGTGATATCTGTTGTTTTTTTTTTTCCGTTGCAGAGTGGTTATTGTCCTCTGGGCGGGTTTGACTTCCGCCATAAATAGGACTGGGGCCGACGGATAGGTTGCGGAGTAGCCTTTTTTTTCGAGTGTGTATTTTCTCCCTTTCCCTCGTTTTAAATATAATTTTGTTTGGAATGAGCATCAACCGAAAGCAGCGAGTTAGCACTGCTGATAACTCATCCGGGCGAGTAATCCATGGATTGGTAGCTGGTTATCGTTAGAGTGTTGTCCATATAGATGCGATATAGGAGACGGAGATACTCACGAATTAATATAATCGAGACCACCAAAATATTCGAGCATGCGGTAACAAAGACCGACGTCGTCTCCCGGTACACCCCCAAACAGTCGACACTGCTGTGCCTCCAGGCCCGCTTCTAGCCGCACATTCCGTTCACGCCTCGACCACGCCGGATGCCCCTGATGCCAGGTGGGGGCGAGGACATCCGGCATGGAGCTCAGTTGATCAATGGCGACATTGGTGGCTATAGTGCTGGACTCGGTGGGAACAAAGCGGTCGACGGTGGTTGATGGATCGGCGGGAGTCAATTGGACATTGCGATTTCGAGATCGTGGGCGTGTGCGACGTCTGTTATGCCTCTGTCCCATTCTCTAGGGATCTCTTTCTTTTTCTTATTTTCTGTTGGTTCTCTCTATTGTCTGATATCCGATCTGACAATTGAAAGTCGGGGAAGAAGGATCGTAAACAAATATTTCAAAAACCAAACGTGCCGAGGGAGATCACGGCGGAGGACAAATAATGAAGGGAGTGACCATCATCCCGGGGAAGGATGAGATGAGGTAGGGGAAAAAAAAACCCAGGGGAGCCATCTCGAATCCAGTCGGGAGGAACAAAGATCTTATATACTGAAAGACCCAAGTGGGAAACCAGTAGAAATGGTGTGACTCACTGGAGCCGGAGAAGAAGAAATCCCCAATAGGGTTTCCGCCGGGCAACCCAAAGGGATCCACCGACCCTCGGGATCCGCAACTCCACCCACTGGGCAGTCTAGAAGCAGACGTACCTAAAACCTTGCGGATGGCGCAACATGGGCTCATCGGCAGTCGGAATTACGTCGTGCTGACTCGTTTGGTCGGGAAGAAAATTCTACCTGATTTGGCGAGTCACCCAGTGGCAGCCGTTGTCGTGACCTTAAGGCATCTATGGATTGATAAGAGGGGATTCAGGAAACCACGCCATCTGGCAAAATCTTTCCCTCGAATCACAACATCTGGCGTAACGGGATGGAACATGGATCATGACAACTTGATCCTGATCTGTTCTTAGCTACGGGATACTAGTCAATATCTCATCAGGCAAGCTGACCTCCCGAGGATGAGTTAGCCCTGCAAATTGGCAAGGATGCTGAATGCATGTACGGAGGTCGATCAGGAGACAAAAAAAAAAATATTATATTGAGTGGTCTGATTGAGAAATGTGACAATACCGTAATGCTGTCAGACAAGACCTGTCTGGTAACACGGCATTTTTTGGTGTGATTCTTCGGCGCCGTCCGGTCCGGCCGGGAGGTGTAACAAACCCGTACAAGCTTTCAATACGGACCCGCAGGAATTCTTGTTCCAGGATTCATCTTGGCAGATTCTTCATCCTTACCCAATATAATAAAACAGGATGAAATTATAACGGCTCCTCGGCAGGAATCAGACAGAAAGAGATGATATCATCGGCATAATTTTTTTTTCATTCTAGCTTCCCTGAGAAGATTCCAAGTTTACAACACACCGCACACTTACAGGCCACTAACCTACAAACCACTATACTACCTTGGGGACAGGAGAAGAACAGGAGTGGTCCCCTCCTATGACCAGTCAAAATCTGCTACCTACATCGTGCATATTGAAACCCATCTCGGCATGTATGCTGTAGTTTGACACCAATGCTAACCGACCGTATCTGCATGTCCACACATACTTCAGTTGTCCACACATGCTTCAAATTGACATTTCCACCCAGTAATATTATCATCTTCATAACAGGCACCACTTAGGTGCCTGAAACACGCATATTCCATTTACTGGTCTATGAGCACCTATGAAATTGAAGGGGGATGAGGTCAGGGCAAAGTCTAGAACGGTTATCATCGGCACCTTGGTTGATGATGGGGCACACAACAGAATTAAATAAAAATGTAAAATATAAAATAAACCCCCCAAAAATGACGAAAACAACAACAAAAAAAGGTGAAATAAAAAATCAAAGGGAAAAAAAAAAAAAAAAAAAGAGAGAGAAAAACCAGCCCGGCTCATTTTTCCCTGCAGCTTCAGTTCAAACTCCACCCAGTGGCGTGTTATTGGGGAAACAAGGCCCATTTTGAATTATCTAGCGTCATGCAGGCCTGTCGTGGCATGGCTGCTGTGGCCGTTGAAGGCTATCATCCACTGACACATGTTTGTTTGATGCGTAGTATATGTAGGTCAGCCATGTAAGGCAGGGAGAGAGCTCTGTACAAGGTACACCCTGTCTGAGTAGTTAGTATATACATCTCCACAATATGGAGTATACTCGTGCATGTATGCAGTCGGGACTCGGGTGAGATGAAATGGCATGTCTGGTAGCTGTAGCTAAGTTTTTACGATGTTGTCAGATGACAGTTTGAGTTATACAAGGTCAAGATTGAACGAAAACTCGAAGGGATCGGATCGAGATTGATTGGGTGGATATCAATGCAGCATCGGATTTGACGTCTTGTCTTACGGCTATACCTTACTATTGGAACCGTGTCCCTCCTGAGGTTTCCTTCTCGGACGATATACATTGTTAGGTCTGGTTGGACATATCACAACACCTGATTGCCTCGCATGGTCTATGGTCTGGCAAAAGTTGCCTACAATCACATCCAAGCAATGAGCATCAAGAACCAGGTTCAACACCCAGCCTCTCATACTGGTCGGTGCCAGCACTCGGGAAAGTATGCTTCCAGTTGCCGCATGCCTGCGCATTCACAACTCATTGGATGGGAGAAACTCACTGATGACTACAACTACGTAGCCCGGCCAGTTGACTAACTGTTTCGTGGCCGACTTTGCCTGTTGCCCGTTGGGGACGAAACTGTGGCTCCGCGAATCAGTGCTTCTCGGGTTGTCTTGTTACCCGTGGCACGACAGCTTTCGGGCCCCAGAGTCCTGCAGATTGACAATTTGGGTAATTCTCGTTCTCACCTTCTGTTTATTCTGTCTTAGACTTGGGTTGAGTGGGTTGAAGATTGTCAGAAGCTAGAAGGCTAGAAGGCTAATCGGATGCAAATATAGATTTCCTCAGGGTGAAGTGGAACCCTGCAACGTCACGCTAGTGGTCGATAGTAGCCCTAACTATTTGCATAACGGAGGGAAAGGGGCCCAGGAGGGTCAGGACATGGTGACACCGACGATCCGTATAAACCCAAGAAGTCTAGACTGGCTGAGTAACTTCCCCCCGAGGATATGAAACAGGGTATGACGACGGGGGGGACACGGAAATGAGAAACCACCGTTGGCTTAGTTAGCTACTTGTCGATCCCGCGACGGATGATCTCCAACATCGCCGCCCCTTTCGGCGCCGTCGTCAAGTTCTCGTACCCGGTGCCTGTCACCAGGATGTCGTCTTCGATCCGCACCCCTCCCACACAGATGTACTTGGCGGCTTCCTCGAAGTCGATGTACTGGCCCAGGGGCTGTTTCCGGGCGTTGGCGAGCGCAAGCTCCGAGAAGTAAATCCCCGGCTCGACCGTCACCACCATGCCCTCTTCCAGTAGTGGCACGGAAAGTGCGCTCGAGGGGTGGCTCGCGGCGGGGATGAACTCCCAATGGTGGCGCCTAGGGCTTCGCTGCACGGCGGTGATGGGCTGCTCGGACACGTCGTGCACCTCGAGCCCAACGTGGTGGCCGAGTCCGTGGGGGAAGAAGACGGACGACGCGCCCGACTGGCGGATCTCATCCACGGCTCCGTTCCTCAGAACGCCCAGTCCCTGCAAGCCCTTGATGGCGATCACATGTGCGAGTTCCTGAATGTCGCGGAACCGCACGCCCTTCCTCACAGCCTTGATACATTCCTCCTGCATCTCCTCTACGATGTGGTATATATCCCTGGCGTTTTGGCTGGGCCAATCGCCGCCCAGCGGAAACGTTCGCGTCACGTCGCTGGCGTAGCAGTTCCATTCGGCGCCCGCGTCGAGGCAGACCAGCTGCCTCCCTGCGAGGGACTCGTTGTTCTTCACGTAGTGAAGGGTGGCTGCATTGGGGCCTGACGCCGCGATGATAGCATACGCTTGGTTCTTAGCGCCGTTGGAGACGCAGGTGTTCAAGAACGACCCTTCGATCTGTGTCTCGTTGCTCATTTTGAGCACGTTCTCCAGAACCCTCCGGTGAGCCAGGCCAGAGACCTCATTCGCTCGGCGGATCATGCGTATCTCGTACTCGTCCTTGATCACCCGCGCTGCGTCCATGGCCGGCAGCAGCCGCCTGTCATCCACGTAGAGGCCCGTCCCGGGTATAGTTGGTACCTGGGTGTCGTGGAGGGCGTAGATTGGGGCAGCTCGATTATATCTGTTGACCCACGACACCAGATCCGGCTGCAGAGAAGCCTGATAGCAGGCGCGGTCCACGTCAAACCGGTCGAGGGCATCGTCAACGGTCAGGGTCGGCCCCATCCATATCGCACGGTGCAGGTCAAAGTCCGGGACATAGAGAGTCAGGAGGTCGTTCTGGATATCGTAGGTCAGGTAGCAATCCGGTTCATCGGCGCCGCAGAGATAGTAGAAGTAACGTCGTTGGCGGAAGGGTTGCGGTTGGTCTGAATCGTCCAGGTTGATTGTCGGTTGGCCGACGAGGTAGATCAACCCCGCGGTCGCCCTCAATTTCGAAGCGACTTTGCGCGCATGTTGTTTGGCTGACGGGGTTGGTTGTTAGTGGACATGGATTGTACAACTGAAGAAGGCCGGCCCTGGGCACACCTGGATATTTATCACAGCCATTGCCGGTCACGGTGAGACGAATGTCGCAGGTATCTGTGAAACGGATGGCCAGATTCGATGAGCCCACGGCGCGCATTTCGAAATGAGTGATCGCTGTATATAGGAAGAGATAGGTATATATATATTAGTAAAAGCGATGAATGGAAATACCCGGACCGGAATCAACCAAGAAAGAAAGGTCTCTAGGCCAGGGATGAAGCTATTGACAGAGTGTGTATAGGTAAACAAGGCGATTGGGGAACACGGTAAGTTACCAGCTGTAACCGCCCGTAACTGACTAACCACGACTCCAACGGTGGTGGCGTTTCTGGATGATATCAATACGAGAGATGCCTGGTATTATAGGCTGTCAATGTGACTTGGTCTTTCAATCATGGGTTCTTTTGAATTCCTTCGTCTTTTCCTTCATATATTATGATTCCTTGCCTATAATGATTGACCTATTGGTATAACTTCCTATATTGACCAAGACATGTGCCACTATCGCATCGAAAGCGTCATCGGCAAATCTGGGCCCCACATGATGGCTCTCTGACCGTCTTACCGTCCGTACGTTCAATACAGACTCAGCCTCCAAACTGACTAAGTCGACAAACTCTCTGACGCCTCCTCTGTCTCTTCTCTCTTTCTGTCTTTCTCATTTCTCATTCTCTCGCCCAACCGGTACCTCCCTCATACTTTTCATCCAATCCAACCTCATCCCTCCCACTCCGTTTCCCCGTTGAGGTGTTCCTGTCTTTTTGGATCTCCCCCCCGCCGCCTTTCTCCCTCCCCCTTCGTACTCGGTCAATCCCGTCTCATCCTTATCGACGTCAGGTCAATGAACGATGCGGGGATCTGAGGCATCGGGGCCTGGTGCTCTGATGGGCGCTCCGTCAACCCTCACCACCTCCGTCCGATCGACTATCTCCTCCATTCATCCGACAGCCGATCCCGAAGTGGTCGCGTCCAATATTCAAAATGTCCTGCTCTCCGTGTCCTCGAACTCGAATGGCGGTCCCGTCGCCGTCGGTAGCACCCCATCCGGGTCCACCGGGAAGGGTATCTTGATCGGCGTCCTATCCGCCTTTGGATCCGCCCTCGTCGCGGTATTGGTGCTGGCCATCTTCTTCTTTTTCAAATACACACAGCGCGGCCGCATCTTCCTCGACAGTATCGGCCGCCCCGGTGAATATGATGATGAGCAGGCGTTTGCGCGCGAGGAGGAGGAGGCTCTGGAAGCCATGGACGATCTGTCGCGGTCGGAGTATTTGAGGGCGAAAGGTGAGTGCACCCCGCGTGCGGTTCCTATTGGGTCGATCGGGCCCGATCCTGTAGGCAGGTCGCTGACAATTGTTTGGCGATGGTAGCCTTTACCGAAGCCAATCCCCCCGAGTCGGTGCAGACCGACATCTCGCTTTCGCAGTTCCTTGCGATCCAAGAAAAAGGCGTGTCCGCCTGGGAATTCCAACCGGAGTTGGAGATCGCCAATTGTTTCGTCGAAGCCCGCACCGAAGTCGAATTCTTCGACTCGGAGTGTAGCGTCCAGACCAACCTTCCGGTTCCGAAGCAGAATGATGTCTACTACTGGGAGGCGAAGATCTTTGATAAGCCGGACAACACCCTTATCAGTATCGGCATGTCCACCAAACCGTACCCTTTGTTTAGATTACCAGGTTCGTACCGCGCATCGGTTTGTGGCAGATCACCGCTTACGCGACCAATTCTAGGCTTCCACAAATCCTCCGTGGCATATCAATCGACAGGACACCGTCGCTACAACCAACCCTTCACCCCAACCCCGTATGGCCCTCAGCTGCTTCAAGGTGATGTGGTCGGCGTGGGATACCGCCCCCGTTCGGGAACCATCTTCTTCACTCGCAACGGGAAGAAGCTGGAGGAGGTGGTCCACGGTCAGAAAGCGCAGAACTACTTCCCTACCATCGGGGCGAATGGGCCCTGCGCGGTCCATGTGAACTTCGGTCAGATGGGATTTGTGTTCATCGAAGGGAACGTGAAAAAGTGGGGCCTCGCACCGATGACAGGAAGCCTGGCTCCTCCGCCACCGTATGGCAGTGAACAGGGCAGCATTCTGCTTGAGTCTGGTCGAGAAAGCGCCGCGCAAATCTCCCAGCGAGTATATCAGAACGCCAACTACGCGCGCACCAATTCGACCGTCCGGATACCCCCGTCGCACAGTCCCGGTCCCGTGCGTTCTCCCACCGACATCTCCCTTACACAACTGGCCCATGTCCCCTCCAATGAGGATGTTGGCGAAGGCTCGAGCCGTACTGGCGAAGACGAAGACCACCAGCACCCACCACTGGACCCAGACGATATCGACCAAATCCCACCACCCGAGTATTCAAGCCCCGACGGCAGTCTGCGGGGCAGCCATGACGAGGAGCATCCGCCAATACCCAGCTATGATGCGGCGGTTGGCAATCACCACGGCCATCACCACGGCCATCACCCGCAGCCAGACGACGACCATCCCAATAACTGATTTCATCTCTCTTTTCCTCTCGCTTTCATTTCATTTCCTTTCGGTGTAATTGGCGGGTTCCTGCAATGCGTATACGACATTTCAGGCCAATTCAATCTCCAGGCGTTATCATTTCCCCCGGTTATCGATTTTAGCGGCCACGGTTTCTGGCGTTTTTCATGGGAAGGTCGGGTGGGTGTCCTGCGGTGGGATCGATCATGCGGGACAGTGCTACCCGGATTGTGGCAATACGGGTTTCCCCTTTTCTAACGTATATATGGAGTGGTACTTTCATGTCTTGCTTTGCTTTGCTTGGTGGGTGTTACGACTTGTTCGGGATGGGGTATTGCTAGGCTGTCTCAGGGTTCAAAGGGACAGACACGACAGGAAGTTAGTGTGTGGAGGTGCAATTCAACGTAATTCCCCGCTGGCTGTCACGATTCGTTCCTTTCGTACCTTAGTACTTGTGCTCGTTTCTCGTCCCTTTTCGTAGAAGATTGGCTAGTCATAGCACCTATCCTGGCTATTTGTGTGCTTTAACACACGTGTCTCCACGCATGATAATGCAGAAACAGCCTCTGTATCAAAATAGCCATACATCTCAAGCCATGGAATATGTGGCTAGACCGTTTCTCACACAATCCCGATCCAAACCTAAATACATACTAAATCAACGACTCAAGCTCCAACAACCTCGCAAACTCCCCATCCGCCTTCTCCAGTAACTCCCGCGGATGCCCCACGGCTGTCACCCGGCCACCGTCCAAAACAGAGACTTGGTCAAAGTCGAGTAGACTGCGGATTCGATGGGCTACCATGATCATGGTGCAGTTGGGGAAGGACGTCCTTAAGACGCGTTGGACCTTGGTGTCTGTTTCTGGGTCTAGACTACACGTTACACATAATATTAGGTCTATTAGTTATCACACCATACCCTTGACATCATGAGAAAGTCTTGTATCCTATTCGGGCAGCCTATCGATGCATATGTGTCGGGAATTGCCATCAAAAGGTAGTTCAGTGGAGTAATCATCAAACTTGTAAGTGACAATGACGTGATGGCTTCACTGACAGCAAGACCTTCCGAGCCTTGTAGCAACGCTAATATCGCATAGGCAGCGAGAGTCACAAGTTGTCCAACAATTATAGGAGAGTTGACTAGGTCAATGTCAGTTCATAGTGAGCCTGATAACACAATATGGTTGACTTGGAAGAGAGATCAAAGCACACATCCATGCATACACGGATTGACTGGAGCTTGCGGAACTTTTTGGAAATTTCAAGCTCTTCCGTGCGCAATCCTTCAATCATAGAGCTCATCACCTGGGTCAACCCAAGGACTTTGACGTTGCGAATCGAGCCTAGGATGGAAGTTGTAAAGTTGATACGCTTCTCGGTGGCCTGAAGCCAGCTTTTTTGTCTAGCGGAAACGGCATTGCCTATGGCAAACGAAAAACCCGTGAAGACTAGACTGGCGCTGTCAAACAATGAACACAGTAAGGAAAATGACAGGGGAAGTGGGCAGACTGACTGATCACCACCACGATAGGAGCGATACAGACAACGCCGACTTGGGTTTGCAGCAACCATGTAGCTAGTGCCAGTTGTAGCACATTAGCTCAAGTCTCGCAGACTACCGAATAGAAATATTTAGCAACCATTTTTATGTCAGCGCCTAGAAGGGCATAGCACTGAATTCGTCAGTGCTTCCGAGTGGCAGATCCATCATATGCTGGAAGACAAGAGCCATTAGACCACCACGAAGCATGGTTGTGGCACGATATCCCAGGTGTTCGTAAGAGGCTCGAGAGACCTGGAATAGAATGTAAGTTTTACTCTTCACGCCGCAGATCAACATCAGATAGCTTACAGCAATTCCGGTAAAGACAATCGCGGTTGCTGCAATCAAGGCATAGCTCATGTCTTGCGACAACGAGCTGGTCTGCTGTAAGACAGTGACGATTTTCCCAATCAGGAAAGGCTGCGCGATACTAAATCCCACGACACAAAGCCGTGGGAAAGGGATCGTCGCGATTTCCCATCGCAGACACCTGATCACCGCCAAGAGCAACGTGTTCTGTCCATTTTGGGTGTATCGAGTCCACGAGTGCGAACCGAGTAAACAATTCTGAAGACAAGAGCTTTGCATGAACAGTAGGCAGAGATTCTCCGGTTAGTAACACGGAGTGCCCTTTCCACAACAAGCTATCCAACCAAGTAAATAAGCCTCGACTAAAAGGTCCGCTCACACTTTCGGTAGAGTGGTCCTTTTCCGTGTACAGAAACCATTTCCGTTTCTCGACATTAATGAGGACCAGGAGAAGTAGCCTAGCGGGTAGAGACGCGGAGAGGCAAGCTGGGTAGACCTGATAGCCGGGTAGCAGCCAGGACGTGCGCACGCGCGCAAGATCCAGGAGCAACGTGACGAACAAGTAAGCAGAAGCAAGAAATGACGGCCGGATGGACCGCAAATGCTCCATGTCAACTAGTACTATAGCGACTAGCGCTGATAAAAGATCCAAAATGGCACTCGCAAGTAAGATGCGCCCTCTGGCAAGGTGCTGCATTGCAACAAGTGCCAGGAGTCCAACCTGAATGGCTGCAAAGGTTACAGAGACAGCCTGCATGAGAACAATGCTTAGAGGTAGGTCCTTCTTCCATAATGTCAAATAGACGCAAGGTTACTAACTAATGTTATCACACGGAATGCGGAAGAGAACACCTTGAGCGACTGTCTAGACAATTGAAACAGGCGAAAGGTTGCCGGAAAAAGGAAGCAAGCCGCTGGTAATATGTTCAAAATCTCGGATTCGAAAACCACTGTGAAGTCGAAGCCTATTCTATAGCAGCGCCTGCACCGAAATCTCGATTAACCCCACCAAATAAGAATTTCGATCACAAGGCATGGCCCGTTCCGTTCCTGGTGAGAGTTCTAGCTGGAATCTTGAAAGCTGGCTGTTTCGTATTCGTTGTGAGATGCCTGGTGACCCCTAATAATGTCTATAGGGAACGAATGGGTCAAGTCATGGAGAGCATCACGCGCATTGAACTGAGCAAATCTATATAGAATCTTACCACTCTAGTCGAACAGATGTTCGGCTGTTCCGCAAACTTTAGGTCCCATCGCCCTCCTATCCCTGAGTAGGGGGCCGAACAAAGAGCAGGCCCACCAAGCACAACACGAACGACCCTGCCAAACCATAATACGGCAGCCCCAGCGCCGTGCCTCCTAGTTTCATTCCAGTCTCAAACAACCACGCGAATGCGGGCCCAGCATACAGCGACCCAGTCGTCTGAAGTATACCGATGGCCGTATTCAATTTAGCCGTGTCTTGCGGTGCCACGTAGCTAGTTGCTAGCGAGCGGCACAGCGGGGCCAGACCGGACCCGAGGCTGTGAATCGCTAGCCCAGCAATTACCACCTCTATCTGTGACGCCGCCATGCAGAATGCTCCGACGGCGGCGATAGCGACAGATGCACGGGCGAGTGTCAAGTCCTTGACCGGTGAGGGCTGGTACCGCAAGAGGATTTTGGAGAGAAGAGGAAGGGTAACGAGTAGGACTACCATGTGGATGACTCCGCGGAGGGTCAAAAAATACCCCGTTTTGGCGAGAGGCCAGTCAAAACGCTTGCTGATGTATTGTGCCAAAAACTGGGATGTACCGAGGACCTCCGGGGCGACTGTGAGAAAGGTGGCCAGGACGATAACCAGAGAAGAAGACTTCAGCGATGCGGTGGAGGAGCCGAGTCGAAGGAGGAGAGAAAGGTGTGATCGGAAGTCACGAGGCTCCTCGTCCGACTCTTGCTCGGAGTTCGAGTCATGTTTTGATGGTGAAAATGTCTCGGGCACGAAGAAGAGCGGGATTAAAGCAACTAGGCTGACGATGAAGGCGATGAAGGCTGAAATCCAAGGTGAAAATGCTTCCATGAAGATGGAGGAAAAGGCTGGTCCAACAGAGGCACCGACTAGATTGGCGAATGCCATGAGGAAGAATGTGGATGCTCTTTTCTATATGTTAGATTTCACATGATTCATCGTAATGGGTGACTGTGAGAGCATACCGGTCTGATTGAGCTACCAAATCCGATGCAATCGAGTATAGATTCGCGAGGAGCACAGTGTTTCCACCCCCGACGACAGCAAACAATGGACCAGCCAGGATGAACTCGACTCGGATGACCCTGGGCATGCCGATTACAGCTAATTCCCAGGCCAAGGATAGTAAGGTCCCAGCCATTGATAGAATAATAATGGGTTTCCGACCGACCCTGTTGATGATCTCAATTTCGATTCCTCGTCATTTTGAGGGTAACTCAAAGATCGCCTCACCTATCAGCCAAAATTCCAAATGGAAAGGCCACGACAAGTCCTAGAGGAGCCATTCAACACCGGACATCTTGAAGCAAAGATCAACAACCACCCATCTAGTACGTACCAACCACGGCCTCTACAAGAGGGAGGCAACCATTAAGGTAAGCCAATCTGGACTGGATCTTTTCAGACTTGCAAAGCTCTTCACTCGGGGCACCTTGTCGAATATATCGGCTGCAAAGGTTGTCTTCGATGAGTCGCGTTAGGGGTACATTGAGACAAGCCCCCGCGGCGGACAGACAGAAGACAACAGCAGACAACCAGTAGATTGAAAGCCACCCCGTGGCTTTCTGCTGTCTACCAAGTAGTGGAGTGGTCTCTTCAAACATTGCTACTAGGTGGGTAGTCGTAGTAGAGAATGACAAGAGATGAGAGAGGGGAAATGTCGGCGAGTCGTGCTAATTCAAAGTGCGCTACCCCCAGGTAGCCAACATTTTACGGCAACCCTGATTGGAAATCCATCGTGTATCCGGTATTGATAAGTTCAAGTCCAGTCCCTATCTAGGATTTATAATTTATGTATAAATCCCGGTAAAGTATCTCGTTAATCAGAATAGAGCTTTTGCGCAAATAGTATGTTCGTTCGAGAGAGAGTGGCCGACCGTTGAATATGGCAATGCTCTCGTATCCTATGAAGTAAATCCAGATAGTGTCGCAAAGCCAGTTAAGGTAAGTCCCATGCATTCCTTGATAGTGCATCAGCAGGACTTTAGATTTCCAGTGTTGTGTTGGCTTGTCAAGTTCGATAGTCTGGTGGGTCGGTCTTCTCTTCGGCTTTGCTGCATCAATATATCCACGCCCGGTGATGTCAAGGTGAAGTCAGGGGATTTTCAACTATAATAAATCCCATCACTATCTTGCAGAGACGTAGAACGCTGGTCGCTGGTCGTCGACTCCATCCTGTCGCAGGTCCGAGCATCAACCGGTCGTGGCTATCTCGAGCGATTCAATACCTGGCACGAAATGCCATCATACCTGTCCATTAGTGCTTACTCGGTGCGACAGGGGTGACTTCTTGATTGCCTAAGCGACGACATCAACTGGTTTGTGGTCATAACAAAGGACGGAGTTGGTTATGTCAATTTGATATCAGGGTGGCTCGGGGATATATACCAAGACGGATCACGGGACTCGATCGCTTTGATGAACTTCTTCTGGGAATAATTATAGACAATGTTAACTAGACTCAATCTGCATCCGGTGGAGCAACCGCAACTCATTCTCCCCTCTCTCACCAATGAGATCTAGTCCATGATGCGAATTAGACTTGATCGTTGAACCAGAAACAAGAAGAACGATTGATCTACAGTGCTCCGTGCACCTTTAGGAAGAGAGCCTTCCATTAATTAGGTTTGAGTCTTCCTCTCATGCGCCCCCCCTTCATCCTCTAGGTTATTCCTTATATTATGGATACGCCCTCTTCAATCTGCTTTCGCATGTCTTTTTTCCTCTTTCCTTTCTTTTATTCCCCTGTCATTTTTGGCCCCTTGACTGACCCCTGTGGAAGCCCACCGCTCTTCGACCAGCCACTTCTACTCCGTCTCCGCTACGGACATCCCCGGAAACTTCCCCCACACAGATCGGCTGTCTTGAACGGAACTCGATGATCTGAGATCGGATTAAATACCATTGGCCTTGTCTTATCCCCACACTCTCGTACGCTCAGGATCGAGGCTTTCGCCCCCTCCCCGACCGGACCGTCTCCCAGCCACCGACCGCAGCCGTGCAGTGGCCGCTTAGTCGTCAGTCGTCGAATGCGGAAGTGTCTCTCCCTGCCTCTCTCATTGGCACGCACCCGAGCGAGGTGCAGCTCATCTCGTGTGACAGAAGTCTGCTTGGAATACGTCGATTTCACTTAAATTCGATTAACAATTCGTCATTTGACCGGTCCTATTGCGTGTCGGCGGCGTCGCTAGTTCCCTGGAAGGCTGGTCATATTTCCAATCCGTCCCCGACCACCCAGATCGGCGCTTTGGATCATAGTTTGAATCCTAGCTGGCCCTTAACCCTGGGCTGAGGGTGAATACCATCCCCCGTAGTTAATTCGAGTGCGACTATTTCCAACTACCTATCGACTTACCTCCGACAAGCGCCGGGGATTCGGCCATACCCTGCGACTGTGCCTTCCTGTCTGATAGGGTTTACAACCTGTTCACGCGCTTGCCAATTTCTCTCATCTTGAATCACCTTCCTGGCCAATATTGACCCGTCTGTGTGACTTCACAACACTTGACACGACCTTTGCACATTCTAGAATCGCAGGCAATGCGGTATCCGCTCGTCGTTTTGGTGGAAGCCGCGAGCAGCGCGTCTCCGAACTATAAAAGCATAAAGCGGTCGGTCGCTTTTTGATTATCGATTATTTCTTTGGCCGTCACCACAACTTGACTCCCAGAGTACACCACTCGACAGGGGGACCACAAAAAGAATAATCACCAAATAACCGACATTCACGGTGCTACAATACTGTAGCAAAAAGCTATCCGGGGAAGGCCCGGGAAAGGCGCTCTCATCTGTGGTTCGCCGTACAGTCTAAAAACCGCTAAACAGATGCGATAAGCCTATCGGAAAATGCATCCGAAGTCATCTCGTCATGGAGGAGTGGGGGCACACAATGCAGCGATGCAGGTCATTGTCTTGGTAAGTTTGTGGTCGTGTTCTATCATATACCTGCATGTCTCATTCTTTCTATGGCATTGTTCTTGGCGCCACTTTGGGTGTCACGCATCCGCTCTGAATGACGTCGAATGCTCATCCATTTTTAAAGCTTGGTGAATTCTGGATTTGCCAAGGCGATGGCTGACCTGATTGAACCAAGGGCCCAACTGGAGGTCCCCGTGAGGATAGGATCACCTCGTTGCTCGTCCGATCCACATCCACCGATTGGTCGTCCGGCTCGGTGATCTCCGTCGATGCAGGTACCCTCCTTTGTGGAATCATCCACGCGTTGGAGTTGAAAGATAAGGGGCCGTTTGCGGAACTTTCCTTGCCGAATAAATCTGCCCGGGCCAACGCCGTCCACATCGTCCGAGAGATTATCGGCGCGGTCCTCATCACCCACCCTCACCTCGATCATCTGTCGGGGTTCTTCGTTAGCACGCCGGCTCTCGAAGCAGGAAGCGAACCAAAGCCATTGGCGGGACTCCCCTCGGTGATTGCCGCCATCAAAACCCATCTTTTCAATGATGTTATTTGGCCCAACCTCTCCGATGAAGATGGAGGAGCCGGGCTCGTCACCTATCAGCGACTGATTGAAGGTGGCAATCCCCGCATGGGTCGTGGGCATGAGTTGGGCTACTATCGGGCCTGCAATGGGTTGCTCGTAAAATGTCTCGGCATTAGCCATGGGAAGTGTATGAAGCGGCACCCGCCGGAATCCACAAATCCTAGCCAGTCTAATTGTGTGAATTATTCGCCTGTTCCCGGTGAGATGGGAGACGCAGGGTGAGTGACATTCCACCGTCAACATTTCCACGGGAATTCAAGTGCTAACACCTCGAAATTAGGACGTTGTCTGGGATGTCCCCATCATTCAGCACGGAAACCCACACGACGATCGACAGCTCCGCATTCTTCATCCGCGACCATGCCACAGGCCGGGAGATTCTGATCTTTGGTGACGTCGAGCCTGATTCACTATCGCTCAACCCGCGCAACAAGCATGTGTGGTACACGGCCGCGCCCAAAATTGTGAACTCTGATTTACGCGCAATCTTCATCGAGTGTTCCTACAACGATGGCACGGAGGACTGCGTGCTGTACGGGCACCTCTGTCCACGGCACTTGATCAAGGAACTGCTAGTGTTAGCGCACCGGGTCTTCGCACTCCGGAATCCAGAACAGATCCCCGGAGACAAACGTAAACGACCAAGCACGCCCGACGTGGCGGGATCTCAGGCGGTTGGCAAGCGAGCGAAGAGTGACGCACAGTATAGTCTGCAAGGTCATTCGGCAAACCCAGTAACTCGCACAAGAAGTTCAAGCAGACGTCCGTCGAGTGGGATGGGTCTGGACAGCCTCGAAATCAGCAGCAATGATCCATCGACGGACAACTTGACAGATGTTCCCTGGCAGTCAGAAGACCCACCCCTCTCTGGTTTGCACGTATGGATCATGCACATCAAAGATGATATGACGGATGGACCGCCCCCGGGAGACCGAATCTTGCGAGAGCTCCGCGAACAGGCGAACCAGGTCAGCCTGGGATGCAGTTTTCGAATCCCTGACCGTGGAGAAAATATTTGGATATAGGTGGCCCGTGTGCGCTGCCTCTACGGACATGACATGCCTTACATACTTAACGCATGATTTGATGGCTGATCCGGGCCCGATTTTGTTACCGACAAAACTCAATAGCCCTTCTCCTCTTACACACCACATCATTCCAAGATTCCCTAACGACACTCCCACTCTTACCGCATTGCATACGTGTATCACCACAGAGGGAGAGGGAGATTTCACTCAACTATACATAACACACATACATAGTCATTGATAGCAAGGGTTGTACACAGCTATTGTTCTTACATTTCTCTGGTTGACTGCTGCAGGGCAGCCAGCTGTATTGATAGACTTGACATGACAAGACAAGGCTTATGAATCACGTTCTGCATGTGTTTAATCCACTGAATATGAATATCGGGAAGAATGAATGCTGCTTTACTATTGTAATGATCGAAGTGAGCGAACCAATGAGGAAGAGGTGGAGAAAGCAGTAACTCAAAACATAAACAAAGGATCAAGTCATTTCTTTACAAGACTATACTAAATTGACATTAGGCTCCCATTCCCCTTGGGAAAGTATATACTTAACTCAGCTCCAGCAAGTTAGTACCTACTCGGTAGTCTTCTCGGCCGCCTTGCCGATGACATCCTCCCACAAGGAGTTATCACCGCTGGGAATCTGCAAGCCGGAAGTAGAGGCATCAGCCGCGGAGGGGCGGTTCTCAGGGAGGTCCAGGATGGGCAGGCCGTCACGGGCGAAAGCGAGGAGGTCCTCCTCGGTACCCCACTCGCCCATAGCCATGAGGCCGACAGGGACGCGCGCGCCACTGTCAGCATGGCGGACGTAGCCGGCGGGGCAGTTGATAGCGGGGCAGCCGGTGAAGTTGGCGAGCCAGACGTACTCCATGTTGCGGACGGAGGACTTGCCGTCTGAGAGGCCGCGGGAGAGGTCCGCGGGGCTGCCGATCTTCCAGCCCGGGATGGGGGTGCTGGGGGTGAGGATGAGGAGGCCGGGGTGGGTGCGGAAGAGGTGGGCGAGGTGGGCCATGAGGAGGCTGCGGAGGCGCTGGGAGGCGTTGAAGTCTTGGCCGGTGATTTGCCACATGCCCATGGAGACGAGGACCTTGTTGGGAGCTGTGATTTGGCTGATTTGAGAGGGGGAGAGTCCTGAGGCGATCTCTGTCATGATGGTTAGGACGTGGGCGCGTTGGCCTTCGGGGAGGTAGGGGATGCTGATGTCGATGACTGTGTAGCCTTGTTTGCGGTAGGAGTCGAGGGCTCGGTCGAAGATGGCTCGGACGGGGGGCTCGGCGCGGTCGATCCAGTCTTTGACGATGCCGATGGTTTTGTTGTTGGGGCGGGGGGAGGGGGACGAGAGCGTGCTGAGGGGGTGCGGGAAGGCCGCGGAGGCGGGGTCTTCGGCTTCGGGGGCGGGCGCGGCCATGATGCGGTAGGCTAGGGCGAGGTCGTCGATGCTTGCTGCCATGGGGCCGAGAACGCCGACGGTCGGCGCGAGGGACTGCGAGGGTGAGCCGCTGACGCGGCTGTGGGACGGCTTGAGACCCCAGATGCCGCAGAAGGAGGAGGGGATGCGAATCGAGCCGCCGCCGTCGGCGCCCAGCGCGATGGGCACCAGACCGGCACCCACGGCGTACCCGGATCCACCGGAGGAGCCACCGCAGTAGTAGTCGGTGTTGTTGGGGTTTCTGGGCGTGCCGTAGTTGGGGTTGTTGTTGTTGGTGTCTGTGGGAGGTAGGTACCAGTCAGCTAGTTATCCAAATGATCATGTTCCGCACCGGATGTGCGGCAAGAGTAATTTGCTTACCCAGTCCAAGCTCGTGCATGGTTGTCTTGCCAATAACAATCGCACCGGCCTCTTCCCATTTCTTTACGCACCAGGACGTGCCATCGAAGCCGCCCTTGAAGTCCAGCTTGCTTCCGAGGGTCCGTCTGTACCCCTCGATGTGCACTTCATCCTTGATCGCAACAGGGATTCCGTCCAGCGGTCCTAACGGCTTTCCGTCCTTGTACCGCTTTCCCGACGCCTCCGCGGCCGCTCGAATCCTCTCCGCTTGCGACTCGAGAAAGGCGACCGAGTGTTTCCCGGGAGGTTTCGCATCGCGACGGACCAGAGGCAGAAGTGTCTCGACGACTGCAAGTGGGGTCAGTTTGCCGGACTGGTAGAGCGCGTGGTAGTCGGCGGAGGTGTAGTAGTTCGCATCGGTCTTCCTTCTCTCGGTTGGGGCCGGCAGAGCTGCGAGGGATGTGCTGTTGGCATCCGGAACTGGCACGACGGTCGGGTCGTACCGGGGAGTATACTGCCGCAGATGAGGAATGTTGTGGATGATGTCAAAACCCGCATTGCGCCAGAAGTAGCTCTGCACGAAATTCAGATTGTGGATTCTAGAGTGCGCAGAAACAATCTGATTAGACTCCGTGATTAAACGCGACTTCGAGACTATCTAATTTTCCTACTCGAACTGCTTGCACATTGACTTACAGAGTCGCCCCGATAGCCAAAGGTGTGCCGCGAAACACAGGCAGGTCCTGGTCCTCGTTCTTGTAAGGAACGGAGGGACCCTCACGGACCTCTGGGTAGCCAAAAAACTCAGACATGGTATGTGGCCTATGTAGATCAGACTCGATGATGAGAGATGAGGAGGAGAAGGAGGAAGATGGATGATGGATGATCTGATGCCTCCGCGTTGATCGTCATCCATGTGCTGCACGTGACTTTAACCTCGGCCGATTCATCTCCACAATATCCGGTTTCTGTTTGACATCTGCTCATAGTCTCATCATACACTGACCAACTCGTGAAATACATTCCTCACTAGGACATATCACTCTCTATCCAACCTTGTGGATGATAGTATATGAATTCCAGCATTGACATGTGTTCATACACCCGTGAGCTGCGAAATGACTTGATGCAGTCAATCGGTCTACTGCTCACGGCACCACCGTGCAGCTGTATCGTACTCAAGCGCCAAGATGTCAAGCCGAGTCCGGCGATATCAGAGCTGTAGATACTTTGATACTATCCGGAGACAGCTCAAACCTATCAACACCTACACAAACAGATGGAAAAGCCGCTCTAGACGCGAAATGCGGTCCTATGTTTCGTCAAAGTACAGCATACCCTGTTCCTAAACCTAGCCTTACTACAGCGGGCTTTCTTCTATCTCCGTGGGCGTACAGTTCATAGAATGTGCGACATATACTTATACTCTTGGAAAACTGGTATCAAGGGCGGATGGCATTGGAAAAACTCAGGCCCTGGACTCACGGTAAGTCTTTGGTATATATTTGTATAGTAGTCTGTTCAACGAAGATACTTATATCAGACCCAGGGGTCACTGCAACATTGACTTTGATCTTTTGATTCATGCACGTGTGTTGAGATCTCTCAGAGGGAAGGTTGGAATAAAGACGATTACTAATAATACAGGCATATGCAGGCGCTTTACTGGGTCAGGCAGTAGTCGCCAGATTGGGACATTTTGGGTCCATCGGAATCAGATCTGCTCTGTCTCCACTTTCTCTCCTCATCCAGTATCCATACTCGGTCTCTTCCTCTCCTCCAAATCAATCTAAGTTGACTACGTCCACGGTTTCAGCACCTCCTTGCTTGGTTAATTCTGCTAGCTCATTGGGTGAGCTAGCAAATGTTGATTTGTTATCGTGCTGAACTACGGCTTACCATGCTCCTTTTCAGGCAAAAAGCAGGGAAATACGGGTCTTTCCAAGCCACTAAAATCAAAGCCAGTCAATCTTTCAAATACCGATCCAACGATCGGAGGCTAGTCCTTCCTAATGAATCACAATCCTATATTAACTTAGATTGGTCTCCCCTCAGAGAGTCCTCATCCGCCGGCACCATTGGATCATCCTTCGCTACTTGCTTCTACCCTTAGAAAAACCTCCGTGTTGAGGTCGAGAGTTGGACTTCTAAGTCTCGGGCACCATGTCTGAATCCAGGTTGGTTGGTAACCAGCCGTGGTGTTGCAACCCCAATTTGGTTGCATCAGGAGGATTTCCCTTGAATAACTAGTCAGTGGATCTGCGATGATGGTTGTATGATCCTGTTGCCGTCTTGGGGATACTGATTTCAAACGACAGTAGAACCGACCCTGTTGCGATCAGTCCAAGGAAGAATTTAAGAATACTTTTTCCGCCACGACCGTTCCTCCGTGGATGTTGTGTAGCTCAGGGCTCCACCATCAAGCCCTAGCCCAACTCAATATCGTATAGGAAAGGAGAACAGCAAGCTACTACAGTGTGTGGCCGTGTTCTCCTTAGGGCTCCTTCGAGCGAATACTGCACGTTCTTGTGGGGTACTCTAGCCCGGTGGAGCGATGGTTTTGGAGACTACAGAGGAAAGTGAAACACAATGCTTTTGCTTCCTCATTACCCAAAACTTTGACAGCGGAAACTTCACCCATAAGCTGAGCACACGAACTGGTAGGCTGTGAGCTGATCTCCACTCCAGCGGTTCGGTGCCTTATTCGGCACTTGAATTTACGGGGCTCCATCCATACAGACAAGAAAAGGGAAAGCGGAATGGCTTCGTGTCTCCGTCTTGAACCATTCCTGGAACCAATGCTCACTCAATCGTTGAAAGGTGTACGTCATGCATCGGCTAACTGTCCGTTGTTTACATACGCCCAAACCCCTTCCTCTTCTTTTCTTTGACGCCTCGGTTTCGTTTTGTATTCGTTCCTACCTTTTTGTCTCTATTCCCCTTCTAGTCATTTCTTCCGGCTCAGTCCACCAGTCATAATTTGACTTTCACAGGGGTTCGATACAGAGATAATCAAGGAAAGTAGAAAAAGAAAAGGAAAGGGGAAAGATTAAGAAAAAAAAAATAAAAGAAAAGAAAACAGGGTGGTATAGATCACTGGGTCAACCAAAAATCTATGACCAAAAGAGCCAACTGGATCGGGACAAGCACCTTTGGACCCACTGGCCTCTCCCGCTTACTGTGGTTTGGTCGATAACCGAAGAGGCTTTCCATAGTGAGTGGAGTCGATCTACCATCCTCCTCCCCTCGTGGCGATTACCGGATACCACCCATGGTTTCCATGTGTTGACGACTTACCTCCTTCCAGACTGGAACGCAAATAGTTTTCACAACTTATTGCGCTGGACTTTTCTCGGACCACGGTCGGATATTGCCAGCTCCCCCTAGTAAAAGATCTCCATGTGCTTAACTCATAGAGGTCAAGAGCTTGGAACTGTATGATTTGCTCAGTCCTCAAAACTGGAGAGGCACTTGCCCAAGGTCCCTCTAGCGGCCGCCAAGAGCGGTCGATCTCTGGATCACTGATTCCAAATCAGACCCTGGATCGATCGCTAAGGAGAGGCAAGAAGCCTCGTGGCAGGCTTATGGACGAGATCCCACTCCCACTCCGTTCACACTAGTGCGACGCACTCGAGGCATGCTAGAACTCGTATCCTTAGCCTCCTTTCGGCTGACCCGTGTTTTCGATTAGGTCTTGATTCCACCCGCTGCGCTTCTACTTCCTTTTTTTGGTCAAAGGAGAGAGGAAGGACAGGACAGGAAAGAAAAAGTAAACAAGCTTCGGACAATTCGCATCAGATCCAATATCTCTCAACACGGCGACTGACTCCACGGACCTTATTTGCAGATATTAAAACTAGAATGTTTACATGCCTATAACAACAACAACCAACAAAACTGATCAATTTACTCAACCCATTCTGTTCGAACTTACTTTCAGGGGATCCGAACTGACACTCATGTGGCCTGGAGTTAGGATGGATCCACCGGATGGCTTCCTTTTTTTATATCCCTCAACAGAAGCTTGCCGGGTCCTACCTGGTCGTACCCTGGTCCGTGGGAACCGGACGACGAGGCGCCCCCCACAAAAATAGAAAAAAAGAAAAGACGAGGAACGATGAGTGACAGGCCGACCAGGCTCCACGATAGTGCATCTACTCTGCCGCAGTGCCCACATGATCGAGTTTCCATACCCCGGCACTGCCGCCATAGGATATTGGTTTGTTCCATTCACCCTCCCCCACTCCGTCGCGAATTGCCGCGCATCTGTAGGCTGGGAGGATGGAACGATGTGCATGGCGTAGAGAGACCCATATTAATGGAGCCTTGGGGAAAAGGCGCTACGCCCGAAAGTGACCATAAGCCCATCAATTTACGTGCCCACTACCCCCTTCCAAAAGGGTCTCTCTTGCCTGCCGGCTGTGCCCATTGGCGTTTCGGTTTAACCTTGAAAAGCCATCGTTATCTACAAGGGTATGGTGACAGCTGGTGGTTACTCCGCCCGGGACTCGACGCTGTAACTCGGTACCGATCTGGAGACCGAGTGATTTTTTGAGCTTTGCAAGTCTACTCCGTAATCCCGACCAAAGCTGAGCTCTGCTGTGGTACCTTTCTCTCTTCCCACCCCCCCTCTCCCCTCCCTGGCGGAGTCTAGCAAAAAATTGGCGTTTCTTGAGCTCGCTTGGACGCTAATTCTCCGCTGGGCCTCGTCACTCCACATCCATCGCTTCACTAGGGGGGGCTTTGCTCAAACCGTTCGTTCATGTTCAGGGCAAGAAGTTCTGCCTTAGTGCGACCCACGCACATGGAACGCCCGTAGTCACATATTGAAAAGCAACTCACTCGCGACACACTTTGGGATGCATCGCATTTTACCCATGTCGATGCTTGTCACCTCCTTAAGGCCACTCTTTTGCCCACAAATTTCATCCTGCGGCTTCTTTCCCTCTGAGGCCACGATGAGTCCCAGATCAGACACCACGCCGCCCAAAAAAAGGGAGTCCCGCGCAGGGACCCGCAAAGTGACATCGTTGTCGGCCGAGCAATTGGAACGAAAGCGAGCCAACGACCGGGAGGCTCAGAGAACCATTCGCCAGCGGACCAAAGAGCATATCGAGGACTTGGAGCACCAGGTGAGGGAGCTCCGGATCAAGGGGGAGCAATTTGACGACATGGTACGAAGGAATGCTCTGCTGGAGACGGAAAATCGAACCTTACGACACCAACTGGCGATGACGAACAGCGGACCAGGCTATCAAAACATGGGTGAGTCCGCTGACGCGGTTTTGGGGCACTGCCTTGTTGCACACAAGGCTGTCCTGCCACACCAGTGAAAATTGACAAATGACTAACTTTTTGTTCCATGGAGTAGCCGAAGGGTCGTACGCTGGTCCTTCTGGATCGATGATCCCGTCATCCCAATTCCCCGAGGCTCTCGGGGTGAACCCCGTCTCCAGAGCACCGTCAGTTCTCTCCACCCCTGGCCGGGTCTCAACCGCTCCTGACTGGCAGTGCTGTAGTTCGACACGGTCTCCATCCGCCTGCGGATCCTCAGAGCCGGACTACTCGCATCGCGTTGAGCCATATGCCTTCGAGGGTGCGTTGCAGCCGCCGAGTGCCATGTCCGTCGCAGCACCGCCGCACGTCGGGTTCAACGTGTCCGGCAGCAGTCAGCCCCCGGCCCCTGCGTTCCAGGGTTATCCTCCGATCTATCAACCAGGCAGCGCGAGCCACGGCCACAGCGAGGATCCGTCGATGTCTTATATGCACGCCCAGCAGCCGATACCAGTCCAGTCTGCCCCCCCGGACCGGGATGGCGGAGGCTACCCTGTTCTGCCGACAGCGCAGCCCTACCAGCACCCCCTGCAACCACACCAACATCATCCTCACCATAATCTTCACCAACACCCACATCATCATCATCATAATCATCATCCCCCGAGATCCGACTACAGCTACGACTGGACACATCACCCCTGACACTCGTATGGGGTGGGTCGAGGCGGTCGGTTGACGCCCGGCCACACAGCAACTAGTAGACTGAACAAGCCTCCGAAGGTGCTTCCGAACCGGTCTAACCACGCGACCGGGCGATCGACGCAGTTAGTATGCCTTTTCCGAACCTTCCACAAAAATAACCCCTAACTGTTCCCCTGCTACACTTAGGATCGAAAGGAGAAAACCAAGCCAAAACGGCAATGGACCGATCGATCTGAGCTGCCTCTCAAACGCAGCTCAATCTGCCGTCTTTGAAAAAGACACCGAGTCTGACGAGTCGAGCGGATTGCATATATAACACCTAGAGGACCAGCATTACGACTATTACTATATTACTACTAATTAATTGGCATATCTATTATGTTGTGTACGCTTAACATTTGCATGGATGGGTCTTGTTTATGTACCCCCCTACCGAGGCATGAGCGGTGCAGAGCGAAGAGACAAAGAGAAAGATATTATTACCTACCTACTATACTGGTATCGACTACTTGATAATGATAATTTTAATAAAAGGGTTGTGAGAGGACTTGCTGCTGTGTGTGTAATGTGTGGTATTACACTGGATGTTGTACACGCATGCATTGTGAGGGATTACATTTATAGACTTTTTGCGATTTAGCATAGGAGTATGGTTTTCATAGAGTATTTGATTGATTGATTGAAGATAGTATCTACGATGGGTGGATAATAAGTAGCAAATTTTGACTCGAGTTCTGGAATCTAATATCGTTAATCTAGTTATTTGGGGGTTCAATATGACTTCTACCATACACTGCGTGATACTTCATTAAAAAAACCTCATATAAAATTGAATATCCGATTCGATCATTCCAACTCTATAGACTAAAACGCTCGGCTATCATACACACATGAACACAAAAGAAAAGGAAAACAGAAAAGAAAAGGAAAGAGCTCTTAAATCATGAAAGAAAACCCCAGCCCGTGGTTCCCCGCACATATTACATATCGCATATAGTAACTAGTTCATGACATTGAAGGTCAAAGCGTGGATCCACAAACAAACAACTGTGACTGAACTTCCATATGTAGGGTTATGTAACGGTGCGATGGCAGCTGGGGAATCACAATGAGATGGATTCATATGATTTATCCATCATTCAATGGGATGCTCAGGTATGTTATTTTCTTTGAATTTTTTTTCTTTTTTTCTTGATTATTTATTTCAGTTTGGTTTATTTTCCTTTTACTGAGTGTACTGCTTCTGAAGAAGCTTGGCAATGGTCTGCAGCTGGATGTTGCTGGTACCCTCGTAGATGGCGCCGATCTTGCTGTCACGGAACATCTTCTCGGCGATGCCCTCGCGGACGAAGCCCATGCCGCCCATCCACTCAACGGCGGAGCCGGCGACACGGCCGGCAACCTGGGAGGCGTAGAGCTTGGCCATGGCGGCGTCGGCGACGAAGTCCTGGCCGGCCTCCTTCTTGCGGGCGGCGTTGTAGACGAGGGCGCGGGCGGCGGCGATCTCGGTGTAGCCCTGGGCGATCTGGTGCTGCATGCCCTGGAACTCACCGACGAGGGTGCCGAACTGGCGGCGGTCGTTCCAGACGTAGCGGGCGGCGTTCTCCCAGGCGCCCAGCGCCAGACCGGTCATCTGGGCGGCGATACCGATGCGGCCCTCGTTCAGGATGCTGATGGCGTACTTGTAGCCCTGGCCCTCCTGGCCGAGCAGGTTGCTCTTGGGGATGACGACGTCGTCGAAGTTGAGCACGCAGGTGCTGCTAGCGCGGATACCCAGCTTCTTCTCCTTCTTGGCGATGGAGAAGCCCGGGGTGTCCTTCTCGACGATGAAGGCCGAGATGCCCTTGTAGCCCTTGCTGGGGTCGAGGTTGGCGAAGACGATGAAGAAGCCGGCCTCCATGGAGTTGGTGATCCACATCTTGGATCCGTTCAGCTTGTAGCCGTCGGCGGTCTTCTCGGCCTTGGTCTGCAGCGCGAAGGCGTCGGTGCCGGACGCGGGCTCCGACAGGCAGAAGGAGCCGACGGTGCCCGTCGCCAGCTTGGGCAGCCACGTGCGGTGCGCCTGCGCGTCGCCGTACTTCATGATGGACGTGTTGACCAGCGTGTTGTGCACGTCGACCATCACGCTGACGCTGGGATCGACCCGCGCCAGCTCCTCGATCGCCACGATCGCCGAGGTGAAGTTCATGCCGGCACCGCCGAACTCCTCGGGGATCTCGATACTCATCAGGCCCTGCTCGAAGAGCTGCTCGACGATGGCGGGGTCCATGGCCTCGGCTTCATCCATATCCCGGACCTTGGGGCCGATCTGCTCGGACGCGAACTTGGACACGGAGTCGGACATGAGGGACTCGGTCTCGGAGAGCAGAGTGATCGGAGTCGGCGTCAGGTGGGACAGGTCAACCTCCCGCCGGCGGGAAGTGGTCGAGAAGGCATGGGTGCTGTTCCGGTCAAGACTATTAGCCAACGACCCCCGAAAGTAACAAAAAACCGTAAAGGTCGATCCGGCAGACATCGGAATGCCGAACCATCAACTCCGATCACCGAATCTTACATACCTCTGGGCAAGTCGGTAGGGCATCGGCTGTCTCGCAGCCGAGCGGAGAGAGGTCGAGGTCGCAGTGCGGGACAAAGGCCGCAGGGCACGGGTAATGGAGGCCATGGCGATGAAGAGGAGTGGTGTAGTAAAACCTGACTGGTCGAAGCGGAATAAGGAGGGAGAAAATCACTGATCCTGGGGAAAAGAGGGGGAGGGAAAGAGGAGAAAAAGAGGAGAGGGAGAGGACAGAAGGAGGAGATTCGGAGCTGACAATCACAAGGGTGGCAAGCCAAAGGAACCTCGGCGTCGGTTGAACGCGGATATGTATGTCCCCGACTCCCGCCCGTCCCCTCCGCCGTTTTCCTTCCACTCTTCCACTACCCGACTCAAAACAATAACATTGCGAGAGGTTGATTCTATTCGTCTGCATATCTTAACACTCATGGGTTCATCACGGAAGGAACATGTTAAAAATAAAATGAACAAAAAGCTCTACACCGAAAACGCCCCGTTTCCTTTTCGCCCTTAAACTCGAATCGCCCTTTTCAGATCAAACCCTGCAGATTGCGCAAAATAATACCCTCGTTGATTCGTGACCACCCGTTTCCCCGTCCGACTCTCAGTAAAATCACAGTTGAAGTGGGTGTGCCCAAATGCCCACAGTCGCACTTGAGGTTTCTCCCAACACGGTTCTCCCCGGAGGTCGGTCGCAAACGCAGATGTGATGGGGCTGTTGGCGTGTTGCGGGTCGATAGCTTTCGCGGCGATCGTCGGACTCTGATGGGTGAAGACCACGATCTTGCGGTGAGGGTCTTCCTGCGCGATGCGGGAGACCTGGTCGTTGAGCCAGGCGCGATCGACCTCGTGGGCCGCGCAGTGGTCGTCGACCGTCCAGTCCTGGATATCGTAGAAATCATTCAGTCTGAAACTGACCTGCTCCTCCTGGGTGGGACAGATGCGCGAGAACAGCGTGCAGCCGAGGACGGTGAGCTCCTGGGAAACATCATAACGGGTGCGGTCGAGGAAGACGAACTGGCCGAGTTTAGACGATTCGGAGGAGGCCTGCGCGCGGCGATGGTGAACGGAATCCGAGAACCTCTGTAGCTTCTCCCGGACCGCCGGCCAGCTGGAGTAGTAGGGCTCGTGGTTCCCGAGAAGCAAGAAGACGATCTGGAATTTGGGCAGCTGGGCCTCTAGGAAGGCGAAAAAGCCATCGTCCCGGATGTTGCCAATGTCCCCCAGTAGTGCCAGGTAGGGCGCCTGCGCCACCACGTCAAAGAGGTTGTACCCCGTGGGGTTCTCCAGGTGCAAATCCGAGAGGATCTGGAAGGATGCCATCGGCCACGAGGGGAGAGGGGCCTTCTCTAACTGCGACTGCTTATTGATTGGTTGAATTGTGGGCGCAAATCAGTTATCGACCCAGCGAACTAAAGTAGAACGAAAAAAAAAAAAAAAACACCCTGGGCATCAGTTTAGGGATCTAGTTGAAGATGATAGCTCAGACACGGTGAGGGCGAATGAAACGCAGAGGGAATAAGCCACCAGATTGGATCCCTCCGCAAAGTCCACTCTCGGACCTGCCTAGAAGGGTCTGGAAATATGCCGAAATCCGTCGTTCTATTCAACAGAGACCCAATATTTCTATCTTGGGGAGGAAACCACCCCAATGGATCTCAAACGCGTGGAACTGTTGGGACTGCGTATGTATGGGTCCCTGAAAATCATTCGGTGACAAGGCAACTAAGGCAATTAAGGCAGATTCAGGCGGATTCAGGCGCCGATCTCCGGATCTCCGGGTTGCTGCCTGGGTGCCTTGGACCCTGGCTATGACGAGGATGACTCAGCTTTCATAAAACAAACAATGGACAAACGCTCCGAATCCGAATCTGGGATACCCCGAACTTGCGTGAGCCCCGAACTGGCAGTTCTCTAATTCGGCTAGACAAGGACTAAGATCTAGTAAAGACAACCTTCCGAGCCAACCAGCAACTGATGGTCACTCCGACTACGGTTCCCTGTGCCCCGCGCTGGAACGCCAGGGTCCAGTTACCCGGGGCGGGGGCATCTAAACCCCGCGGATAGGCGAGAAGCCACAGGTCCTCTCCCAGATACCGCATGGGGTAGGCCGGTCCTTGTCCTAAAAACCCATCGAACGAGCCATAGAGCATGCCACCTGTTCCAGTGCAATGGAAGGTGGAATCGATTTCGCCACATGAATAGCGGCCGGTGTATTCCTCTCCCTTGGGTGGCTCCGGGGGTGCAGCAACACGTCTTAGGGGGATCACCCGATTGTCGTTGATACGGCGAAGCTCGATCGAGTTATCGCTGAGGGTTGCACGCAGCGTCTCGGATCGAGCGGTCTGGGTATCGACCAGAGCGAGCGTCTCGGGAGAAATTGCGTAGGAGATGGTGATCCGGTTCTGCCCGCCCTGGGTCAACTCGAGTGCCATCTGAGCATCGGGGTCGAAAAACGTCCCAGCTAAGCTTGGAGGGAAATTGATCGGGGGGGTAGCCGGATTGAGCGTCTTCGGAAGATGGAGCACTTCCTTGACAACGTATGTTGCCACCTCCTTGGCATCCACTTCACTGTTGAGCATAACCACAACAGACAGACGCTCGGATGGCACATGAAGTCGATGGAGGCGGTACCCGCGGAGAGCGCCACCGTGTCCGATGGTTTTGAAGCCTCCAATACTCCCATGTCCAAGCCCGTAGCCGTAACTTGCTGGATTCCCATCCGCAAAACACGGTGGCTTGGCGATTTCCCGGTATATGCTCTGGGGATCCGTCCAGCTCTGGTCCAGATGACGCTCATACTCGACCATATCCGTGAGAGTGGCCACCACCCCGGCGTCCCCAGACCATTGCATGCGATTAATCGCGCGGACGAACCCCAAAGACTCGGAACCTTCATATCCCTCACAAGGAGGGGGAAGCCTCGACGTGTCCGCACCTAGACGTGCGGTCGTCATCTGGGCCGGCGTGAACAGCCGTTCGCGGAGTAGCTCGCCTAGCGGTTTCCCCGAGACATCCTCCAGAACCCGCGCCAGCACATGAAAGTTCAGGTTCGAGTACGAGTATTGCGACCCCGGCGGGAAATGTAGCGATGTCGTCCTCGCGATCACCTGGTCCGTGTGTTCGGGGATAGTGAATTCACCTTCCGGAGTGGTGCCCCAGAACATAGTCATTGCCCAGTAGTCGCGGATGCCGGACTGCATGTGACACAGATGCTCGAGGCGGAGGCCGGTGCTTTCGGTGATTTCAGTGCGTAGAATTCGTCGGAAACTGGCCGAGAGTTGCGCGTGTGTAGGACCCCGGGCGGCCATCTCGGGCGTCGGGTTGCGCTCGAGGTCTTTCAGCACCATGCAGACCATCTGCTTGGTGATGGAGCAGATGGGCATCAGTGTTGAAGACGTCATGGGGATGCACTCCTCCAGATTGGCGTAACCCCAGGCATGCTGCGCGCTTAGTTCCCCGTCTTTCAAGACGGCGATCGATCCGCCGGGGCCTCGATAGATGGACGGTGCAAATTCGAGAATGCGTTGAACTGATTTTCTATCCACTGGTATTATTAGCCACTTTTTTTTTTTTTTTTTTTCTTTGGTGGAATTAAGCAACTCACTGGTTACTTGTGATAGATCAGGTGGGTCTTTTTGTGACGTTGTTTATTTATTCTATGATGATATACGTTTTCCTGTGAACCCAGTAAATAACGATAGACAGATAGGTGTGATTCTCCAGATCACCTGTTAGAAGAGAGCAACGAAAAGACCGACCTACCGGGTTGACTGTTCTCTCCTTTGGTAATTACCTCTTAACGAGGCCTTGGAGGCTCATATATCCCTATCGCTCCTACTCCGCCCGACAGCTTTTGTCCCCGCACTAGAGTTACATTGGAGGGGAGACTAATCTAGTCGACAGATGATCTGCTTATCGGATGCTGCTAAAATGCTAGTCATGAGTCGTGCCATGTTAGGGTAATTTAGCACTGACGATCATGCGGTATGGCGTTTAGAAACTGATATACACTGATAACTGGACCACTTTGAATATGGCTCCACCGTTCGACTCAAGTCCCTAAGGTACTCCGGAGTATACCCAGTACTTCGTACTATGAGCATGAACTGGGCAGTCTACCTAGTACCTAGCTACAGTGGTGCAGTGGTAATGTCTATTGGTAGTATGTAAGCGACTATTAACAAGCCATTTACTCGTATCTGCGACTATGTCTATAAGAGGCTTTTCTAACCGTGTACATATCATGGGAAGTATTGCGGTCATTTATAGAACGGTAGCCTGAGGTATAGATAATTAGGGCTGCATTGGATTGACCTGATTGGCTGTAATAGACCGCACGCTGTGATGTATAGCGGCGGGTTTGCGCTTGGACTGTCTGGCGGCAACGAGACCAGACGCATCGTTTGAGCTATTAATAGCTAAAAACTACATTTCTCACAGGTCCACGTTCCAATAGAGACCAACTGCGACATTCGAGATCAAGAATCTAGGCTGGACTGACTCACTCGCCACATACATACCTCATACCTATCCTGTGGCGGTGCATTTCCAGCGGAGTGAAGTGGCGCAGGCAGCCGCCAAGACCCGGCCTTAGTGATGCCCTGAGTCTCCCCGTAATCCATATTAATCTATTAATCGCCGACGGGATCCTCCTCCCTTCTTCATCTCTTCTCTGTCTTGATTTTGGGTCTATCTCAGCAGTCTACTCCTGGTTTTACAGCTGTATACTATATCTGCGCTGGTTCGCAGTGTGTCTCCACCTACAACTTTTTACTACCCTATTACAGCGGCTACCTTGTCGTGTATACTTCCTACTTCCTCCCCCCGCGGTTATCAGTCAACGCCCGCCCCGCTCTGGCGCTACACTCCATTTGAGTCGCCTCCCCCCTGAATTGCTTCAACCTTGCCATTTATAACGCCCTCATATCTCTCCGTTTTCTTATATTTCTGAAACAACCATGTCTTCGACCATCCATGACCCTAGACTCCTCTACAGCGTGAACAATATCCTCGCCTTTCACATTCAGAATGGCGAAGAAACAGAGCTCACGCCCTCGGGGCCTCAGACACTGTCGCTCTTGATGGTCCCAACAAGTACACCCCAGCCTTCGAATTCCAATGCGATGGATGGTGCATCCCCCGAAGAGGACTTCTATCTGCATCTGCATCTCCCCCCGGAGCTCGACCTCGCGCTTCCGGCCACCACTCAGATCTTCCACCAACCTCCCAACAGCTATCTGATCCCCCGCTGGGATCTGGGGCCCGATGCAGGCGCCTTCATCCGGATTCAGTTCCCGGGGGTCGGGTCGGGTCCTGGAAAGGTGGCGCAGGAAGACGTGGACACCTTCGAGACGATTCTGGCTCAGTGCACGGCCTTTCTGGAGCGTGCGCCTCCTCCTAAGAAGGAGAATTACGTTGCGTACAATCCGGCCACTTATGGCCCGGGCGAAGGCTACGTCGGGCCCGCAGCGACTGATTCTAAGAATCCGCAGGGGCGCATTGTCCTCATCGACGAAGAGAATGGCAGTACGGTGGGGGAAATGGAAGGCTATGACGTAGTTGAGAAACCCGGTGTGCAGCCAGGGTCCAAGAGTGAGAATTGTCCCCATTCCATCGCATCATCAAGTTATCTTTTGGCTAACGGCACGCGATTTTCCAGGACCCGTGGAGATCCAACTCCCGGCTGAAGGTGAAGGCAACCAGATCAGCGTCAGCAATGCATCCGAAGAGTACCTGCAGATGGCGCGCCTTCCCGCCTACAAGTCATCTACCCTCGTTCAGACCTCCGCCACCGCGTCTCGCCTAATCGTGACCGGGTCAACGTACCTATCCAACGCCATGACCGCGGGCGCAGACACCTTCGCCAAGAAGACCAAGCCCAGCCCGAAGCCCATGACCTTCTCCGAGAACGCCCACACCCGCATCCGCAAAGTGGGCACCGTGTCCACCAGCGCAGCCGACCTCTCCGCCAAAACAGTCGGACAAGTAGGCAAATACGCGCAGAATTTCGGCGCCTCGCTAGCCCGCCGCAGCAAAGACAACGGGAAGCAAAAGGGCGTGGACAAGTACAGCAGCGAGTACAAGCCCGGCGTGCTCAACAAATCCATGATCGCCTTCTCCACGCTAGCCGACGGCGTCGAGCAAAGCGCCCGCAACGTGCTGACCTCGAGCTCCGTCGCCGCCAGCAACATGATCGGCCACCGCTGGGGCGCCGAGGCCGGCTCCGTAGCGACCGAGTTGACCGGCGGCGTCAAGAACGTCGGCCTCGTCTACATCGACGCCTCGGGCGTCAGCCGCCGCGCGCTCCTCAAGTCCGTCGCCAAGGGCATGGTCGTCGGCCGCATGAGGGACGGCAAGCAGGTGGTTGTCGGCGCGGGTGACGGCGGAGCCGTCCCTCCCGGCGTCACCTCTTCGTCCTCCCCCTACCCTGGACATTCTTCCACGCTGGATGCCCGGGATCCCGTCCACAGACGCCCTTCCCCTAACCCCACTCCCCCGCCTGCTTATGGCGCTTCGGGAACTATGTCTATGGGTGGGGCTTCCATGTCTGGGGGAAAGCACTGACCTTTCCTCTTTCTTTCTTTCTCTTTTCTTTTTTTCCTACCTTTTTTATAATTCTTTGTTTAACTTTTTTTTTTCTTTTTCAATCTAAGTCGGTATTTGACATTGCATACGTTGGATTTTACTTTACCTTGGCTAAAGACATTGTTTGACATACGAGTAATATATGAACATATGGTACTGGTTAGGAATGCGTGATCCAGGCGGTTTACATGGCAATATACTTGGAGGATGATCGATTAGGTACCTCAGATATCTAAATACTACACCAAAAAAGACTCAGGTTAACTGTCATACAATTCTTGATTTCATTCTAGCTGCTTGATTCTGAGCCCTACGCTCTACACGGAAGGATGATGATGCCTTCGATGTGGAAAATGCAGGCACACTTAGAACTTGGTATTAGTCCATCATCGCTTGTGGATGGTCTTGCCCCTTATCTTCCAGGGTTGTACTTGGTAGATGTAATGTAATGTAGATATAGATACTAGGCTAGACAGGCAGACCCAACGTGAAAGAGATATGGTGAACCATCTTCAAGAAAGGAAAAAGCGATTGGGTGGTATAGACACGGACGCTTGCGCATATTACAGGAGAAGACAAAAACAAAGAGACAGAGAGAGAGAGTTAAGAATCAGCTGTCAAACGTATACCGCAGCCACTCGCCCACCGCACGCAGACTCTCCCATCTAACCGACTCGTCCTTATCAGCCATCAGCTCCATGACTCTCGTCTTCAGACCAAGTCTCTCGAGCTGGTTACGTCGCTCGGGCAGCTCCTTGACGAGGTGTCCGACGTCGTTGCAGCCGATGGCGAGCACCTGCTTGTCGTTGTCCCAGCTCTTGGTGAGGATCTCGGCCAGCTTCTTGGGCAGGGCGCCGTTGGAGTCGTCGAGGATGCGGCGGGCGTTGTCTTTCCAGAAGGTGGGGTTGCGGTGGGGCGGGGACCACCGCAGGTGGCCGGATTGGAGCTCCGCGGCGTACTGGTCGAAGGTGGTTTGCGTCTTGGTGTACTCGTCGAGCATCTCGGTGAGGAATTTCAGGTCTTCGAGGAGGTCCGGGTCTGTCAGGTGGCGGCCTGAGAGGTTGGTGAGGAGTGCGGGGAGGCGCACGAAGACAGCGATGGGGAGGAGGTTGCCGCGGTTGGTTGAGAGGAGGTTTTTGAGCGTTGCGAGGAGGAGACGCGTGGTCTTTTCCTTGGGGGAGAGGCGCAGGAGTTGCGTGTAGAGTTGGATGAATTCGTAGTCGCTGCGTTGGTGAGTATTGGGGGGGGGTATTGATGGGTTGGAGGAGCAACATACTCTTGAATTTCATCACCGATCAGGCGCCCTTCAAAGCTCAGCTGCCACATTACCAACAGCACTCTATATAGAAGTTGGAGGCCAACCCCGCCGGCGAGGCCCGGCTCCGCGGATCGCGAGCTGCCTACTAGCGTGCTGGCGCTGCTGCCGTTGTCCTTGGCTCCTGCGGCGGCACGTAGGATGTCAATCAACGGGGATACCGTCTGGTTCCGCTGCTCCCAGAAGATCACGCGGGACCGCGAGTTCCGCAGTAATGCCGACAGCTCCTGCACCCCGATGTCCTGCAGTCCGCTGTCTTGGTTTTGCGTCAGGGACGACAGGTATGTGTACAGGGGTGGGAGTGCCTCGTCATCCCTTGCGGCCGGCTTGGACGTCGACGACAGGCTGATCGATACTAGCTTGGTGAGGCAGGTAGAGGTAAGAAGGGGGATGGGGTCTTCCGCGTTGGTCGAGTGTCGCAGGAGGGGGAGGAAGGACTTGTAGGGGGCGGGATGCGCGATCAATTCGGAGGATAGAGACGGGACATCTGTGATACCATACGATTAACACCGGCATTTTTAACCCCAATTTCATATTCTTTCTGGTCGTGCTATATTGCACGGCTCGGGAGAAAGGGTATCACCCACCGTTGATCAAGTCCACGGTCAGAACGAGGATATACTGGACGATATCGGACCGCCGCGAGGCGGCCTCCAGCACACTCTGTCCCTCGGGGCCGCCCGCCAGGAGACTGACGTAGCCTGGCAGATCCCCCTCGATCGTCTGAACGCGTTGTTCCTTGCGAACCTTATCCACGGCCTTGATTCTCTTGAGGTGATCTTCCGTAATGCTGCCAGCTCGGACAGCTCCATCCCATGGAATCGGGCGTGCTCGGATGTTGTTCTGCAACGAGCTGAGATAGGTGGGGGGCTCCAACGACATAGTCGACATGGTAGCGAGGAAGCCGACCGGGGGGGAGGGAGACGAGAAACGGAGGAGCAACTTGCTCGACAGGGGAATGAGAAGAGAAAGTGAGGGGAAAGATAAGGGTTCGTATGCCGGATCAGCTTCGGGTGACGAGTGACGACGGAGGTAGGCCTGAGGACCGAATGGAGGAAAGCTGCGCGATCACGTTGCCAAGCCGGGGACTTAATCTCTCGCCGCTCTCGTCCACGCAATCACCCACTCTTTGTTACGGATTCGTGCTGGACCCCCCATTTCTTCCTGTTTCATGTTCCTTTCTCTGGTCTTCTTTTCCTCATCTCTTCAGTTTCTTCATTTCTTCTTGGGTTAGGATTATCTATTGGGGTTTGGCTTTCTAGGAGTCTTTCGTTGTCCCCGTTTACCGAATCCTGGAGCAAATAACAAGCTATCTCGCCCGACTTTCGCTACCTACGACCTGACGACCCACAGCTATCAGGTCGCATTCAATTGTCGGTCGCATGACCCATCGCCACTCATGAACTAAGCCCGCATCGATCGAGCTGGCTGCGACACCCTTGCATACGATATTTCGCAACGATCAGCTTCCCCCGTTCGTTTGACGATGGCACAGACCCCGCAACAGAAATGGAAGGTCGGCTCTTTCTTCCAGCAGGCCGTCGCGGGGGTGGAGTCCAAGTTGGATTTGATCTTAGCGGAGGAGGAGGACAGGAAACAGCTGGAACAACTGCAGGCGAAGAGTAACCCGGCGCAGGCAAACCAGACGGGCAGTACGGTGCCTCCGTCTCTGATCTCAGTGGCTTTTGTTTCGGTGGTTCACACGGCTAACGGGTCGCAGACCTCTCGCGGAGCTCGTCCAATGCGCGCAAGAATGATAGACAGAATCGGCTTCAGGAACGCCTGGCACGAGCCGTCGTGGGGTCCAACAGCGGCCCCAATGCGTCCACCTCTTCCTCCCCGAGTCGGCCCGCCTCCCCCGTGACCGGTTCGATAGCGAGTAACGATGCGCGATCAAGTATGGATGCGGAATTTAGAGTCACCTCGCCTCTAGCCAATGCCGTAGACGTCGCCGATGCCCCAACCACAGCGGTCCCACGGGCAAGCTATGATTCGGGGGCCTCCCCGAGGAACTCGAAAGACATAGGCGCCTCTTCGACAGACAATGCTACAGGACAGGAAGGAGGATCTGAGTTACCAGTCCGATCTGCGAGTGCCGCAAATCGACCCTCTGACGATACGGGGGCGCGTCCGTCGAACGAGCTCGCGCGTAGTGCGGCTGGCTCCCCTGCGGAGCTGGATCAAGACGATACCACTCAGTTACGGACGGAAAACGACGAAGCCGAGTCCGAACGACAGCAGGAAATCTACGGATATATCGAACGTATCGATGCGTTACAGTCTAAACTCAAGTACCTCGCAAAAGAAGCCGCCGAGTCTGCCAAGAAGGCAGCGGCCACAGCGGAGCCTGGAAGTGTGGAGAAGCAGCTCCGTGAGAAGGACGAAAAGATTGCCCTATTGCTCGAGGAAGGCCAGAAACTTTCGAAATCCGAGATGGACCACCGGTCCGCCCTCAGGAAGCTCCGGAGTCAGTTCTCCGAGAACTCAAAGGCTCAGGTAGAAACTAAGAAGAAAATGGATCGGCTGGAGCTGGATGTAGCCAATGCCGAAGCCCGTGCCAAACGCGCCGAAGCGGCCGAGAAGAGAGCCAACGAGACGGTCGCTTCCCAGGCGAAGACGACGCGAGATCTCGAAGCAGCCGTCAATGAGCGGAATGCGCTCACTCAAACCGTGCAAGAAATGAAAGCACAACTCGCTAGAGCCACCGCCCGGGCTGAATCTGCTGAATCCAAGGCCCAGTCCGATGCTTTGGAGAAGGAGAAGCGCCGGGTCAGTCAACTGGAGGAGGACTTGTCCAACACAAAATCCGAACGGGACGCCAGCGAGGAAGCGTTACGGCGAGAAATTGATAACCTCAAAGAAAAGGGTGAACAAGAACGGGAACGAACTCGCATGCTGGAGGCAGAGTCAAAGAATGAACAGGCTGTTTTGGAAAGTAAGCTGGAGTCTCTTCGCTCTCGCGCAGAGGAAGCGTCCTCGGGAGTGGCCGGGGATGCACAGGCCAAGCTCTTGCGCCAGGTTGAAACATTGCAAACCCAATATGCCGTTGCCAGCGAGAACTGGCAGACCTTGGAGGGCTCACTGCTGGCACGGTTGGCCAGCGTGGAGAAGGAACGGGACGAGGCCGCGCGACGAGAAGGGGAGATGCGACGGAAGGTTCGCGAAGCGGTACGTATATAAATTTGGCTCACATATTCCCTGCCATGCGGTACTGACCGTCTGGATAGAATCTCAAGGTGAAGCGGGTGGAGGAAGAACTCGACAACGCCAAGGACACCGAGCACGACCTCGAAAGCAAGCTGGAGGAGCGTGCGCAGGAGTTACAAAAGCTGGAGCAGCGACTCCAGAAAGCCCAGCACGAGCTCGAGTCAGCCCAAAAGGACTTCGTCGAGCAGAAGAAGGTCTCCGACGCGATCTGGGCACAGAAGCTAGAAGAAGAACAAGCCAAATGGCGAGACCTAGCCATGCCAGCCCCGAGTTTCCTCAAGCAGTCGCGGAACGCCTCCCCCGTGGCATTCAACCGCCGACCCAGCACCCTGGAGGCCGCCGCACCTCTATCCGACTCCCGCCCGTTAAGCCGTCGCTCGTCAAACCTGCCCATGTCGCCCGAGATCGGTACCCCGCCGCGCCAGAACTCCTTTCCGCTGTCAACTCAAGCAAGCTTGTCCCCTGTAATCAACAGCGCCCCAACGGCCAACATGGCAGAACCCTCAGCGATGGCCTTTGATTCGGACGAGTTCTTCACTGGCTCCGGCTCACCGTCTGCATTCGGCGGTGCCCCCACCCAGCACTCTCGCGGGATCAACGACCTGATCTCGGAATCGACCGTCGGCGCCGGTCCCTCGGTACAACTCGTCGAGCGCATGAGCGCCACCGTGCGTCGACTGGAAAGCGAACGCGCAGCATCCAAGGACGAGCTCGCCCGGATTACATCTCAGCGCGACGAAGCGCGGCAGCAAGTCGTGGACTTGATGCGTGAGTCCGACGAGAAGAAGGCCTCCGACGCTCGCATCCAGGAACTCCAAAAGGACATCGCGGCGCTCGACGAGCGCTATCAGACTACGCTCGAGATGCTCGGCGAGAAGAGCGAGCAGGTCGAGGAGCTGCAGGCTGATGTTGCTGACCTGAAGAGGATCTACCGAGAGTTGGCGGATAGTACGATGAAGTAGGCAGTGATGGTGTATACCTTACCTTTATTCCGTTATAATCTTTCGCTGGCACATATTCCCCCTTTCTTTGGCTTATTCCACGATGTGTACATATTATCACTTTGGCGTTTCTTGGTTTCTATTCGTTTATTTGTTTATCTTCCCTTTTCTTTTTCTTTTTTAGATGGATGGTGTGGTGTGATCCAGGGATTGGCCTGGACAAATTCTACAAACATCATTTTGTTTACTATATTCCGGTACCAACCAACTGGCACCGCTATACTTGCGCAAGGCCTGGGTATCGCATTCGCATTCGCATACTTATTTAACGTAGAAAGCACTTCAAAACATCTACAGCTCAATCCCCTCCCGCTCAGCAGTCTGCACAACATACTCCCGCACCTAGAGATACAATCAGTCCGTCTCCGCAACAATCATCTAACCCACAAGCAGAAGATAGGGGGGGGTTACCTTCCCATCCGGAGCCAAATCAATAGCCAAATGGCCATCCGCATCCCTCTTATCTGGCTCCGCACCCGCCTTCAGCAGCATGATCGCCGCGTCACCATGGCCCTCCGCGATCGCCTGATGCAGTGCCGTCAAGCCGTCCATATCGCTGGCGTTGACGGGGCTCTTTCCCTTTTCGAGAAGCTCCTTGATGATGGCCGTTGAGCCGATCGCTGCGGCACGGTGGAGGGGCAGCTGGCCGCGTTTGTCTTTGACGCGGGCGCTGCATTTGTGGGATAGGAGGGTGCGGATGGTGGAGAGGTTGCCTTTGGAGGCGGCGAAGTGGAGGGAATTCTGGGGGGGTTTCATTAGATTGGAGCTGCCGTGGGTAATCTCTCTGATTTGTATATAGATTGAAATAGATAAAGGGAAGGTTTGCAAGGTAGGAATTACCTGGCCTGAGTTACTGGTGACAGTGGCGTCTGCGCCTTTGCGGAGAAGCAGATCGAGCATAGGGTCGCCTTCGGCGTTTTTGAGACTCGCTGCGATCATGAGTGGGGTCCAGCCGGATCCATCCTGTTCTCACCATATTGACGTTTGTTAGATGCTATATGTTGCTGTGTGTTTATCATGGGAGCTAGGAGGGAGCTCACCTCCACGTCTGGGTCAAAGTTCTTGGTCGCAACCAGTTGCTCCACGATGGGGAGGTGGTTGTATGCGACAGCCCAGTGGATGGGAAGCCGCTCGTCATCGTCTTTCAGAGTTGCGAATTTCGGGTTTACCTATATCAGGGAGATTCGTGTGAGTATGTACGTAGGCTTCGATGGCGTATTGTGGTGGCGTGGGCAGCTCTAGTGACGATGCGGGGTTGCACCAGTGAATACATACGTTTAAGAGAGATTCGACCACTTGAGCTGTTGGATCGTTAGCGTGATGATTACAGTATATGTGAGAAGATCATACTCTTGCCCTCTCGAGCGGCCTCGTGCAGAGGGAATTTGGAAGTCTGATCTGGCTCCATGATGTCGTTGTGAAGTGACGATGAGAAGCATAGAGTAGAGCTCCGGCGATGATCGATGGATCCCGTCGAGCTGCCCACCGTCGGTTCTCTGATTGGCTGGTCGGGCTGGCTCTGGACTTGGATGCCGTGCTGCCTGAGGCAAGCACACCGCTCGCCGCCCGCGGATTCTTCTTCATTATTGAATCACGACGGGCTGTTCTTCTCCACGCCAACTCACTCTCCCCCGCCACTCTCTGTCTGCTATAGGTCGCTTTCGAGGCTTACTCTATCATCATTTGATTGAATCATTCGTGAACGCCAGCGGTTTACATTGGTTCTGAGGAGCAGACGCAAGCGGCACGTCCGGTTCCCTTTCGCGTCCTCAGCGACCCAAGGCTCGACCTCCTTCCCAATAGCGACTATCAACAAAAATGGACGTCGCGTCAACCACACCAGAAGATGCCGTGCGCATCTCCGCCAAGAGAACCGCCGATCTGTTCGGCCCCGACTATCTGATGGTGACCCCGTCCGTCACCAACGGGTCCATTGGCCTCTCCTACCGACGGAAAGCAGAGTACGACGACGTGAAGGAACTGCCCCCAGCACTTGCCGCGAAACAAGCCCAGGCCGCCGCCGCGGGCCGTGCGAAGCGACCGAAAATCCAACCGCAGGCTCAGGCCAACGTGGATCAAAGTGGCGGGTCGATGTCGCTGGTGAAGAAGGGCCCCAGTCCGAGTGCGGGCGGTGTCGGTGGTGAGAATCAACCGAAGAGCTTAGTTCAGCGACCGTCGGCGACGCGACAACAGCGACCGGATTGGCACGCGCCGTGGAAGCTGATGCGGGTGATCTCGGGACATCTGGGGTGGGTGCGAGCGCTGGCGGTGGAACCGAACAACGAGTGGTTTGCGAGCGGCGCGGGCGATCGAACGATCAAGATCTGGAATCTAGCGACGGGCCAGCTGCGACTCACCCTGACGGGCCATATCTCGACCGTCCGTGGCTTGGCGGTGTCTCCCCGACACCCCTACCTCTTCTCCTGCGGCGAGGATAAGATGGTCAAGTGTTGGGATCTGGAAACCAACAAGGTCATCCGGCATTACCACGGTCATCTGAGCGGTGTCTACTCGCTCTCGCTACACCCGAATCTGGACCTTCTGGTCACCGGCGGTCGGGATGGCGTCGCCCGAGTGTGGGACATGCGCACGCGCAGCAACGTCCATGTCTTGTCGGGCCACAAGGGCACCGTGGCCGACGTCAAGTGCCAGGAAGCCGACCCGCAGATCATTACGGGGTCGCTGGACGCTACCGTTCGCCTGTGGGATTTGGCCGCCGGCAAGTCAATGGGAGTGCTCACGCACCATAAGAAGGGCATCCGCAACATCGCCATCCACCCGCGCGAGTTCACCTTCGCCAGTGCCAGCACCGGCAGCATCAAGCAATGGAAGTGTCCCGAGGGCGCCTTCATGCAGAACTTCGAGGGCCACAACGCCATCGTCAACTCCATCGCCGTCAACGAAGACAACGTCATGTTCTCCGGCGGCGACAACGGCTCCATGTGCTTCTGGGACTGGAAGACGGGCCACCGCTTCCAGACCATGGATACGATGGCGCAACCGGGCTCGCTGGATGCGGAGGCCGGCATCATGGCGTCGACCTTTGATCGCACCGGTCTGCGTCTTTTCACGGGCGAGGCCGACAAGACCATCAAAGTGTGGAAGCCCGATGATGAGGCCACCGAAGAGTCGCATCCTCTCGCGTGGCAGCCGACCCTGGGACGGCAGAGATACTAATGCGTGATGCTTCAGACTGATTCTTATACCCCGTTCAATCAGTCTGTCAGGAAAGAGGAGATACTCGAGGGAACCATGCTTGTATTGGTGCAGCTTCACGGAGTTCCGGTGGATTGAGGTTTTTTTTTATGCCATTTTAGATTCGATGGTTTCTCCCTGTGTGGGCACAAAAAGAAAATAATTGCTCATGACTGAATTGTATTATATGATGTTAGATAGAAATCTAACCAGGGCTATCCCGAGCATTGCCGATTCTATCTCTCTATGGTATTCATTGTGCACCTACAGTCAATTGTCCAGCCCATTTACATCGGAGGTAGCCCAGAGTGATCGACCGAGTGAGTGACCCAAACTGCACTTTCCCAATTGGGAATGTATGTCACCAGTTCATTCATCCAAACAACATCGGTTGCTTCTTTGTTTCTCTTTCACTTGCTTGTCCCAAGGTGCTGCAATCACGGTTTGCTTTCCTCTGCCAATGAATGCATCTATCTGATTTATCCCATGGAGTGTTTGTGCCGATATGCCTGTGAATGAAATTGATCTTGATTCTTCATCTCCCCCATACCTTTATTTATTCCCAAGGTTCCACTTCTCTTGCTTTCCTTTACATCTCTTTTCTCTACCCTATTCTTGTATCTCCCTTTCTTCTCATCTAGTCACTCTCCCTGCAGATTCTCTTCTGCCAGAGTCGGTTTTTCTGGTGTTGTACTCTTCGTGTCGTTGCAATCCAGTCACCCTACAGTTGACATTTTGATTCCATTCATCCGGGGTAAACCACTCTGGATCTCATCAAAATGGAGTGAGTAGCCAAGATATCTACAGACAGGAAGAAATCTACTGAAACCCCTCCCAGCCCTGAGTCGTCAGCAGCCGAAGGTAAGTGCGATGTACCCTGATAGGGTCATATGGACGGATCCAACTGCTTTTGACAGATCCTCGCTCACATGTCTTCAGAATGGCAGCTCGTAGGATATGGCCGGGAGAGCTTGAAACCTCATGCATCCAAAGCCACACCTGCCAAACCTACCAAACCCATCCAGCCTGTTCAAACACAGCCTACCGACCCGGCCCAACCCGTCCAGCGTCCGGAGCCTGTCTGCAAAGATCAAGCTACTGCCAGCAAAACACAGCCGGAAACCCTGAAGAGACCGCAAAAACAACAGAAAGCGCAGGTTCCGTATTCTCAGGCCCTTAAGCGCCCAGCTCCCCATATCGCCACGCAGCCTCGGGGCAGTTATCAGAGCGCTAGAGGACGGGGAAGCTCCAATGCGAAACGTGGACAGGGAACGCCAGCTCAACAGTCGAGCCGTCTCTTCAGCGATTCCCCTGCTAAGTCAAAGTGGAGAGTGGGCACTCCGCCTACAGGTGAGGATATTGTTCGATCGAACTTTATTGAGTTCAAGCTGACCGTGGGAACCTGCCCAGCGTCTGTGAGATTGTCTATTCCATGGGGATCATTCAAGCATGAGTAAGACCTTCAAGACTCAAAATGGCAACCATGAGGCTGACCACTTTTACTCCACACGCAGATTCTTCGCAGCAGCAAGGTCGTCCGTGATGGGTAGCGATTCATCTGCGACACAGTGTCGATATGAAGTCTTTGAAGTGATCAACCGGAAGACTGGTGCCTACGTTAAACCCCCTCATTTTTCAGACCCTGTATGCCACATCCCTCTCCCAGCAACAATGGCAGTCATGGTTTATGCTCACTGCAATATATATAGTTAATCCATATATGGGGTGAGCTGTCGCAAGCGGCATCTGCTCAAGACATTCTTCAACAGGTTTTGAATAAATGTAAAAGCATTTCAACGACCCTGAAGAAGAAATCAGAATGGGCCAGAATCCACGGCCATTCCGAAACCAAGGAGGCCAGGTTCGAGTTGCAAGAGCGACATGGAGCTATCTTACAGCAACTTCGAAGACCGCCAGAGTCGCTTGCCATGTACCCTGAACAGGTCGGTGTGCGCCTTGCCTCTCAAACATTAAACTGCTTTCTGACTCCTTTGAATTCAGTTGCTCTTCTTATGGCCACGGGACGGCCCGTCTCTCCGAGATTCTCTTGGGCCACAGCTGGAAGCCTTGGACACCATTCGGGCGAAGTTCGCGTGTCATCTGTACATTCCAAATGGCCTTGCGGACTTCATCTGTGTTGTTGGTTGTGATCATGACACGATCAAGGAAATTGTTCGCCGTCTGAGGACGAAGTGGAGTGAAATAATCGCGAGCATCAGCGTCAAAGCTAAAGTTTATGTCGTCGAACCCCCGCCGTCTGGCACCGTGAGCAAGATTCTTACCGAAAAACCAAGGAATGCGCCTTTCGTGGAATTTGCTCTAGTTCGCGACAAGATTGAAGGGACGGCCCTTCAACAGTGGCTGGCCCGAGCTGCTATGATCCGATCCAAGAACGATACTCGTCTTCTGAACGCCATTGAGAGGTCACTGCGGGGTGTCGCCTTCGTTCGAGGACACTTGCGCATGCGTGTGAACCTTGGCTCATTTGTTCTCTACGAGTACCGCCGTCCAGTAAACGGCAAGTCTTACGATTTTGAAGAGTTCCGGGAGATGCTCCTACATGAGCAAACTAAGGGTCGTCTGATTCCGGGGTAAGTCCATGGAGAGCCTGCGGTCAAGTAACCACTGACTGTCTTTCAGATTGAAAACAAAGCAGGATAATCTTCTCCAGAGATGCTATGAAGCAACCGATCTTCTCGCACCATATGAGCGCACGTCGTCGTCGTTGAAAGATCATGAACTTCTGTACTCTGTTAACTTCGAATTCCAAGGGTCGAACACTGCGATGCTACGCCTCGAGGCCGAATTCGCCAAAAGTCCTGGGGCGCACGAATACGAAGTCACGCAAAGAAGATGGCTCAGGCCTCGTGGAAGTGGCTCAGTTACTGAAAATCGTCCTCCCTTGCAGATTGGAGTCGTTGACCTTGAGAGGTAGGAATATGAGTCTTCCTCGGTGGATTGTCACCTAGGCTGACTGAATCAGATCGGATTGGCAGATAGAGATCAAATCCCTTGAATTCTACGAGGCGTCTGCGATCGATTCCAAATTGAGGGCGTTTTCTCACTCTGTGCGGTTCCAAAGGAGTTCTGATACTGGCGACATTTGCGCGGCGCCTCGTAGGAAGGTCATATTCCCAGACTCGGATCCAGTTTCACGGTTTGTCGAAAAGACTGCCATTAGGTATCGGCTGAAAGGAACAAACTATATCTTCGAGATTGCCCGCTATGATGAGTACAGCCGTCCCCGTGGCGCGGCCCTTTTCGGAACTGCCTCGGTCTCTTGGGGAGCGTCTGTGTTCGATCCCAACTGGGACAATTTGTTGGGAGAGCATGCAAACCTACCAGTCGGTCATAGTGCCAGATACAGCCCCGATCTGCACACGTTCTTCCCGTCTCGAAAGCCAAGCTCCGAACCAAATTATCCGGGCGTCTGGGAGTTTATCGGCTTGGTCAGACTGGTTGCCGAATTGCTTGGTCCAGTCCGGGCTTTGACTGAGCACGCTATGCATCCTGCACCTGCTTCGAGGGGCGCCAATATCAAGAAAGAACCGATTCCGTCAAATGACGCAGTGGCTGTTGGTGACCGTGGCGGGATGCTCGATGCTGACCTTGGTACTCTTTTTTGACTGCAGGTCAAAAGAAAAGTGTCTCAAATGGAGCTCGGATTTTGGACGAACCTCCTCCACGTGGATTCTGTGTTTTACCTATTTTCCACCGTTTTCACTGCCTGTTTTTCCTCCAGTACTATGTGGCACCCGGTTATGGCATGTTAGCGTCGACACTACCAGTTACTCTGCTCGTGTGGAATCCGTGCTGGGGATGTGCATGAAACATGTGTCGCGCTAAGGCTTCCTGCAGTTTAGGAACGCTGAAAGTCTATGCCATAATCGGAATGTATCGTTACTCTGTCCACAGCCGCAAATATCATTTCGTCTATCGTAAACTTTTTTCCTACTATAATATTCTGTACACGGATCCTGATAAAGATTCAGCCACCGCCCGCGGTAGCGGCAGCAGAGGATTGTGTGCCTTCACTGAGCAGTTTGACCCTCAGAGCTAGACAAGGTTAGTCACTGCACATAGGGAAGAATAAGAGGGTAAAAAGATGACGGTACCTTCTTCGAACAGCCTCTGCTGTTGGCTCTTGGTCTGCACGATCTTCTCCAGCTCCGTCAAATTGGCCTCCAGAACCTTGACCTTGTCATCGTAGAAAGCGATAGCTTTGGCGGGGGTCTATCATAGTGATTAGCACAGCCCGTCTCCGTAATCCACTGCTGAGCGAACCCCGAGTCTCCAAAACCCAACAACCAAGAAAAATCAAAACCAAAGAGGGAGGAGGGGCAAAAAAAAACAAACCTTCTCCACATAAAACCCCGTCCCAACATCAACAAGCACCTTCTCCCGATCCGCCATCTTCCCCTTGACGTAAAGCGAGCTCGTCAACGGAACGAGGATATCATCGCGTCCGTCGGTGCCCTTCTTCGACGACCCGACGACACCCTCGTTGATGGAGCGCACACAGTCGCGGAACTTGGACTGCGCGGCGCGCAGCTTGGCGTGCGAGGAGGTGAGGTGTTCCAGCTCGGAGGAGATGCGGGATTGGAGGGCGCGGAGTTGTTGCGAGGAGAGGGAGCCGAGGTTTACTATGAAGCAATTTTATTGTCAGTTTTGATACCAGGAATGGGTCTTCCTTTTGGGTGTTTTGTTTATGTATTTGTTGTTGGGGGAGGGGGTTCCAATTGGTGGGTTGGATGGTTTACCTGCTCCGGGGGGTGCTCCTCCCTCTGCGGGGGAATCTTGAGGGGCCATTTTTGGCGACGTTCGTTTTGTTCCTGCTGGCTTTCTTTCTGTCTTTTCTTCCGGAATCCCAGTGAGGTGTCACTCCAGGGCAATTCGAATAAGGTTTGCCCAGCTGCGCTGAGAGGATATACGGCCGTGTGGGCTTTCGTTGGAGATGTTCTTCCGATTGATGTACAGAGTGAGGATAACGAGCTAAAGTTGGTGGGAGGGGAGCTCGTGATTAGTCATGGGTTGTGCTGGTGATTGATGAGTCAGAGGGGTTTTATGTACTTTGTGCAATTTGTGTATGTGGTGGGGCTGGGTGCCTGATTGGTAGGGCACTCTATGTTGGCCTGGGGTTTCTTTCTAATTGCTTCTTTACTAATTTCTTGCTTATTTCTTCACTTAACCACGCCGTGTATGTCTGGGATATTATAATGACTTTTGATTGTATACTGGGTGCTGTTAATGACACAAATAGTATGTCAAGATCTATGATGTTTCATGGAGAAAGCTGTACAGTGTATCAGATCAGGGCGGCAATCACAGCCCAATTGCAGTATGACATCTAGTCATAGCTGTGTTTGCTGTGATGAATGAATATCCATTATCTATCTAGACAATCAACCCTCTTGAAAGACAAGTAATCACTTGATCATGTCAAAGAGCCTACTAAGATCCTTACCAGTATGGTTTCCCTATATATACCCCGACCCCACCCCCTCCAACAGTACCAACTCAACCACGCTTCCGATCCATTTCATCATTAATATTGCACCGTATGGTTGCGAGACCATGATGGCAAGAAGCCTTCCAAATCCAGGCTTTATTATTTTTAATATGTCTAAATTGACCATTACAGGTCCATTCAAACCCATTTAAACCCATTCAGATTCACTCAGATCGACAAGGTGCTTGCAGCAACCCAGTTCAATCCTAGAACGTCTTGTTTCCTTGTCATCAGGACAGACTGGGGATGTGGCCATCGCAGCCTTTGAGTTTTGCTGGTGCAGTGGCCGGCTGATAGAATATGGCCCTCACAGTTATCGCTGGGCCCACTTATAAGAAGGAAAAGGAGGAGATGGCATGGCCTGTTGTCGACCATCTATGGTATTTCCCTGGCGTGGAATGACTTTCACTCAAGACATTCAAGTTCTGCTTTTCGATGCTAGGGTGACTGGGCGTCAACAAAATGGGTACGGAAGCCAAAGTGCAGAATGATGACTGCTGCATTTCGATCGAAAGGACAGGCTTATCTGCAAGCCCAAATATGGCCTCATAATGATCTCTCGTCAGTCATGTCAGGCCTGACCAAATTCAAATTTGGTATCTTGGTGCAGTGGCTGTCACATTTCACAGCTGTGTGACAGAAAATGGCTGTCTTTTTGGCGCGTCAGTGCCCTACCTTTCGGTCAAATTGAGAAACTGGCCAGATTTTCAACATTCGCGGCATCGCGTTTTGGAAATGGGAAAAAATGCCCACAACGAAATGGACTGTAGGGAAGCGCTGCGCTGAACGAACCAAAGCTCGCAATCTACGATCGGATATATATATCCAACCACTCAACACGCACTGCGAATAACACATTTGCATACCGGCGGCCCCCAAGATGTTAGAATAAGTGGGTGATCATGAACCCATCGAATGGTACACAGGCGAATCCTGCTGTCTTTTGGGCTCTACTAGGGCAACCCAAGACATAGATTTGTCTCAGATACTGCACCGAAATATCGAATTGACATTTGATCGGGCTTGATATGGCTGATATCTCAACAATTTACGAGAGCATCCGTCCAGATGAGAAGCAATGTGGAATACAGACCTTTCTTTTACCCAACTTGTCTCGACAAAAACTGTCAGCTCAAAAACAGTCTGGAATGCAGGCTAGTATCTATGCTTGAATATTTCGCTATGCGCAGCAAAACCAGACTGGGACTGTCAGTTCATACGTACAATTGGGACCGTCAAGACGATCAGCTGTCAGAGTCATCGCCCCTTGGAAGAAGCGTCATCGGGGTCTACCGTCGGTCAACATAAGAATCCCGATCTGGTTATTGTGATGGGATAAGTCTGGTTATCATGCCAGCCAAGCTCATGGACACCTGGATATTCAAGTGGATCAAATCCATGCATCCCAATCACCCACGTCTAGACATGGGCTCTGAGTCCTCTTGCACTCTTGCAGAGGCATGACTCGTGGAGAACGCGTTGTCAGCCCTGTGACCATCAACCATCTGCAGACCCTTGGGACCGATTTGTTGCACATACTTGCCATGTGGACGCGCGAGCAGACGTCCACTTTGCCAATGCGAGACTCTTAGTAGTTCGCTCAGCAGAGCAGCCGCTATCTCGTCCAAAACATTTGTCCCTGTCGAGACAAGAATCGGCTGCGTGATTGTTGCAGGCTTCTACGTTACTTACCTACGCTACGCTGCTTGCATAGTCTGCCCTTTTGATTTCGCAAAGGAACTCGGCACCGATCAACATGGCTAGCCCTGTGTATTCGTCGGTTTCCCGGAAGGTACCCGAGGTCCGGATGGATGGATGCGTGTTCAGAGTTATAGCCCCTGGAAGCCTTGACTGCATTGTCAGATCTCGCGGGTTTTATTTCATGCAAGTATGTATTGATCAGCTCGATGATGGGATTTGCGGATCTGCGACATAGAATGATGATGGAGATGTTCTTGTTATTTCTCGCTACGCATTGAGATCGGGGAACTTGATAGATTAGGGTTCTTGCCGCTGCATGCTTAACATCTTCAAAAAACAACCTTCATATTTAAAGTACAGTCAGATCATAGCCTTACGGGGTGTGCGTACGATGTAGAGTGGTCAGTAGTGACCTGTCCTTCCCTGGGGTTAGAATCCGTACTCAAAACCATCCACATATAAGATTTTTGAAAGAAGCAATGTATGAAAAACCCGACAAACTCTAGACAAACAAAAAACCACCCACAGCTAATATCGCACCGGCACAAAGTCTATGAAAGAAAATAAAGAAACGCCAACAGAACCACAAAGATCCATATCTCGGGGGTCCAACGCAGTCAAGCAGTCTGTTTGTAACTCTTCCACGGATGGAGGTCGCTTCTCTGCCGGAACAGATTGACAAGCGGCGTGAAGAGGACCTTGCCCTCAAAGGTCGCCATCGTGCCCTCCGTCTCTACCTGGTTGTGCTCCTCGTACAACGACGCCACATCCCCCCAGCTCACCCATCTCCATTCTTCGCATTTCTCCGGTTCCATGATCTGCATGTCGTCAATTATTAAATTCTTTCATCCTGGTATACGTGCCATGACCATCCATCGGGAATGGGGACATGTAAAATATAGAAAAAGAGCCCCCAAACACACAAAGACAGATAAAAATAAAACAGCCGACGATGAAATTAAAGGGTAGTGCTTACCGTCGGCGTAGCATTCTCGTCCTCCAGCCGACACCCCACAAAGATAGTCACATAGTGCTTCCCCTCAGACTTCATGACATCGTTGGTAGCAGTGAGGAATTTGATATCCTTGACTTTGACACCAGTCTCTTCGAGCACCTCTCTCTCTGCGCAGGTCTCAAAGGACTCGTTGAACTCAAGGTGGCCGCCTGGAAGCGCCCAGTGGCCTGGTTGTTTTCATGTTAGTATTACCGGTGGTGGCATGGAGTACAGGGAATTAGTATGGGGGACTAACCTGCTCCGTGGCTTCCCTTCCGCTGGCCGAGGATAAACTCGCCTTTGGAGTTGAATACGAAGACACCGACGCCGATACGGGCATTCATCGCTGCTGATATTGTGTGAGGTGGTGGAGTATGAGGGGTGTTGTTGGAGATCAAATTTTGAGTTTGGTTGGAGCGGATAGAGGGAAGTAAGTGTTAGAGCTGGCAGTACTTCCTTCAGGCGATGTCTGTCTGAATTTATGGATCGACTGACTGAAAGGTATATTGAAAGTAGTACGTATTTGGGTAGGGCGTGGTTTTGTGTGTGTATAGTCTTTGATAGTCTTCCAGCGGACTTCCCTGTGGATGCCTGCGGGTGGTGGTTGTGCACCGCCCTAAAATGCTGCGCCCGCCTGAGCGGCATCGCGCTAATGACCATGGATAATGCCCGCCTGTCGTTCATCCCAGTCCCCTGCTCGTCAACATTATTTCTTTATCGTGGCTGAAATGAAAGCATATTATCAGTGATCTCAGGCCTACTATTATGTGGTCTTACCAATCACAAGGCCATGCTTATATCTACTGTACAAAGTCGTATAATACATCTACTTTTCCACTGCGCCAGGCTGCGGTTAGAGCCTCTCCAACAAAGACCGCACAAATCCAGGCAACTGCTCCAGTGACACTTCTTCCCTCAGGTTGTGCAACCGGCGGCACTGCACCTCCACCGTCTGCTGGTTCTTCCAGCCTTTGCCAACCACAATGATCACCGGATACCCGATCAGGTCGGCATCGCCCAGTTTCCAACCCATCTGTTTGTTGCGGTCGTCCAGAATGATATCTAGTGGACTGGATTCATCTGCAGCAAGGGTATCGTATACTTTCTCTGCATCCTTCTCCAGACCTTTGCCCGGAACGACAACGACCTCGTAGGGTGCCATCACCCGCGGCCAGTTCAGCCCCTTTTGGTCAGCCAGGCTGTCGGCCACAGCTGTGATCATGCGCGATACTCCGATGCCGTGGCAGCCCATCTGCATGGGCACAGTCTGGTCAGATGTACTGGAGCTTCCTGACTCGCGAAGCGCAGCCTGGTCGACCATGACGGACGCCTGGAGGACTTGGCTGTACCGGGTGCCAAGGTGGAAAGTGTGGCCTAGTTCGACTGCAGTGTGGGTTTTGACGGTGCCGTCGCCACATTTGAAGCACCTGTCGCCGTCGTGTATGTTGATGATGCTAAGGCCGTTGTTTGTGTTGGGGAAGCGGTCGAGCATAGAGTAATCGATGTCGCTAACTGTACAGTTGACCTGCTGCAGCAGATCACTCAGTGGTGGCCGCTTGTACACCCGCACCTGGGAGTCGTACAAGTCAACCACCTGGGGGCGATGCAAAATCGTCGAAGATCCAGAGGCTTTGTCGGATTTTATTTGCGCCGACCACTGTTCAACAGGGTTTTCAATGCTGAGGTCAAGGTCGATGCCAGCGGCACTTGCTATGGATTTGACGGCATGAGAGTTGACTTCTCGTTCTGTTGGTTCTTCGCTGGGGCCCTGCATGGAAAACTTGGGGTGCCATGCCCTGAGGAGGGTCCTCTTGTCTTTCGAAATCGACATCCAAAGACCAGTCGATATCGTTGGTGGCGCCTCCGTGGAACCTGCCTCTGTGGCAAAGCCTTCCCGGCTCTCTGTGCGCTGCTCCCCAATGTCATGGGATTTTCCATCGGCCAGCTCTTCGTTGTAAACGGCATCGCAACTGGAGCAACTGACGACGGTGTCTTCTCCCTTCGGGCTAGGAAAATGGAATTCATGACTCAAATCACCGCCCATGTTACCTGAGTCGGCTGTGGCAACGAGATACGGTATCTTGAGCTCATTGAAAAGTTGCGTATACGCAGCCTTTACGGAAGTGTAAGTCTGCAGCGCGTTTTCTACATTGTGGTCGAACGTGTAGAGATCTTTCATGATGAACTCCCGCCCACGAAGAAGGCCTTGCCTCGGTCGTGGTTCATCTCTGTATTTTCGAGCTGTACTGGTATCAGCACCGAACTTTGATTATCCAAAGTTGGACTCACAAATCTGATATACTCGTAGAGGTAGATCACGGTACGATTTCGTGAGACTCCCTACCAAAGTAGTAATCTCTTCCTCGTGCGTAGGCGCCAGAAGGAATCGAGACTCTTTCCGATCAAGAAATTTAAACAGCTACATGCCATGTGAGCAGGTAGCAGTGTCATATACCAAGTGGAAATTACCTCTGATCCCTCTTTCAGCCGCCCGGATTGTTCCCAGAGTTCCTGAGAAGATATCGACGACAAAGAAACCTTCGAAGCACCTGGAACTAGTCAATCCCGGACGTTTTGAAAAGTTGGAAATAAGTATCGGTATAACACACCAACCGATCGCATATATTTGTCAATCAGGCGTTCTAGCTTTTCCTGCACACGCAACCCTAGGGGCAGCATGTGAAAAATGCCCGAGTACGCCTGGAAATACCGTTAGACAGCGATGATGAGGGATATGAGATAACACACCTGTCGAAGAAAACCACCTCTGACCAAGAGATCGTTGGCATCCTCTATATCACTGTCAATGAGTCCAATTTTTTGGGCTGGCTTCGTTTGAATTACCTTTACTTCCCTGTACATGCTTTTTTGAGATCCCCCCCGTAGGAGCCCAGAAGTTCGAGGTCCGACTCCTACCATCAATCTATACAACCATTAATACAACCCTGCTCTGGGGGTCAATGAGTCCATACATGGTAACTGCATCTGGGCACTCTATGGAACCGGAGCAATCCCGAGAACGCTCGATCGGGCCCCGAGTAACGGCCCGAGGGCGGCCGACATCCAAGTAGCATGGATCACGGATGCAAAAACAACAGCAACTCTATAATGAGAAATCTAGCTTTCAATGGCAGCCGTTCATCGTCCAATATGCGGAATCTGGTCTCGTCGCGGATCGCAACAACGATCATTGAAGATGGATATGCGACCAAGACCCGCGCCGGGTGGTCCGAGCGTCCCGCAAAAACGTTTCTCCGGCGGCGTTTGGAGATCTTCGAGCGGCAGAAAAAAAAAAGTTGCGATAGCATTCAATCGCCGCTTGTACATCTCACCAAACAAATTTCCCCTCCATGGCTAAAGGAAAGGGAAGACGCTCCTCCGGGGCGAATAACACTGTCGCAGATGGCGGAGTCGCCTTGAGTGACTCCAAGCCTGCTGCGAACGCTGTTCCCCAATTGCAAGAGGGCGCTTTCGCCGGCCTCCGACAGAAGATCGAACAGAAGTTGAAGGAACAAAGAGGCCCCAAGCAGAAGAAGAATGCAGCGGGTGCCAAGGAGGCTTCTACCGACTCACCGGCCAAGCCTCAGGAACAAGCCCCCAAGCCGAGCCCGAAGCGGAAGGTCGATGACGACAAGAATAAGGGCAAGAAGCGCGATCGCAACGGTGAAGTGATCGCGAGAGACGAGCAAAAGGGCAAAAAGGATGCACCAAATAGCGGGAAATCCAAGTCGAGTGGTGGAGACAAGGATGATACCTTGCGACAAGAGATCTTGGCCATGGGAGGCACAGATGAAGATTTCGATTTGGTTGCCGGCATCGAAACGGATTCCGAGGACGAGGAGAACGCAGGCACCGCGAAGAAGTCTACAAACAAATCTGATGAGGCTGCGTTGAGGAAGGAGTTGTCTAGCATGCTTGCTGCTGCTGGTCAGGTCGTCCCAGATGACATTGCCGACGAGGACGAAGCAGAGATCGACGAGGACGAAGAGGAAGAGGATGAAGAGGAAGAGGACGAGGATGAGGAAGCGATGGATGATGAGGAAGAGGAAGAAGCATCTGAAGAAATTCAGGAGAACGAAAGCTCAGCCGATCAGGAAGACACTTCAGATGAAGAGGAGGCTCCTCCAGCTCCGGTCGTCAAAGACACCAAGAACGAATCCAAGACGGGAAAAGCAGCTGAAAACATCTTCCCCAAGGAATTTTCCAAGCTTGTAAGGATTCTGTTCTCTTCCATGCGTGCCTCCTACTAACACGAGCACAGATTGTCCCTCCTCGGTCGGATTGGTACATGACGGAGCTCCCTTCCATCCCATCGAAACAAGCAAATGCCTTGCCACGCCACTTAGTCGATCGGGTATATGGTCGCGCCGTATCGCTCCTGGAAAAAGAAAACAAGATGTATGCGGATGCGCAAGCATCCTCGGCCTCTTCTTCCCACAAATTCTACACGACTATCATGTCCACCGGTACCCTGAGTGATAAGATTTCGGCTTTGACTCTCGCTGTTCAAGAGTCGCCGCTACATAACATGAAACAACTGGAGAATCTGATTGCCCTTGGAAAGAAACGCAGTCGTTCTCAAGCGGTGGATGTTCTCAGGTCACTGAAGGATATGTTTGCGCAGGGTACATTGCTTCCCAGTGAGCGCCGCCTCAGGTCGTTCGCCAACCAGCCATCCCTTGTATCCGCGTTCCAGGGAGCTGGTGGCCGGTGGTCTGAGGATGACCCTCTGCCTGGTGGTCTGCAGAATAGCCACATCATGGTCTGGGCCTACGAGCATTTCCTCAAGGAGCAGTATTTTGAAGTCCTCAAGATCCTTGAAGTGTGGTGCAACGATGAGATTGAGTTTTCGCGCACCAGGGCCGTGAGTTATATCTTCGAGCTACTTAAGGAGAAGCCGGAACAGGAAGCGAATCTGCTGCGGCTCCTAGTCAACAAATTGGGCGATACATCAAAGAAGATTTCCTCGCGTGCTTCCTATCTGCTCTTGCAAATTGAGCAGACTCATCCGTTGATGAAGCCCACTATCATTTCTGCTGTTGAAGAAATTGTCTTCCGTCCGGGCCAGAGTCAACACGCCAAGTATTACGCTATCATCACGTTGAATCAGACGGTCTTGAGCCTCAAGGAGGAGAAAGTTGGCATGCAACTCCTCGACATATACTTTGCACTTTTCGTCTCCTTGCTCAAGCCGCTCAAGCCAGCCAAGGGTCACCAACACCAGGGTGGGAAGAATGGCAAGCATGGAAAGAAGGGGCCGAAGGGTAAAGGGAAAGATCAGGAGGACAAGGGCCATGCTCAGACCGAAGAAATGCAAGAAAAGCTTACCTCGGCCGTGTTGACGGGTGTGAATCGAGCGTATCCGTTTACCAGTTCGGATAGTGACAGGTACGTTCCTGCAATTTTTTTGATTGGCCAGAACTATTGATGCTAATTACATCCAGGCTTTCCAAGCATATCGACACCTTGTTCCGGATCACCCATTCCTCCAACTTCAACACCAGCATCCAAGCGCTCATGTTGATCCAGCAACTGACGCTATCTCACCAAATCGGAACCGACCGTTTCTACCGCACGTTGTACGAGTCTCTTCTTGACCCCCGTGTCGCTACGTCGTCCAAACAGTCGTTGTATTTGAACCTGCTGTTCAAGGCCTTGAAGAATGACATGAACGTCCGACGTGTCAAGGCGTTCGTGAAGCGCATTGTCCAGGTTCTGGGAATGCACCAGCCAGGTTTCATCTGCGGCGTCTTCTATCTGATCCGCGAGCTGGAGAAGACCTTCGTTGGTCTCCGAACCTTGTATGAGCAGCCCGAAGACAATGACAGTGACGAGGAAGAGGTGTTCAGAGATGTACCTGATGAAGATGATGAACCGCAAGTCGTCAACGAAGCAGCCGACTCGAAGCCGAAAAAGCCGACCAATGGTTATGACCCGCGAAAGCGCGATCCCGAGCATAGCAATGCTGACAAGACATGCTTGTGGGAATTGGTGAGTTTTCCCTTTTTTTTCTTTTACCTCCTCCCTTGCTTTGGCATGTACTAACTGAGTTGGCAGCTGCCTTATATGTCGCATTTCCATCCCTCCGTGTCCGTCAACGCGTCCCATCTGCTTGACAACCAGCCCATGAGCGGCAAGCCCGACATGACGCTGCACACGTTGACGCACTTCCTTGACCGCTTTGTGTACCGCACGCCCAAGGCATCCGCCGCCACCCGTGGGTCTTCCATCATGCAGCCCCTTGCAGGCAGCGAAGCGAAGGACCGCCTGGTGGCTTCGGGCAACAACGCGCAACAACTACCGCTCAACTCGGAGGCCTTCTGGAAGAAGAAGTCCGAGGATGTTGCCGTCGAAGACGTCTTCTTCCACGAGTACTTCAACCGTGTCGGCAAGGACAAGGACCGGGCCAGGAGCAAGAAGTCCAAGGACGCTGTCGACCAGGACGAGGAAGGTGCCGATGTCGGCAGCGACGCCGAGTCGGAGATCTGGAAGGCTCTGGTGGACTCTCGACCCGACGTCGAGGGCCCCGAGGACAGCGACGACGACCTCGACATGGACGACCTCGAGTCTGCCTACGATAAGAGCGACGACGACGAAGAGGAAGCTGGCGAAGACGACGACGAGGTCATCTTCAACGACGAGTCGGACGCCGACATGGACGATCTCGAGGACGAGGACGAGGAGCCCGAGGCCACGAAGCCGGCCCCCAAGGCCAAGAAGGAAACCAAGCCCAAGAAGGCCGCCAAAGAAGAATTCTCCGAAGAGGAGGAAGACGACTTCGACATGGATGTTTCCGACGACGGGGCCTTCCTCGAGAGCGACGAGGACCTGCCGTCGGACGTGGAGCTGTCAGGCGAAGTGGAGACTCCCAAGGACGAGCCGTCGGACCGGAAGAAGAAGCGCAAGCTCAAGCATCTGCCCACGTTTGCCTCGGCCGACGACTATGCGGCTCTGCTGGCTGGGGAGGACGAGGGGATGTAAGCCGGATTATTGGGTTTTCTACACCGTTTCTTTTAGTACTACTGTCTATATACAATTCTATTGCAGATACCATCAAAAGCTACAGTCAATTTTACATTCCATTCTTCCATCTATCATTCCTTTCAAAACCAACCCTGATCCACCCATCGGAACAATTCTCCTAGTAGATTAGGATCTCTCACCCACTATCAATCACCAAGCAAGGAGGACCCCACACGAAGCACCAAGTAAGCAGACAGGCAACGTGTCTCATCACGTGCCATCATACATCTCCAAGCAAGGGATATACAAATATAAGTACGAGCACACTGTCTTGTCCAAAGTAGTCTCCGTGAGTAGTAGACCCTTTTCCAGTGATCGACAGTGTAGAAAGCCACTCAGCTTACTAGGGCTTACTGGGGGAACTGGGAATGAATCCTGCACGACCTGCATTAGTTGCTTTGCTAAGATGTCCACGTTAGCGAGCCGTCCATTGCCTTGAAATAGATGTCTTTAAAGATTGCGTATGGATCATGCAGGGTAGTTAACTCTGTGTGGATGGATTTGTAGAATGATATCACTCCTGCGTCGACCCTGATATTTCCGGACCAAGCTTGAGTAGGTAATGTAGCAGTCACTGTTATTATGATAGTGATGGTTTTTTCTTAAAAATAATTTTTGTTATTGGTGTTCTTTTCCATTTTTACGGCTTTCGGTCTTTCCACCCTTTTCAAACCCGCCATAAACGCCACCTCCGCGGAGTATCAACTTAATTTATGAAAAGACACCCAATATCCACCACTCCCCTATCTTCTATCAAGAAAAGAAGACGATACTGGTACCCGGGCCGTGGAGTATATCTATCCGTCTTCAAACTCAGGGCACCAGGTCCGCGAGACGGAGACGGGCGGAGGAGAAAAAGAAGACATGGAATGGAATCACGCCATATGTTAGTGCATAGCGTGCCTTGAGTTTAATGGGTGGATAGTGCCTCCTATTAGGTTCAATTTTTTTTTTGGTTTTGTGGAGAAATGTGGTGTTTAAGATTTTTATTAGGGGTGTAGTTATCTCAGGAGTTGATTGATCACGATAGGCTTGTATTGCAGATTGTGTATGTACCATTTGGTAGATGCATGGATCATGGAATATTTCTTATCATCCCAGGACACCCTACCTGGTAGGTACTAGGTAATGAATCAAACGTACATCTCGGTCAGCCACACATCCACCATAAGAGCTAGACCAATGAACAAATCACGCACGAGTCGGATGATTACATCCATGACCATACTGCATTAGGTAAACCTTCGACGACCCAAATAAGTGTATCGGTCATGACCCTGGCAGGGGAGGAAGGAGGGGGGGGAGGGGCAGGCGGTGGTCGTCCCTAGTACATGGTACCTGTACCTTGTACCTAGCAAAGCTTCCAGGCCAAGCAAGATCTAGAAGCGTTTGCCCGGACGGATGCGGGACCAGCGCCAACAAACGGAGATTCCGACCGTTGGTTCCGCCATCCTGATGGGAGCAGTGATTGGCTGCGGAGACGGTCATGGTTGCAGCTGGGGTCAGGGACCTATTAGGTTGGGATAGGGGAGAGTGGGGATCCGCCCATGCCCCTCCAGACCCACCAGTCTGTTCAGATGGCTAACCTGATCGCATTTATCAAAATTTCATTGCACAATTTTCTGTCTTTTCTTTTCAAGGCGGAAAAAGAAAATGTTAGAATGCCGCTATGTACTCGATTGGTGAAAGGGCCAGTGATAGATATCTTGAGAATTAGTCTATAATCCCTGGTCTGGGATATACAGAAAGATGGATCGGCTGCTCCGGATTGTAGTCCAAACAAGCTACCCTACCTGGTATGTTACTTTCTCATTAACTTCAGAGATCATATCACTGTCCCTTACCTAATTGTCAGGGCCACGGTACAGAATAACCACATCCTGAACCTCCAGTTCTTCCAGTGCAGTCTACGAGATCATCACTCTCGTTGAAGCTTGGATGCGACGTCATGGTCTTTTAGGGGATGGGTGACACAAGAGACAGGGATCTGATAATTTTTAAGAGTCAAAGATGAAATCAACAAAAGATGAAAAGAAAGACAAGTTCAGATGAATGTGTGACATGATAACTAATTCAAGAAGCTGATTGCGTCTTGGGGAGAATCCGAAAGCAGCGACTGCCATATCGGGTAAGTCTCGTCCTGAGGCCAGTGAGATACCTCAGGGCCTCATCGGAGACCCCGATCAGAATACAGAATTATTAAGTGACTAATACTAAGTGACTTCATACTCCTAATATATCAAGGAAAAAAATCAATATGTTTATTTAATAATTGTCTTCCTGTTGACTCAGCCATTCATCTTTCACTCAACTTAACCAGTTTGATCTTTGACGAGATCCGCCTCTTTCTTTCCTCTTTTCCTTCCTCTCAAAACAAGCGTTTTCTCTTTTTTTGCCTCTCGCTTGGCTTGAGTCTTGTCTCTCTCTGCACTCGGTAAGCCAAGACGCCCCGACTCAGCCCATCCAGCCCATCCAGCCCATCCACTTCCCACGCCCGGGGTCTGGGGCCCTCGCTGCAACTGCGTCGCCAATCCGCTGCTCTCATTGTACCCAACTAGTTTCGAGCTAAATGTCCAGAGATCCATCCTTTTGATTCTTAGTTCCTTGAATTATTATTATCTCGTTTTTTCTTTTTTCCCGGTTTCTTTTTTCTTTGCTTTTCCTTTTCTCTGACGATTTCCCTTCTCACCCAAATCACTTCATCTGAAACTCTCCGGGTCGCTTCGCTGTCTACCTCCTCCCCGTCCCCTCACCCGTTATCGTCGTTGGGATTCCACCTCCCTGCCAATTTAAGAGGGCAAAAAGAAGAACGAAAAAGCGACAGAGGCCGTTCATTTGGTCGACCTCTCCTCGATAAAGATAGTAGTTAATATCCAGCTGGTTCCATACCTCATTGTTGTTCGCCGTTTCTCGACAGATCAGAAGCAGTACATGCATCCGACGGTCTGCGACGTCTCTGTCTTTTTGTACTCCACCGTCTCCTTCCACCTGCGGTTTGTCCGCTCGTTAAAATGGCGGCGTCAGAACCCAAGGGCGAAGACCAGCGCTCTCATACCTCGGAGCGCCTGTCTTCCTCCGCCTCCGAGAATGGTGACCCGCCGCTGTGCAAGTCTAAGCTAGATCCCGAAAGTCAGATCCCCCAGGGTGCAATCAATTCCGATTCCGAGTCCGGGGATGTCGGCCGTCAGATTGAGCTGGAGGCCGGTAACTCTATCAAATACCGGACCTGTAGCTGGCAAAAGGTGTGTATCATCCGAGATCGCTCATCTGTACATAAAATGGGATCACTTTGGCTAATCGATCCGATAGACTGCAGCGCTGCTGTTTTCCGAATATATCTGCCTCGCCATGATGTCGTTCCCGTGGTCGTATTCCATATTGGGGTTGGTGCCGGGGCTGATTTTGACCGTCTTTGTCGCGGGTGTGGTGCTCTACACGTCCCTGATCATCTGGTACGTCTCTCTCCGTGGTCGGATAGTGGTGAGACTCGATATTGACCTCCGATCAGGCGATTTTGCCTGCGTCACCCCGATGTCCGTGACGTGTGTGACATTGGGCAGTATCTCTTCTGGGACTCGAAGATCGCTTGGTATTTCACCGCCATTATGTTCTTGCTGAACAATACCTTCATTCAGGTACCGTATCCCGACACTATCTTCTTTCTCTCTGTCGTGGAGGTTAATTGAAACAGGCATTGCACTGCTTGGTCGGCGCCGAGTGGTTCAATACGGTCACTGGTCACGGAACCTGCACCATCATCTTTGCTCTGGTGACGGCCATCATCTCCCTGGTCTGTTCGCTGCCGCGGACGTTCAGCACCCTGTCCCAGATCGCCACTTTCTCGGCATTTTTCACCTTCATTTCCGTGCTGCTGGCCATGATCTTCGCGGGCATCGAGGGCAAGCCAGCCCGTTACAACGATAAGGATGGCCCTCCCGTCTTCTTGGCCTTTCCCGCCCCTGGGACGACCTTCGTTCAGGGTCTCAATGCTTTTTTGAATATCAGCTACACCTTCATCGGTCAAATCACGCTCCCCAGTTTTATTGCGGAGATGAAGGAGCCCCGGGACTTCTGGAAGTCCGTCACGGCCGTCACCATCGCGGAGATCATTCTTTTCAGCCTCGTCGGATCCATCGTCTATGTGTACACCGGAAACCAGTACATGACGACCCCCGCCTTCGGCTCTCTGGGCAATGAGATATATAAGAAAGTGTCCTTCTCCTTCATGGTACCGACCCTCATCTTTCTGGGTGTGCTGTATGCCTCCGTGTCGGCCCGCTTCATCTTTTTCCGCATCTTCGATGGCACCCGCCACAAGGGCAATCATACGGTAATCGGATGGGCCACCTGGACGGGGATCCTGGCCGTCCTGTGGATACTTGCCTTCGTCATCGCCGAGGTGATCCCTTTCTTCCCGGACCTGCTCTCCATCATGAGCTCCCTGTTCGATTCATTCTTCGGCTTCATCTTCTGGGGCGTCGCTTACATCCGTATGAGACGAGCCGATCACGGACCCGACTTTTACCGGAAGCGTGGCATCCGCGGCTGGGTCGGTCTCATTGTCAATGTATTTTTAATTGGCGTTGGGTTTTTCTTCTTGGGTCCCGGAACCTACGTAAGTTTCCTTTTCACCGCTCATCGTGCAAGGGTAGAGACGCTAATGCTGACTTCTGCAGGCTTCCGTGATGGCAGTGATCCTGAACTACCGAGCAGGAACTGTCGGCGGCCCCTTCTCATGTGCTGATAATGGTTTGTAATGATGCCCCTGACGATGTGATGTTATTCTTTCTGTTCTGTCTGTCTTGTTATCGTTTCTTATCTTGCGTTCCATTCTCCTTCCACGTTCGGGATGGGTTGATGGAGGTGTGGATCGTCCACCGGACGGAGGCGCCCTGGAGATTCTGTTCGCCTGTTCAAGATCGTGTCCAAGATACGACGATCTGTGTGCGCGTTCTTTTCTATGTAACCGGTGCTTTTTACCACAGCCCGCAACCCTCCTCCCCAACCCAGGTGGGGAGGGTCCCATTGGATACCATATACCCGTTGGTCCCCGCGATGTAAGCTTTTACTTTCCATGGTGATGAATACCACGAAAGGGCGAACACGCTTTGAGAGACCAAAACCAATGCAACCGACCCATCTGTCGACCACGCATGCCATGCTCTTGGTCCGGAAGACTACCCTGGTCTTCTTGGGAAGACGCCTCTTTTAGACTATAACCCCTCGTTGCACATAGCGATGTAGAGATGTTTAGATCGAAGGTTTTCTGATTAGAGATTAGTCCATGGGATAGAGGGATGGAGAGGCTAGAAGAGAAGGATGGATAGCTGTAGGGGAAGAAGATAAGAAGACGATGGGTGGCACATACTATTTCCAACCGGTCAGAAGCTGCGCTTGAACGTGCTTCTGCAGATTTTCGACCCCCTTGTTTCGGAGGACGAAAAGCAGCAACAGCAGTCATCTTTCTATCCACATGTGAGCATCTGAATCCTGTCGTATATAATTCGCTGAATACACAGTTAGGGTTCCCAGAGCCAGAGCCTAAGCCGGTTAGTGGCGATGACTCAAGGCGTTAGTACCTAACTAACCCCCGCTGTTCTAGTACGCGTGGATGACCTCAGTACACATCCTATGAACACTATAAACCTTAAACCCACCAGACAAGCATGCACCAACATCACCATGAGTGAAAGAAACCCCGAGCTACGCTTCCCATCTCCCAAAGTCCCGCCTCGGTTCTTCAAAGCATGCCGCCACTGCAGAAAGCAGAAGATGCGCTGCGACGCACGCCATCAGCTACCGTGTTCGCGATGCCGCTCTACCGGCCGAGACTGTATCCTTGATACTATCGAAAATGAAGACGGAACACGGCGTAGTGGACGCCAGAGGGCTGCTACTGCTGCGAATTCGCAGACACGGTGAGTGAATCTCAACTGTACGACGGAATTAATTCCTACTGAAACTACTTCCAGGCGACAGCGGATAGCTAGTTTGCCCTGGGAACAGCAGCAGCAGCAGCAGCAGCAGCAGAGTCACTCTCGGACGCCTTCGTCGAGAGAGATGGACTATTCTCCGGTTTCTGGGCGAGACGTTGGTGTAGAGACGACTCCCATGGACGGGGTGGATGAGCTCCCACCGTCCCAGACGACGACGACCGACCAGCCCGGTCCTGAATCCCAGCAGCTGAACCCCAGCGATATGATGGCGCCGGTGTCTGTTGTGCACTCGATGTCGGTTAATCTTCTAGGGTCCAGTAATGTCCGTTTAGTCCCACCCCGGCCTGGTTTGATAACGGGTTGTTGGTGTTTGCTAAATTCTGCAGATTTTCATGGAAAACTTGTCCAGGACCGATCTGGACAGCGACGTCATCGCTCGAGGTATAATTAGCGAAGAGCGTGCGCGAGTGATGTACGAGAGGTATGTAGACTCCCAATGTCCTTCACAATCATCCAGGTATAATTTATGTTGTAGATTCATGGGCGGAAGCAAGAACTTCCTACCTCTATTCGACCCCATCCGCGACACCTTCGACTCCATCCGCTCGCGATCCCTCTTCTGCTTCTCAGTGATCATGTACCTAGCCAGTCGCTCCGCAGTGGAAATGCGCAGCGACACGCACCTACAGCGCGTCCTCCAAGACGAAGCGCAGCGCCTGGCGGAGGATAGCTTTTTCGAGCGCCCGACCAAGGTAGAGACGGTGCAGGGCATGGTGCTACTCGCAGCGTACTCTGAAAAGACGTGGTTCTCCACGGCCCTGATCTTGCGCACTGCGTTGGACTCAGGACTCGAGAAGTCCCTAGACCGGTTGCTCTCGCAGGAGAACGTCCCGCGGAGCTCTCTGTCGGCAACGATGGAGGATCGCAAGCTGGTGTGGCAGACGAGGACGTGGTTGATCAGTTTTACGCTGGAGCTGGACGTTGCGTCGGGCACGGGGCGCAAGTCTCGTATTGCGGAGGTGAATGTTGCTAAGTTGCGCAAGTTTCTGGAGTATCCGCTGTCGCTTCCGTGTGATATGCGGACAGTGTCTATTATAGAGATTCATCAGCTGCGTGGTTGGTTTACCTCTTTGATACTTACAGTAGACCGCGAACTGACTCATTCTAGGGCAATTTCGTGTGATCATTGAGAATTCAATGACGATTCAGGACATTGTCGCGACGCATCTACCGGCGATCATGACGAGGCTGCAAACGTGGTGGACGACGTGGGATGAACTCCACGATAGTGAGCCGTCCCTTGACTCACGACACACTTTTACAGACTAACGCGTGATCAATCTAGGTAATGGATTCCACGCGAGAGCCTTCCAGCGCTGCAGCCTCAAGCTCATGCTAAACTATGCCAAGATATTCGTCTTGTGCTCTTCCTTAGCTCGGATCCAGAAATTACAGTCTGGCCCTGACTCAGGAGAAATGGGAAATGGCCCAGGAGCTACGAATCTGTGGCCATCGCTCGTGACCACAATCATGGACCAACTATCCTTTTGGATCATGGAGACATCCTACCGCTATCAATTCCCATGGGCGCCAACATATCCAGCTCTAACAGTTGCCTTTGTCAGTGAGTAAACCTAGCTTCTCGAACCTGACCAGAATCAGACTGATGGTTCATTGCAGCAACATTCGCACTCCGAATCGCCCGCTGGCGCCCCTCCCTAATTGACCAACCCCAGCTCCTAGAAAAAGCAGAAAAAATCTGCGACTACCTAAAGCAGCCCCCTTACCCAGACATCCACCGCGCGGTCTCCCTTTTCGTAACATACGCACGAGCCCTCATCTCCAACCAGTGTCTTCAGCCCGACAGCACAGACATATCAGACCAATGCGTTGGCCAGGAATCATCCGGCGCCAGAGAACCAGACATATCCCTAATGAACCTCCCCCCTCCTCCTCCTGCTGCCGCTGCTCCTCCTCGGGACCCACCACCAGTAGACTGCCAGGGCCCTATGACAACGGGACCCACTATCGCGCAGACCGACAAAGACACCACGAGCAACCCAACGAATGACAGGGCTATTCCTCCTCTCCGAACTCCCGTGCAGGGCTTGCCGGGGACAGTGGAGTTCCCGAACTGGACGTTGTCGAATTCGATTGCGGATTCGTTTGGGTTGTTTGAGGAGGAGCAGAATGATATTTTTGATTTTTTGCCCGTTATGCCGGGTATGCCTCAGTGATATGACCGACTTGTTTGGACATTTGGGGAAGGGCAGAGTGATAAGGTATTTCTGGCTTTTTACCTATCATGCTATCTATACGCATGACAGATGGAGAGAAGCTCGGATACAGCGGCTGATCCCGATAATCCACACATACAAAGCATACATCATAATGAAGATAAACAGCGCAAAAAAGGCATCGTCCCCTGACACATGTGTAGCTCAAAACCTGACAGATCAACTGTTTACCTGCGTTATCGTGACTCCTTCCTAAGTCTAGGTCCGACTCGGACGCACGGTCCAATAGCCAGTCCGCTTGACGCAGGTCAAAAGACACATGCACCTTGTCGGTGCCCAAGAACACCAATCCCAAGAACGCCGTCAGTGTTCGCACGGTGTGAAACTAGCTACGTAAGGTCGGTCTCGACCAGATCGACAACCGGAGCCGTGATGTAGTCTGCGTTGAACAACCGGCGCCGGACCGGCCCCGGTCATTTCCCCCATGTCGGCGCGAATTGAGGGCCTTGACAGCCACTCGTGTGCGGGCATTCCTGCGACGTCAGAATTTTCCGCTGAGTATCTTGGAGATTCCTGCAGGAAAGGATTTTCATAGCTATGATTATCATTATGACTCGATGTGGTCGGTTCATGGGCCCCCCACTTGCCGTTTGCAGGGCTATATAACGCGCGGCTGGTATGCTGGTCGTTTGGGGATCGGTTCAGGAAGATAGAACATAGGACATTAGGGAATGTTCATTCGAAAGTTGCAATCGTCTCAAGGACTTACTTCATCCAGAGATATTCTTTTTAGGTGGACAGTATGGCTTCGGAGAAGAAAGTTGGTGATGCGCTCTCGTCGGTTGTGCCTGTTTCGCCGGGTATGTGCGATCTATATACTCCCGTCTGCCCTGCCTGCCGGCTATCATACTGACTGCAACATAGGTTGCGATACACCCCGTGGGGAATCGGTTACCTCCCTTCACTCCGGGCAAGGGAGTCCGCAGGCAGACGATGATGATGGATATCAATTGATTGAATTAGGCGACGGCCATGTCCTGGTCGAGTTCAGTGACGGGTCTTTGAAAAACCCCAATAACTGGTCTACAGTGCGTGACATCCCCCCCAATTTACCAACCCATCATTAGATGTACTAATAGAGTGCGTCGCACGACACAGGGCAAAAAGTCATACATGGTCCTCGCAGCCATATTCCTCGTCATGAACAGCGGCATCTCCGCCTCCCTACCCAGCAACTGCGTCCCGGCCATCATGGAAGATTTCCACATCCAAGGCAAGGGCCAGAACGTGCTGCCCACGGCAATTTTCCTAATTGGATACGTGGTTGGCCCGTTGGTTTTTAGTCCACTGAGCGAGACTATCGGACGCAGGCCCGTCCTATCTTGGACGCTCACGGCCTTTGTACTGGGGACGCTGGCATGCGCCCTCGCGCCGAGCTGGCCGTCGCTTCTTGTTTTTCGACTGATGTGTGGGCTTGCTGGCGCGGCGCCGCAGACGGTTGTTGGGGGGTTGTATGCTGATTTGTTTGGTGATCAGAGGACGAGGGGGAGGGTTATGGCTTTTTATATGGCGGTATGTTGTGCGTGCATTGGACACTATGCCGGGTGGAGGTCTGTTCCGAGCTAACGTGCAAAAAGGCATCCAGCTTTGGACCGATTATTGGCCCGATCATTTCAGGGTTCGCCGTCCAGTACGGCTGGCGCTGGACGTTCCGTATTGATGTCATCCTGGCGGGTTGCTGCTGGCTTTATCATCTCTTCATGTCGGGTGAGCATGCTTGCTCGAGATACCATCTACGTTGGACTAACATTCACGTGTAGAAACGTTCGCACCGGTCATACTCAAGAAGCAAGCAGCGAGGCTGAACAAAGTGTCCGGGTCAACGTGCCATGTCTCCAGGAAGCAGTTGCAGGCTATCAACGCCAAGTCTAGCTTTGTCCAGATCTTTACCCGGCCTATCACCATGCTGGTCACGGAGCCTATTGTTCTATGCAGTGCGATATACATTGCTCTCGCATATAGCCTGATATTCTTCTACTTTCAGGCTTATCCTATTATATTCCAGCGTATGTTCTTCTTGCACTGGTTCCCTGGAACGAGTCACTGACTATCATAGAAACCTACAACTTCAACGAACAGAGCACATCACTCGCATACATACCCAGTACGTCCTCCCCATATCATTCCTCACCCATCTACTCTCCAATACTTACAACCACAGTGGGCATCGGCGCCGTCTGTTCAGGCCTATTCTCCTTCTACTACGACACAATCTACGAAAAGGCCAAAGCGCGCGGCAAGCCCTGGACCGCCAGCCCGGAAATGCAGCGCCTCCCACTCTCCTGTATCGCCGGGCCCTGCCTAACAATCAGCCTCTTCTGGCTAGCATGGACCGCGAACCGCAGCGTACACTGGACGGCACCCGTTCTTTCAGGCCTTCTCTTCGGCCTCGGATACCAGACGATCTTCATCTCGCTGCTCACGTACGTCACGGACGCATACCGCATCTACTCGGCCAGTGCGCTGGCCGCGTCTGTCATCCTGCGCAGCATCGTGGGGGCGCTGTTCCCGCTGGCGGCGGACCCGCTGTATGCGTCGCTTGGGGTGGAGTGGGGGACTTCTGTGGTGGGGTTTATTAGTGTTGCTTGTGTTCCGATTCCGATGGTGTTTCTTTATGCTGGGCCGTGGATACGGAAGCGGAGTCGCTTTTGTCAACGGTTGTTGAGGGAGGATGAGGAGATGAAGGGGATTGTGGGGGGGTTTGGGGGGGTGAGGGAGGTGTGAGCTCATGACCCTGGAGGGAGAAAGTTCGGACGTTATGAGATACGACTATAGATTGACTGATAGACTAGATAGAGGTATAGGATGCAATAGTAATGTGTAATGAGACGCGAGTCTATATATCCCACCATTTCTATCTATATACTGCATAACGATAATGCATATATCTGACTCATCAGCCGAGGTCCCTCGGTTTGTTCCGTTCAGCCCCCGCCAATCAAACAGAGACAATCCGATCATGGAGAATCGTGGATCCTCTTCGCCCCCCCGACTCCATCTCCAACTTGAAAGGCTCCGCCGTCGCCAGGTAGCCTCTCGTTCGTTTGCTATTCTTTGCACCTGGTTGGCTAGTCTTCTTTCGTTTGTCTCTCCCTCTCCGTCCAGCGTCCCGACTGGAAAGTTGACAAATCGCCCCCGGAGTCTGGAACCGTCTCACCTCAGTCTTATACCCGACCCGTCTGCCCGGTGACTTTTTTTCGTTCGCCTCGTGCGTCCACTGTCGCCATGGCGTCGCGAGTCTTAGTTTCCAGATGTGTAGCCTCCGCCGGGTTTGGGTCCGGCTCCACTGCGAGGGCTTGTCTACCGACGACTAAATCTCAATGGTTTGTGGCTCCGGGTTCGACGTGGTTCGCTCAACCGCTCAACGTTTCGCGTAGATCATACTCTTCCGGTTGGTGATGCTTCTTTCTCCTCTCCTTTCCTCCCTATTCTACCAAGAGTAGTTCTAGCACTGTGCTCACTCAGCCACTTGACCAGCCTCAAGCGTAACCCCTCCCACACCCAAACCGCGATCCCGTTTCCGCCGCTTCATCGGCTTCACCTCGATCGCCGTCCTCGCCTTCTCCGCCGGCCTAGCCTACCAGACGCAAAAGACCGTCTCGCGCATGATGACAGTCCCCGTCGTCCCCACCGACGAAGACACCCTCAATGGGTTCCACCCGGTCGACGACTTCACCCAACAAGTCGACGAGCACATCCGCACCCACCCACTAGCAGAGTCATTGCGGAAGGACCCCGCCTTCAAGGAATCGCGCCCGCACCTGAAGATCCCGGAGGAGCTGCGCGCGCGCAGTCTCACGGCAGGCACGCTCGCGCGACCCGACGGCATCACCGTCCCGCCTTACATCTTCTGCGAGGCGGGTGGCAAGAGCCTCGTCTCGATCTTCTACCTGGGGTCCAGTGTTTCAGGCCACCCGGGTATCGTGCACGGCGGCCTGCTGGCCACACTGCTGGATGAGGGCCTCGCCCGCTGCTGTTTCCCGGCGTTGCCGAACCAGGTCGGCGTCACGGCGAACTTGAATATCGATTACCGCCGGCCTGCGATGGCGGGTACCTACCACGTTCTGCGGGCAGAGACGGTGAGGGTTGAGGGCCGCAAGGCTTGGGTGGAGGGCCGGATTGAGACGCTCCCTGAAGAGGGGCAGGAGCCGGTTGTGTTGGCGGAGGCGAAGGCTTTGTTTGTGGAGCCTAAGCAAGCTGCGGTAGGTTTTCTCCTTTTCCCTTTTGATTGAATTTTGCGACTGACTATTGGGTGTGTAGGCTATGGCCGCTCTCTCCAAGATGGCCAATTGATTCTGTGAATAGATGAGCTACACGAGGTCTCATGTTGGAGACCGATATACATATTCGTCGTTGGATTAGACTTGACGATAGAGATGGCTGTATAGGTCTACGATCTACGGATATATTCTGTGAAGATACGATATTCTTATTATCTGTACATACTTGTTAGAGATACATCACATTATAAATATTTCATCATTATTTTTTTTTTTTTATCTCCCGACACATCTACTCCGTAGTGGACATTTCAACTGTTGCAGCTACTAAATGACTGGAATAGTGGTAGTGCCACCGAATCCAGACCGCCTGCGGGTCCGCCTCCCGCCGCAGCTCCAACAGCGGAATAGCAACTCTCACCCCGACATAGGTATACTCCGACCACATCAGCTCCCCACCTTATATACCTTCACATCACACCCCTACACCCTATGCCCGCCCCCTGAGCGCGGCAACCCCCATATCCCCTTCCACCCAACCATTCGAAACAAATCACCATGTCCAAAACAACCAAATACCTCCTCGTCTCCCTCCCCACCTCCATCACCCCCTCCCACCACCGCGACGACGCCCTCGACGCCGTCTCCGCCACAGTCGGCTCCGACAACGGCTCCGTCGCGCCCTTCCCCATCCCCGAGTTCAAGATCGGCACCCTCGATGCCCTGGTCCAGCAGGCTGACGAGCTGGCCAAGCTCGAGGCGGGCTGCCAGGCTGTCGTGACCAAGGTCAGCGATGCGCTGAAGAATATTTTGGATGGTGATGCGGCGCAGATTGAGAGGGCGAAGGTTGTTAATGATAGTATGTTTCTTACTTACCCGCTGGGTGGTTGTTATTCGACCTGGGAGAGGGAGGGGGTTGGCTAATGTTGGGAAATCCAGAGCCGGTGGATCAGTATCTGCGGACGTTTGCGTGGAATAAGGTTAAGTATCGGGCGGATAAGTCGCTGAAGGAGTTGATTGATTTGTTGCAGAGGGTGAGTTTGATCTCTTTGGGGGCGGAGGAGGAGTACCTATTGTCTATCTAACAGGGCACAGGAAGCAGCGAGTATCGATAACGATATCCGGTCGAAATACTCCCAATATAACCAGGTGAAGAATACGCTCTCATCGCTGCAGCGGAAACAGACGTGAGCAAGACCCCTCCTTTTGTCTACTTGGCGTTGTAACTGACTGATCAGCGGCAATCTCTCGACCAAATCCCTCGCGTCCGTCGTCGACCCCCGCTCCCTCATCCGAGATTCCGAGTACATCGAGTCGCACCTGGTGGCCGTGCCCGCCCAGCAAGTCAAGGAGTTCCTGAAGACGTACGAAACCGTAGCGCCGATGGTGGTGCCGCGGTCAGCGACGCTGGTCGCCTCCGACAACGACTTCACGCTGTACGCGGTGACGACGTTCAAGAAGCACAGCGCGGAGTTTGTGCACCGGGCGCGCGAGCACAAGTGGATCCCGCGGGAGTTCAAGTACGTCGAAGGCGGCAAGGAGGAGGAGCGGCGGGAGGTGGAGCGCGTGGGCGGCGACGAGCGCAAGCTCTGGGGTGAGACGCTGCAGCTGGGCCGGACCGCGTGGAGCGATGCGGTCATGGTCTGGATGCACGTGTTGGTGCTGCGGGTGTTTGTTGAGACCGTGCTGCGGTATGGGTTGCCGCTGGATTTCGTGTGCACTATTATCCGGGTATGTCTTTCCTTAGATGGTGGGGGGCGGGTGATGGCTAACAGTGGTAGACACCCAATGCGAAGCAGGCGGACAAGGCCAAGCACAACATGGACGAGAAGTACTCGTACCTGGCGGGGAATGCGTTCGGGCGGGACAAGAAGGGACGGGTCAAGCGAGACGACCCGCATGAGATGTCTGCGGGAGGCGAGGGGCATGCGGAATACACTGCGTATGTGTATTATGAGTTTGCATTCAACTAGGCAGCCAAACAGGGGGGTGGTGTTGGTGGGTTGATACCACAATTGACAGCGTATGCATGATTTACAGCACTGATATATAAGTATGATGAACTGGGCCATAGATAGGCAGTATGTACAGAGACAAGGTATATAGTAAAATCCTGCACCAAACCTCCATCTATCAAGACGACATCTATACATGAAAAAGACAAGTGTAAAAAAGTGTAAAAATCAAAAGAAACAGACAATAAAAAAAGAAAGAGATCTACTCCTTCTTAGGCGGCAAGTACCCCTTCGAATCAAGATACTCGATAATCTGCTTCACAGCATCCTGCACGGGCAACTCATGATTCTTGATATGCACCTCCGCGCGATCAGGCGCCTCATAAGGCGCCGAAATGCCCGTGAACTCCTTGATCACACCCTCGCGGGCCTTCTTGTACAGCCCCTTGGGATCCCGCTGCTCAGCAACCTCCACAGGGACATCAACGTAGACCTCCACAAACGGCAGTCCCGTATCCTCCCCAGGGGTGGGGACCTCGTGCAGAGCGCGCGCGGTGTCACGGTCCGCCTTGTAAGGCGAGATGAAGGAAGTGATCGCGATGGAGGCGCTGTCGGCGAAGAGCTTAGCGACCTCGGCGATGCGGCGGATGTTCTCGTTGCGGTCCTTCTCGCTGAAGCCGAGGTCTTTGTTGAGGCCGAAGCGCACGTTGTCGCCGTCGAGGCGGTAGGCGGAGACGCCGCGCTCGCGGAGCAGCTGGTGCTCGAGTTCGACGGCGATGGTGGACTTGCCCGAGGCGGAGAGGCCGGTCAGCCAGATTGTGAGGCCGCGTTGGTTGCGGAGGGTGCTGCGCTCGGCGCGGGTGAGGGCGCTGGCGTGGTAGGTGATGTTTCTGTTTAATTTTGTTAGTATTGCATGTATTATATTTTTGGGGTTGTGGTTGAACGTACGTGGCCATTTTGAAGGTGTGTTGTGGAGGTGTGTGTAGAGTGTATGAGAGGGGAAGAGTATGAAGGATGAATGAGGGAAAAAGGAGAATTGTGGCGGGAGGAGGGCGGACGGCTGAAACAAGCGGGGCTGTCGCGGGGAGTTTCTTAGTATTATTCTACCCTATTCCTGGGAGTACACTATATGTGGAACAGGATTAACAGACTACTTCTGACATATATTACCATATACTATTTCTACTCTGTTTAAAACTACATACTATTCATGTAACTATACTTCATATCTCTCTACCTATATAGTTCATCCCAATATCACGATAGATCGGCCCAAATTCGGACACCCTTCCAAGCAAATCCAACAAATCCAACAAATTCAACAAATCCAACAAATCCAAAAGTTATTCCAGGTTGGTCCGCTGATTCATCACCAATCATCCCCCATCCGGATCCACGATTTGACGCCATTCATTCCAGTATTTCATCCCCTCACTATTTATATCTGTTTATCCACCGAGATTCGTGGTCTGTCCGACGGCCGATCCTTCCTCCCTCCACAGTCCATCCTGCACCGAGCACCACCACGCGGTGTTCTATATTGGGTCCTTTCAAAGACCGGTCCAGATTCTGGCCCAGTTCCACTCCCTCCTACCTAGTACACTCCGTCTCTCCGGCCGATAACCCCGCCTACATTTATTCTATACTCAGTTCTTCTTATACGTCCCTCCTCTTATACCTCTGACATCCCCACTGCTTCAATCCATCATCCATAAACATCAACCACAAAAAAAAAAAATAACAATAACAATAACAATATCAATAATCATAATGTCTACCCCAATCCCCACCGCAGAACTCCAATCCTCCCTCCGCCAACTCTCCATCGGCCGCAGCTCCCCAGCAGCAAAAGACATCCCCCGCCCAACAGTCCAAACCACCTCCCTCGTCAAAGAAGCCGCCAAAAAGAACCACACCAAGTCTAAAAACAACGACCAGCAAAACCACATCGCCGACTCCTGGGAAGACGAACTCGACTCCTCCACTCCCTCCTCAGACGTCGAAGCTGACCCGTCCTCCGCCGCTCCCTCCGATATCCTCTCCCCTTCTCTAAGCGTCAGCGCCGAAGGACCGCTCGATCCCCCGCCGACGCCCATCTCCCCGCAAATCTCCAATCCCACCACCGCTCCTTCGGCGTCTTGGTCCGCGACCTCGCCACCCCGCTCGGGTTCGGATTCCCCGGTTTCGTCCGCGTCCAGGACACCTACGCCCACTTCTGCTGCTCCTCCTTACACCACTACTACTGGAGAAAGGGGAGGGAGAGAAGGAGGAAATGCCACCGCGCGCAGACCGGAGAAGCAAACAGCTGTAGCCGGGCGATTGATCGCAGGGGCATTGGGCATTCGGGCTCCCAAGCGGACGGAGGAACAGCGGGCTTACGACCGCTCCGTCAAAGAGCAGGAGATTAGACGGCGGAATCGGGAGAAGGAGGCGGCTGAGAAGGTCCGGGAGGAGGAGGAGAGGGCGAAGGCTGCTGTTTGGGATGCTTGATTTTTCTTTTGTCTTTTTTCTGTTCGATTGATGGGATGTTTTGAGTGATTTTGATATCATTGGTTCTGGTACTGCTTCATGTTAGGGAGGCTGTCTGATTTCGTTGGGTTCAGCATCGTGTGGATGTTTGTCTTTTTTTTGTATATGGACTAGTCTTGTTATCTTCTTGTTTGCATTTCTCCGCCTATCATTCTATTTACATTGTGTCTCTTGTCTTATAGCTTAAACTCAGCCTGTACAATAGGTTCTACTCGTATTATATCGGTCTATACCTAGATGATTTTGATATACGGTTGGCCGGATATAAAGAATGAAAAGTGATACTGAATGTATGTAGATTGATAATGGAAGTTCAATTCATAACTATTTGCCTGTTCACAGCTACTTCGTATGGCCAAGTAGTGTAGTGCTCGTCTCTCTTTCTCCACCTATTTACCGCTGTAGGTACACCCGTGCGCCTGATCTCATATGCGGCAGGGGAAAGAAAATAAGAATAAAAAAAGATTGGACTGGAAATCGTAAGGTTAAGGGACATCAAAAGGAGAAAATAAAAAACAAGGTGACGATAGTAGAGACGAGCAGCACAAGACAGACACACGACGGGAGGAATCAACGCAATTTATTCAAGAATTGAACTCCAGAAACCAACGGTTCTGATGTCGTGACGTCTTGTCTTTCTTTCTTTCTTTCGTTCGTTTCTCGTTTTCGCTTTCTGTTTTCTACCCGCCGATTTGCTCCTGGTGGACTTCGAGGGTATCGCCGTCGGCCATTTCGAGCTGTAGGATAAGAGGTCAGTTTCAGCGGTCCAGAGATGTGGGATGGACGATATGTCTGGGGATCGATGAAGTATGCGCGTATCTCGCGCGTGCGGGGAGAGAGACATAGAGCGCGGCCAGCTGGAAACCTAGGCAGAGATAGACGTACCGTATCGGGGGTATCTTCAGGTCGTACGCGAGTCCCGTCGAAGAGGAAGCGGACGGTCGACATCTGCTTGCCCTGTCTATCGCAGAACGCGTCCATCAACTTCTTGAGCTGCGTGGACCGCTTGATCTTGAAGAAGACTTCGTTGTTGTTGTCCGTGACCTTGATGTTCAGGTGCTCGACCGGCGCGGGGGCTTCTCCGGGAACGTTATCGGAGTCCGCCATTTCGAGGGATGGAGAGGTAGATCGAAGGTGGTTTGATGAGAGGTCTGCTGCGATGATGGAGGATGTCAGTCTTGCTGTTAGAAGTGAAGTATGGTGGCTGTCGCAAACATGAAGCCACGGGAGGGAGGGAGGGTCCAGAATTGGGTATACGTACTGGTTGAACTGGCTGATGAGCGCTGTCAAAGTGATATATCTTGAAGGAATATGAGGTTTGCAGAGAAGAGAATCAAGAGAAAGGAACAGAAGAAGTGAATGTCGAAAGATGAATATACGGTGTTGGGTTGGGAAGGCGGCGAATGAACCCCCACCAGTGAAGAGCGGCGGAGAATCTGTTTTTGCGGCGCAGGTCCAGCTTCTCTCTTTCTTCTCTTGCATGGAGAACAAGAGATGCTTCATTCAATGCTGAGACAATCTACATTCACTACATTCACTTTCTGACCTTTTTTGTATAGAACTGTGTCAGGTAGACCAACTCCAGTTCCTGTCACTTACTTTATCTGTTTCTGTTTGATCCCCCTTCAATTGGAACTGTCCTCCCACATTTACCTCTCTTGTCTCTTATTGCGTCATGGTAAGAATCCAGCCACTATGGAATTGACCGGAGATAACAGTCCAACTCTAGGGTTTGAAAGAAGATATTGCGTTTGACCCGCCTTGTCATCCACGAGCTGTATGTCTTTCTATTTTTTTCTTTTTTTTTTTTTTTTTCTGTGATTTTTATGCTGTATTCTAACAGAATCCAGTGTGCCATCCAAGGTTCGACACCATCACTGCCTTGGTCTATTACTGCCTCAGGCAATAATTGACCCAGGTTATCACTGCCTCAGGCTATCACTGACCGCACACAGCCTGCTTAACGAAAAACTCGTTCAACGAAGACAAATGCCAGGCACAAATTGATGCCCTGTACGAGTGCTGCAATGCTTTCTACCAGGAGCGTGGAGACCACGGCCAGACCCCAAGCTGTCCCAAAGCCAGTCTACTTCGACTGAAGATGAAGCAACGAGCCCAAGGGAACTGAAGAGTTTTCTCTTTTTCTCCCTGATTATACCTGCAGTCGACAAGCCTCTGTATATAGCTGTGTAATTACTGAATAGAAGTGACTAGAGCAACTGTTGTGTGGTACTCATCAATCATCAAAATCCGTAGAAAATAGATGTGCCAATTCCCTTGCAGTCTGAACTCCCATATAGAGAGAGCTAGACTAATTGAAGAACTGCCATGACTGCTCTAAGACAATCTTGAGCACGCTGAGAGGCCGTTTTGACCTGAACGAAGATAGAGAAAACGATCGTTCCGAGACTCTAATGATTGCCTAATTGACATTGAAGAAGAAAAAGAAGAAAAGAAGAGGAAAGAAAAGCGAGAGGGAGAAGGGTTTTATAGACCCGTGTGTTGGTGCGCGCTAGTCTGCTTTGGGAGCTAGTCCGCCCGGCGCCGCCAAAACACGCCCCGGCCAGGTCGGAGCAGCAACAGAAAAGAAGTTCCTCTCCTCCTCGAACAGTATCTTGCCAGACACGCTTCCCAGGAGACGTTTCCTCACGCGCGTATGGCTCCTTTACCTCGCTCAGCGGGCGCGAAGCCGAACCCTTCTCCCTTTGCCTCGTTTAATGTATGTCGTCATGGTTTTACCGCTGCTTTCTCGTTGCTCCCGCGGTGCCCTCGCTAACTTGATGCCTGCCTCCAGCCTCTACCTAGGAATGTCCCCGACAATACGGATATAATTCAGATCGATGATGACGATGACGATGAAGATCAGTCCATGGAGGATGACCAACAGGACTTCGACGACGACGAGGAGATGGAAGAAGACGAAGGAGAGGAGGTATCGGAAGACGATGCACCCATGGATGGCAGCGAGTCGCCGTTGGATCTAGGCACCGTCCCAAATGGTCACAGTATGTATACTACACACTCGGGGATCCATCCAAGGCTGACCGCTTGCAGATGGCTATGATATGGAGACACCACAGTTGTTTACGTCGGCGGGCGCCCAACAAGCTTTACATCCCCTTCGTCGCACCGCGGACCGGGTAACGCGCCAAATCGAAGCCTTTGCCGAAAAGTTAGACCGCTTCAAGCAGCAGGGCAGTCGCTCCGACGACTTCCAGAACTACCAGGCCGCCTACCAACTCGTCAAGAGCTACCAGACTTTCGCGCAAGACGCCATCAACGACATCACGAAGCAGGATACCCTGAAACGGGCGAAGATGGGGTGGAGCACCAGCCTGAGCAACGGGTCACCGGCGCGGGATCCCAAAACGGACGAGGAGCTCCAACGACTGCAACTGGAGGCGAACACCTGGCAGCTTCTTCTCAACCTCATCAGCATCGGCGACCCCCCGTCTCGCGCGAGGTCGAAGCAGGCCCAGGAGACCGCCTTTCAGAAGTTACACCGATACTCGTCGGATCGCGAAGTTTGGGAAAGGTTTCTGGAAGCCGACCACTATGCGATGGAATGTGTCATAGCGATGAAGTGGCTCGAACGGACCTCGCGATCGGCAGTGCTGGATATCGACTCGGTCATCCATGAATTGGAGACACAAGCCGAGCGCGGGCAGAACCTGTGGACGAACGGCTGGCTGTATACGAAAGAAACGATCAAGGGGCACAAGCGACTACGAGCCTGGCCCCAACCCCTCGAGCCGAACGATCCGAGCATCACCGCCTCGCTTCTGAGCACGGAGAAATCGCAACCGTTGATCACGCAGCTGGACCCCGACGCCGTCGTTCGCCAGAAGCAGGGTCTTCAGAAGCAGGACCAGTTCTACGAGCGTGCCACGTGGATGACTTGCTGGAAGATGTTGCGACAAGGGGAAGACTGGACGAAGATCCGGGAGTGGTCCCGGGAGCGTCTAGAATGCTGGCGAGCAGTCAGCCTCTGCGGCTCCAGTGTCGACAAACATGTCCACGAGGAGCGCACCCCCGTCGACGACGGAACCACCCGAATGATGAACTGCCGGTCCCAAGAAGCCTGGCGGGCGGCCTGCTCCGCCCTCGCGCGGAACCCCAACAACGAAGATTTCGAGCGGGCTGTGTATGGCTTGCTCTGCGGCGAAACCGAGGCGGCCTTCAAGGTTTGTCAGAGCTGGGACGACTACCTCTACGTCTACTTCAACAGCGTCGTTCTGTCGCGCTACCGGGGGTTCTGCACACAGCTGCAGCGGAAGCTCAGCCACTCGCCTACGACCCCAGTGGCATTTGTGCCTGAGGCAGCTGGATATGCCGATTTCAACAAATTCGTCCAATACACTAGGGGCAACCAACGCATCGGGGTCGAGGCCCGCAACCCATACCGCACCATCCAGGCTGCCATCCTGGGCAAGGGGTACGATTCTTTCTTCCATTCGTTAGCCAAGGCCGTCTCGCACCTGGCAAACAGCCGAGCACCAGCCGACACCTTCATCCCCGAGCTGCCGTCAGCCGCTCTCGACGACTCCCTGCTGATTGCCGCCGAGGACCGCGACGCATTGCGGATCGCCTCCCATCTCTACATTCTCGCCAGCGCGTTGGGCTTTGTCCGTTCGGACTCCCATTTTGTGGAACTGGTGTCGGTCAACGTGATGGGGTACATCGCCGACCTGGAGGATGCGGGGATCTACGACATGATCCCTCTGTATGCATCGATCTTACCAACGGCCCAGGCGCACTCGGTTCTGGGACAGGTGTTGATCGACATCCTGGATCCGGCAGAAAGAATGCAGCAAGTCCGACTGATGAAGAAATACCGCATCGATGTCGAGGCCGTGCTGCAAGACCAGTGGCGGTGGATCAGCTCGAGTGTCTCTTCGGTTGACCACTCACGTACCCTCCGAGGCTACCCCAAGGTGGTCCGTCGCAAGGACGGCACCCGTGAATTAGTACCGGTGAAGAAAGATTTCATCGGCACTGAGATTTCCAGCGGAGACGAGCGCCTCATCCGCAGTCTCGAATGGCTTCGATACGTAGATGGACAATGGGGACGGATCTGCCATCTTGGTGCTCTGCTCTACCGGAATTTCTACAGTACGTGCTGCCTGGGCAGGTCATTTGGTTCACTACTAACAGGATTCTACAGTTACCGGCAAACTCTCGGCGGCCCGCGAGCTCAGCCGACGCATGCGACTGTCTGATATATCGCAGGAATCGTTTGGATTCGACCTGACCGAATTTCCGGTGGTCGAGGACGAGGCCGAGCCACTCTCGCCCGAGCCGACCAGCCCGACCAAGGCGAGGATGCTGGGGTCTCACAAGCGCAATCGGTCCTCGACGAACGGGGCGCCGCCTGGCGACCAGACGAACACGAACCTCCTGGTGCAACAGGCCCAAGGCATGCTTGACCTGGAGCAGTTGATCCTGGCACTCGATGCGCTGGAGCACTTTGCCTATGTGTGCGACAAAACCGACAAGTATGTCATGTCTACAGTACCGTGAATAACACACTAACCTTTGAACACAGACCCAAGCACCGACGAGACTCCGGCGCAATCAAAGACCTTCGAGGCGAGCTGCAAGATGCACTGGACGAGATCGGCATGCACATCGACTCCATGCTCGACGACTGGCTAATCGTCGGCGAGAACGGTACGCAGCCTCACTCTCCAAACCCATCCAACTCAACACTAACGCAAGCTCCTCCTCACCCAACAGACGCAGAGCAAGCCGAGCTCGACGAAATCCGAACGACCTACATCCCTGAAGTCTTCCTCGACTACCACAGCGCCCTGTACTACTCGGGACACATCCTAAGCAGCGAAATCCTCGTGCAGTGCATGAACCTAGCGATGCAGGTCTCCGAGAACGAGTACCTCACGCGCAGCTTCGTGGAATCGCAACGGATGGCAGAGCTGGTCGACGCGTTGGCGCTCTCTAGCAAAGCCATGGTGAACACAGGTGCCCAGCCGGGAAAGAGGCTATTGGGGGGCGAGTCCCTGGGGATCTGGAATGTGCAGATATCGGAGAATGAGGACGGGGGGGAGGAGTGAAATAGTGAGTGAGTGAGTGGGAAATGTACATTAGCCAAGTTTTGAGTCTTGTCTCTGATCATTTCTTATTTTTACTTTTTTTTTCCCCTATACTTTCCTTTTGATGCTTTATCCCCTTGTTGTCTTTTAATTGCCATTATCTATTGTCTGTTTCGATAGATTGTCATATTTCAATCCCCGGCACCATCAAAACACGCATATCCGGTTTGGACGTGCTGATATCGATAGTATTAGTTTATTTATTTACTGGGAAGAGGGAAAGGAAGGGCAGGGGGCGTTTGAGAGCTCCACGCATTGACAAACAATGGATTATCATTATCATTAGAATAGTATCTTGCAGAATTGATCTCGCCACTGTCATAGGTGTGTACGATATGTATACGCGAGGAGTACCCGAATAATCCCTCCCTTGAGAAACAGAAACAAATCCCCAACATGAATATGGATGATCATGTGGCAAGTTAGACAGTATCAGCCAGGGTATGAGAGAAGGAGAAGGTGGCAGTGTTCAATAGACTGACGGGGTTCGGGGACTAGTCTGGGCAGTGGAGGGATTATTGGCGTGGCACAACTTAGTACCTAGGTAGGTAGGTAGGTATGGCTGGCTGGGTGGCGGGTTGGCTGGCTGGAAGGTACAATACCGAGGTAGGGACTTCTTTACGAGGGTGGCTAGATAGATGGGTTGATAGGTATTGGGTAGTATGATATTGTTTTTATGGATTTGGTAGTTTGATGATAGTGGGGTGGCTGGTTACAATTGTTGAGTATTCGTGAATAGTAACCTAACTTGTTGCGTTGTAGACACTACTTTCAGTGGATTCTGGGGACGGGTGTGAAGTCGAATTGATTTTGGAGTCGGTGGCTACTTAATGAGACTTAATTACTCTGTACTTGTGTTTATCTGTGGCTTGTAGGTATTGAGTCATAGAACTGTGGAATTGGTTTGTATATCCGATGAATGAATATCAAAGTTTGATCGGTGGTAATGACAGGATCGATGAGTACAGCCGCCCCAGTCAGGTCCTAGGTAAGGTAGATAGATGTATAGAACGTATCCGTAGTGAGCCGGACAGTTGTCTAGTCTAGGCCAGGTTGTGGCATGATGACTAGCATTACATGGAGTGATGACCCTTCTTGATTAATCAAATCTATCAGGCCATGACGATGTGTCAATCAATTACTCCCGTATACGCTGTATCATCACAAGTGGCGAGTCGTATGGGTTGAGTGTCGGTGAGCGCATTCTACTCATCCATATACGCACTTGATAGTCGTCGATGGGTTATACTTCCCTTGTGAGCTGTCCTAGTTGACCGCTTGGCTGGGACGCCAACGCTGACTGGAGCTCAGCTCTCCTTCGTTGGGAGCATGGTCCAGCCACTGTTACTCACACTGCTTTGTTGGGTAGATATTAGTTGTGTTTGGAGGGTCTTGCCACTGTGTTGGGAGTATCCATGGTGAGTAGGGTTAGGGTTGTTACACGCTGCGTTGGAGGGAGTCTTTTGCTCGGATGGCGACAGATGATCTACATAGGATTTTGATTCCTTTTTCCCTTTTTTGTACCCCGTAGGTAGGAGGGATGATGGTCCCTGCGTGTGTAGCTAAATAGGAAGAGGTAGAAGATGAATTGTGATATTGATTATTGATGTTGTGACCGGTAGCAGAAGTAAGCCACAGCGCATGAGGTGAGGTCATGCACATGGTACAGGATGGACTTGTATATGGTGTAGAAAATATAAAATAGAAGATAAACAAATGAAAATTAGAAAACGATGATCAGTGGGGACGGTACATGCGATATTAATTACTGAAGACGGCATAACTCTGGATTGTCCGCACATTTTACTCCGGTATAGAGTACACGTTTCGAGACACTGGCTTATTCGGAGTGGTAGAATAGACAAGGGATGTCCGATTCTCCGTCAATATGGTTGTAGCATCGTATGGTCTAGGTTTTCTCTTCCGGCCAGATGGATGAATAGATGAATAACGGCCAGACCCCAAAGCCAAAACCGGATGGAGCACCGCCCCTTTGCCAAGTCCTCGGGGATCGCAATTTACATAACTCTGTCCCTCCATGCACAACAACCCTGTCCTGGTCTCGGTGGCAGTCTCTTTCTCTTTTGGTCGAGATATCCACTTGACCGTTCTTCATTGGACTGCAGAAGCGAATTGGTAGGATTTATAGTTGGAGAGATGAAGTGTTTACGAGGTTCCAGGTTGGACGGTTCATTCGCCCGATTTGACAGCAGAACAACACCAGACTCTGTGGACGGATACCCAAAGAGAGAGCCCTGGATTGGGTACTAGAGGTTGTTGAGGCCCGTTTGAGTGTCGGGGCTTCACTTGGGGAGGACATGGAAGAATGATAGGGTTGGTGAGGAAACAGGGAAGAGAATTCTTTCCATTAGCTGGTCATTACGTAGGGGGGGGTATTTTCCAGGATTATTTGATATTAAGTGGTTTCACTGGGCGTGACCAACAAAGAGGCAAAATTGGATTGACAGATTGAACAATATTGAGAAATAGGATGGAAAAATCTGAATCATCACAGGAAGCAAAAAAAGGAGGGTCCCAGAATGAGGCAGTGCAAAGCGGGAATGACGAGTGAGGTTGCAGCATCCCCGAGCTCTGCAGGTCCCAGCTCCATGTCAACCCTGGAAGCAAACCAGATCATATAATAATACCATATAAAACCAGTAAAATCAATACTCATAAATGATACAGATTAATAGAATCAACCCATGATAATACCTACACCAGACAGACATGAGTCTGTAGATACTCCTTTCCCCTTCGTATACTCCCTACTAGATCAGAGCTATGAATCCATGGAACGTTCCATAACGCTTCGGTGTATCATCTATACCGATTCCAGGTATGGTCTGCAAGGAGACCTTGCAGCTCCTTCAAAACCCCCCGCAGGCAATCGGTGATACTCAACGTGGTACATCAACTGCGGCTGTGAATGGTTTGATTTGGATTGGCTTAGAATTTACCGTGGATTTCTATATATTCTCTAAACCAGACAGAGGACCTGGATATGTCGGTATCAATAATACAGACGCAACCGTCATAGAATACCGACTCCGGCAGAAACGGGAAGACTAAAGAAATCCCATCCACTAGTTTAACTTTCGTGATTGAGTCGAGATCTTCAACTTAGACTGACCTACTTCCTGTCCGAGTAACCCTCACTCACTCTCTCTCTCTCTCTCTCTTCTCTTTTCTCTTCCCCTCCCTTATTTCCCCCAATCGATTCCCCCTCAGTCCGTATGGAACACGTCATATGATTGGGTGAGTTGGTCCTCTTCCGTTCTCCCTCACGCTTCATACATGCCTCACTCCACTTGCCAGATGGAGAGATCGTCATCTTCCCTCTCGAGACCTCCGTCGGCTTCCAATCATGGCCGTCAGGGCTAACATGTTTTAGGTGCCTTGTGTTCCAGAATTGGCATCATCATCACTGTTGGCCGTACCACTCTCTCCTCACGCGGACCGGAATCGCGTCCTGGTAGCTGGTTTCCTCCGTTGCATCGATTCAGGGTCCCCGGAGCATTTCTCGGTCGTTTCCCTTCCCCGGCCCCAATTTGACCCAGCTATCTCAGACGCTCTGCATTTCGTGACGTCTGATAAATCAAACACCGACCTGGACGGCACTCGCTCCCATCGATGGGGCCTTTCATTCTCCGCCAACCTCGCGCGTGTTTCCGCTAAACACTTCTTCATGGACAAGAAGATTGGTGATCTAATCCTCACAAGAGTCTGTACAGGATATCGAGCGCGACATTCCTCCCAATCGTGCATCGCCGCCGTTTGCTCTGGAATGATTGCTGTGGCCCCTCCCTTTATCCCCCCACCCCGCCTCTCGATTTGATAAAGCGGCAAGGTGTACTTGACCTGCTCCTTCCGGGGCTGCATTCTTATTGATATCCATATCCCTTCCTCCTCCTTTCTTCTCCGCCCTCGCTAGACCTACCTCCTTTT